CTTTAGCACTAAATGCATCTACTTTCAAAGACGTTTCCAATTGTATATGTTTTATTTTAATCAGATGGCCGGCCTTAAAAATACAGGGTGGTCAAAAATACAAAAAAACACATTTTGGCCATATTCCGGCCAGCTTTATGACTTAGGGCCATCATTAAAATGCAAAACAAAGTACCGGAATCTTTGATTTAGGTCACCATCTTCATTTAAATGCCAAATACCGACAATTAATTATGAGATATTCAAGATTTCGACCAATTTTCCTAAAGTGTGCCATAACTTTTGACGCGTGATTTTTGATTTTTGTCATTTATCTACAGTAATAAAAAGTTTAGGAATTTATATATTTCTACTCGTTTCATAAAACCATAAAAGAAATTTTGTTAAAACAACAATAAATATATATAAAAACTGAAAAAACTAACTGTGCCAAAATTTTTGACGCTCACTGTATGTGTATATTTGTATATAAGTATATATCAGATATATGGACATCAGATGCCGTCCTGCTGGTAAGTTAATGTTTTTTCCACTTTTTTGGAAATTTCTCCTTTCTCCTTCCCTTATAAAATTTTTAAACTCTTGAAAGAAACGAATTTTTGATGAAGTATGACTTCCACTGTTGCGTCCACTTCATTTTACACACCTCAGGAATTGAAGAAAATAACTCAACTCAAGCTATACTTTTCGGAAAAAAAGACTCCGTACATTTATTAAGACAAAATATTTTATTGACAATTCTTACAGTTACAGTAATCGGTGATTCTCTTACCAGATTAATCTTTGGATAAAATCATAATCCTTCCAATATATTTCTTTGGTGGAAAACAAATAAAAGGTGATTGAGTTTATTATTAAATATGTTAATAATTCAAGAATTAAAAATCTGAATTTAACTGAGGAAGCGAATAGACGCGCTATCATGAATGGCAATATAAAATATCGAATTTCTATGAGTTGCTGTAGAGCGATTGATACGATTGTACACAATGTGTACAATATTTGAAAACCCGCAGACCGAATTGAAATACATTGATACAGCACAGTCATTGATATGAGATACAGTGGAACCATGGCGTACTTGAACCAATAGTATCGACCGTAAAATTTATTCCAGATGTAAAACAGATAATGACGATTATCTGCTAGCAAGTATGGATGAACGTTCGTATTTGCATAAATCACAATTAGTGACAAAATTGCAGTCAAAATCCAGAAAATCCAGTACCTTCTCAATATTCTTAGGGTTGGTGCCATATATTTAAATGTAATGGAAGGTGCAAATATGGCGAAAAAGATGCTGTAATAGAAAATCTTTAAAAGGAAATAAAAAATGAGATTATTTGAATTTTTAAAATAAAAATACAAATACAATTACCTGAGGTAAATGAATGGCTGCTTCGTGAGCACTCTTATCACCGACAACAATTGAGCCGTTGACCAAAATAAATGCAATAAATGCCGCAATGGTTAATATATAGCCAATTAAATGGACAAATAAAAGCCGAATTTGTTTTGGAACTAGGTAGACTCGTTTGGAGTAGAAACAGAAAACCGAAAATATGTCCTAGAGTAAACGAATCACAATTTTGAAATTGACATGATTTTGAAAGCTACACAACTTAAACTTAGTATTATTTCAACTACCTGAAAATTATAGGAATAGGAATTGGTTGGTCGTTTTTCTGAATCTTTCTTTATAAATGGCAATGTTTGCGAAATCAGTTTATCCATGATGGTTGTACCCAGGATCATTCCAACCCAAACAATATTTGTTTGCCTCATCAGAACGCTGGCAAATCCTACCGAACAATAACGAAAAAAATTTATTTTTCCACGGTTTATGTGTCGCACAGTTATTTAATATACCAAATAAAGCGGAAATATTATGTCGTTGTTTTATATTAAAAAGGAACATCCCCAATATCATTGTAATAGATGTTATATCCGTGTAGTATAGGTGAGCAAAAAGATAAGCTGGTGGTAGAAGTGACAGTGTGAGTGTTTCCATCGCAATTTTGATTAGATTTACCTGTGAAAATGTTGAATTTCGGTAAGTTAGCATCGATTCATTAAGAAAAGCTAAGAATTTATTTGCACCTTTTGTTGTAAGCTTCGTCGAATCTCAAAAATCAAACACAAATTTATAATCGAACATATCAACGATGTTAGTCGTAGTGCAAAAGTTGAGCATTGTTTGAAAGGCAATAAAAATATGGCTGATAAAACGTATAGTCCCGGTAATGTTGTTATTTTTTCATCCCACTGTAGAAGAAGAAACAGTAAAAAGTGCTAACAGAATGAATTTCATCTTTGAAAAAAAGCAAAAAAGAATATCTTACAATGTGGAAGTTTCCCAAACAATAATGTCGACCTTGCCTCAGGTGAAATTCTTCATCAATCACCAATTGCGATGCATTGAACACAATATAGAAAATCGGGAATGAAATTGCAATATAAACAACCAATATTATATATAGTGGTGACATTTTGCACGACTATAAGAAAACGTGTTGTTCAACAATAAATTGTGGAATTTTTCAAAAATATTGTGATTGAGTTTGATGTCATACACATTATCTTAAAGTTTGTTTTCATTTGATGCTAAACAAGGAGCTACATGACATACGAGATGTGGAAAACGTCACACTTTTGAACACACGGGCGAAATGATAAAAACCGGCAATGAATGCGTTTAATGCTGTTTTGCTCAAGTTTATTTCATTAATACTGCTAATGGCGCATTTTAAATGGCATTTCAACTATTTTACATTAGCAAAGAGGATGAAGGGGAACCCTTGATCGATATTTTTGCATCAGCCCATTTTGTGTGAATCAGTCGACTGATAAGTGATGTTGTACCATCGTCACGCGATACAGTGGGAACGTTATTACTGTTTCCTGCATTGTTTGACATGGTATCATTGTCGGCTTGTGAACGGTTATCAATCGTCATTACAAGGTAATTTCCAGCACAAGTATAATAATGAAGCTCAAAACGTTTTTCAGCATGATAGTTGCGAAGTAGTTCACGATTTGAGTTGAACATCACACCTGTGAAATATAGAAAAATATTCATTTCCATGATTCCTTGGTCAACAGTTTTAGGATACATTAGAAAGCTGGCTATACAACCATAGTGTCCGCAAATAATGGACACCCAAATTGGTAGAGCGGGTGTTTTTAATCTAGAACCTGAAAAACAATAAATAATATCCATAAAATAATTTGTCCAAAATTTGTGTATTGATTTAGTTACCCGGTTGACGACTTAAAAGTGATGAGGCATGACTTTCATTTTCCAAAATGAGCAACCCAATAGAAGACCTAGACCTAGAATTAAAAAAAATATTATTCCACAATAAAAATAAAAAATAAAAAATATCCTAAATTTAAATACAAACAATATTCCAAACTGAGGTAAGGCCTTTAAGAAATTTTATAGTTATTTTCCTATTTTTCTAAGCCTGATAATTAATATTTCTTACATAATGGTCTTCATCACCAACATATATAACCCCATTATGCAAATACGGAGTGGCATGGCCAGTGAGCAATAAAGTTACGATATTCAAGGAACCTTCCTCACTTGTTCCCATCAAATAAGTACCCTTGGGACCATCTAGATCCGTTATGACCCTGAATATGATTCATTCAACGTAATTCAAAAATTATGATGTGAAAATAATTATCATAAGATGTAGTTTACTTTGACGGAGTACGGGTCAAAACGGCACTGTAAAGAAACAGCAATGCACCAGCTCCATTTTCCTCACAAAACTGTAATGAAAACGGAAGCAATTTTCTTTAGGTTGATTTAATATTAGTTTCACAATGAAGTAATTTGTTTATAAGAATTACTACTTTGAAGAAAAAAAGGGGCGAAATCGATTCAAGGAAATTGAGATATTGACAAAAAAAAATACGATTCGAGTCTCCCTTTAATTTTTCGTGTTATTTTCCTGGTTTTATCGAATCCCTGAACGCAATTAGCAGCCGTTTACATAATACCAAGACACTTCACTTACGAAGTATAGATATCTCTTTAAAAATATCTCCAAGTCGTCCAATTTTGTAAACTCGAAAAGAAGTAGCTAATGAAATAAAATTAGCGATTAGTTTGGATGCAAAAATACTTTCGAACTATGGTCACCTTTTCAGTAACGGAATCTGAAAAAAAGCGAAATGTTCAGGTGCTAAATATTACCAAATTGTGAAAAAGTAAGTTGGTACCTTGGAAATACGTGTGGCTGTGTGGTATCAAATTTGTTTCACCAGTCAAAACAATTACCACTTTAACCTTTTCACCAATATTCCAAAGAATTTCGGAAATGGCCGCGATCAATGCTTCATTTTGTTGTGCTTCGGTTGGTTTTAATAATCTAGTGTGATCATCACATAAAATGGATATATTTCAGTTAATCAGTATTCAGTTGGTCGTACATCGGAAAAATATTTTATCTACGAACATGTCAATGGGTACAGATTTTTTCTCCCCGCGTGGTCGTATGCTGAACAAAAAGTGCTTCATTATATATGCTTGTAAAACTGATTGTAATCCTCTGCTAGCATTTTTTGGGGAGCGCAAACCGTAAGGATGTTCCTTAGGAAAATTAATAGTTTAATAATTCAATCCATATCCAAAACTATATCCACTTACTTCTTTATATGAACAAAAGCATAGTGGGGTGCGTGTCCATTCACCTCTTGGCGGAGCACTTGCACTCCCAAATACACTTTTTCTTAATTCCTACAAAGTTTTTTTCAGTTCAGAAACCAATAAATTATTTTTCTTTTTTAACAAAAAAAAATAATCAAAAATACTAACAATTGCTTGGTCCACGTTTATTGGAATTCCCCCGACGAGTTTGGTACGATTTGCCATTTTTTTAAATTATTAAATATTTCCGCAAATTTAAAGTATCGGACGTTTAGTCTCCATACACTCGCAATGGATTCCTTTGTTAGAATGATTTGATTTTTAGCAAAACACGTTTAAATTTAAAATCGTCAGTATGATTGGAAAGCACTTGAATGTGCTCCTTTTTCGTAAACAGGATGTACCAGCCTATGTGTAAATGAAGCTTTTGATTGATTTGACTGCTTGTCTATATCAATGGTATGTCTGTGCAATGCCATAAGATATCAAGTGTTTTTATCGACACGCACGCAAAGCGTTATGTGTGCTCTATATATAACTAGCACGAGAACTGCAAAATCAGTTTCATGTAATTATTGGCCTGTTATGGCATTCCCAACAAAATTGAGAAAATAGGACGGCAAACATTCAGTTGAGTCATTTAATTTCACTTTGAGTTATTCGAAGTTTAGCCTCATAGAGACACGTATGGTTGATTTTCGTTAAACCTTTTAAATGTTTCTTTATATAATTTGATTTCAAATCTTCCATGCAAATAGCAAATAAACTTTTATGTGTATGTTGCATAAATTATGTACGATGAAACTGTTGTCATTCTTTTGCGCTGATGTAGTCATTTTGCGACTAATTTAGTTTCGATATTTGTTAACGCCTGATAGCATAGTTCTACATGCGATTGAAATCACGAAACATTGTTAATTTTACCGTTCATTCGTATAACTGAAATGCATGTTTCTATTTCTCTAGATTTTTACATCAGAACATGTGAAATGAATTCACAGTTGGAAGGTGGAACAGTGTGGCAGTTTAAGCTATTATTATTATTATTGGTATTATTTGCACAACGGCTCAGTTCGAAAGGAATGAATTGAATATTGATTTTATGTTCGATAAAAAGGTGTTTGCGTGAGTTGAGCGCATTTTTGAAATCCACGTCATTTGGTTTGAATGATATGTTACAGCTAGCCAACATAATCAAACTCTATACAATATTTGATTTTACTTTCAATTTATTTGTTTGCACAGATTTTTTACACTATTTCTCAAAATACTGCGTTCTCAATAATCCATGATGAATATGAATTAACGCGTGTATAAACACCAGGATGATTTTTTTCTCCGCATCGAATCCCATATGAAACAATACCAATTGTAACCCAACGTTTGTTTGGAAGCTGTACAAGTAGTGGACCTAAAAAGAATTAGATGTTGTTATTCGCATCCCATCTTCTTGATCATTAATCTATTGTTCATTAAATTACCTCCTGAATCGCCCTGATACGCGCAAACATGCACAAAAATATTGTAAAATAATTATTTATAAAATAATTTAATATTTAAAAAAAGAGTATTGCACACCTGACATGAGTCACGACCTCCTTCCACTGAACCAGCACAGAGAACATTTTCCCCAATACGTTCGATGAAAACATTCTGGCAATCTGGCTGATTCCAAATTGGTACCGATACTTCCATAAGAACATCGGAGCTCGGACCTCCAAAAAATTGAGAACCCCAACCTGTTACAATTCCAGTCCAGCCGGCAAAAGTTTCTCCTGTCGGTGGCATACACACGGGCCAAATGTACGAATTGAATAAAACCGATTGGTGGAGTTTTAAAATGGCAATGTCGTTATCGTAAGTGGTTTCATCGAAGTCAATATGTTGACGAATTTCCAAAACTCTAAAATCTCGTGATCGCGTTTCATTTTTTTTATTGAAATTGTATTCACCGAGCCGAATGGTTATTTCATTTTTATCGTATCTGTAAATGCAATGCGCTGCAGATAAGACATGCAGATTTGTGATCAAAACCCCTCCACAAAATGTGTGTGGTACACCTCTTCGAATTAGGGCCGCCATCCAAGGCCATTCGCTTGGGTCAGCCGGTCTTCCTCCAGTTATTTTCGAATAAGATTTAGTTGAAAGTCCACAGCCTCGCTCTTCTGGTCGAACTCGAGAATTTTTCGATGCATCATTTGACTCCTTTCCCATCACAATATCGTTTGTGTCCCATGCATTGCCTTGTTGTGGGAATGATGTCATCAAACTATCAAGGCAACAAACTCCGATTTTACTGTTGGTAGAGTTGGGTGTTTGAAATGTAAAACAATGCAGCGTATATATTTGCGACTCACCTTTGTTCAATTATACACAAATGGCCAATGAGATTCAGTAAATTTTGTTTGAATTCAGATTGAGAACATTGAGAGGCATGCTTGCAGTGGCCGGAATTACCATTTGGGGTCCGACACGCTTGATAGCTTCGGTTTGGCTTTAATTATTTATACTTGAAATTAATCTCGGTAAATAGATTTCAACTAAATAAAAGCCAAAACTTTTTTATAAAATTCACCTCATTTTCTTGACTGAAAATTTCCTCGGTAGTAAAGAATAGTAAACACAATAATATGAAACAGCTCTTCATATTTGCCAACACTTACGGTCCGATTGATGATATACGAATAAAAGTCCAACGATATATTTGGGTTGAATATAGCGCGATTATTTGCCATACCAATAAATTTTTTATCAAATTAACTTTGGGCAAGTAACGAAAATTATGTTGGTGGTTACTTCCTAAATAAAATTTAATCTTCTTATCAATATAATAAAGAGGAAATGTGACATACTTAATTTCCGCAGTGACGCGATAGCAATTTTAGGGGACAATTTTATGACTTTTTTATCGCCACATGGTTAATAAAGTAAAATGCTTTATAATTGTGGGCTTATTTTTTATTTTAATAATATTCCCATATCAATACAATAATGTGTATTTTTGGATATTTTTCGTCGTTATTTCGAATAGAAAAATTATCGCTCCGTTCAAACGGCTTCTTGAACTGGTGGTTCATAGCCTTCTGGACGTTCGACAACGACACCTTCAACGTTGGTAACTCCTTCGGCAGGTTTTCCGCCGCTTCCATCACCATGCAATTCCAACAACTTGGATAAATCGAATCGGGGTTTCTTCAATACTTTCACCTGTTACGAAATAAAATAATTTTATTGGAATTTAATTCAGAAATTGTAAATAATTCACGCTAGAAGAAGTCACTCACTTTGCGAATGTGAACATCATGCAATGGATAGATGCCATGGCATGCCTTTTCAATATCCTTAGCAATAGAATCCGGTACCAATTTGTTGACAACTTCCTTCAAATCGGAGCTAGTGACATCACGTGTAATGATGTCGCACATCTTTTTGCGGATGGCGCGGACTTGCGAGTGCTGGGCGTAACAAGTTTTACGTTGCGATGCACTATCCTTGGTGGTGAAACCAATTGCAAACACACGAAGCAAATAGCCATCGGTTGTTTTGACATCGATATGTGCTTCAATCAAAGTCTGCCATTTTTTTACCATTGACCTAAAACAAAAACCAAAAAATTACTAAAATCGATATTAATGTGTCATTTGTGCAATGGAAGAAGTTATAGGTTATGTACAATGTGCATCTTTTCGTTTCGTTTATATATGTATGGTTGTTGTTGTTGTTGTTGTTGTTGTTGTTGTTGTTGTTTTCGTTTTGGTTGTTGTCGTACACAGTAGTAAACATTGGACTTACCGCAATTTATCGGTGGTCAGGTTCATGCCATGGAAGTTGGTCAAACAGTGACTGCCTTGAACATCTTCGCAAATCAAACGGAATTTGCGGAATGAGCGTTCAGCATCGTTGTCGTTCTGCAAATCGGCCAATGAAACTTCAAACACGCGGTGCTTCAGTCCCTCAGATGCGATTCGGGTACCTTGTGTACGATTTACCAATGTTTTTCCAACTTGCCGTTGGGCAAACATATTTGGAGCTTTTATGTCATACCAATCTTTGCGTGAAAAAGGATCAATCACTTTCTTCTTGCTTCCTTTTTTACCACCTTTGGAAAGACCCTTATTTTTTCCGACTGCCATGATGAACGATCAACACTGAAAAGACAGATGCTATAAAATATGGCTGTCAATATACAAATTCAACGGAAACAACTGAAATGTCATTGCAATGACAGATTATAATTGAGCGCAGGGCTGTATAGTTCCATTTGAATATTCTACTCATTTTATGGCATGCATCACATTTTTTTCATGTAATCTATCATGATATTTTCAAAAAATCCTTTGGCGGACCACAAAAAAGTCGATTTTTTTTTTCAAAATACTCCATATATTTAATTTGTAATTGAATCATAATCCGATGTAATACTTCATTGTGAAACTTGAGTGACATATGAAAATAATTGTCAACAGTTTTGACATTCAAGCAAATAAGCACATCGAAACATTCGTGTAGTGCACGGATTCTGGCTTTAAATAATTATATTCAATAATAATTTAATACCTTTAATTACTCGAAGCTTAACAATTCAATTGAAAAAATGGTAGTATTTGTTTGCAACTTTAAATAACATTTGGCCATCATAAACATTATAATATATACAAATGTATTTCCTATTTTTGTAGTCAAGTGCGATTGTAGCTGGACTCGGGTTGGCTGCTGTTGGTTTCACTGGTCGTTACTTGTTGCGAAGGGCACCTCAAATGTCACAGAAATTTGCTGAAGCTATGAAATCTTTCCCTACAGCCGAAACCCTTGCTACGTCAAAGTACTACCGCGGAGGATTTGAAGCAAAAATGAACAAAAGAGAAGCAGCTTTAATATTAGGAGTCAGCCCAACAGCACCCAAAAATAAAGTATATTCTTCGTCTGTATAGCTGAAAGACCATTATTTGCATTTATTTTTTTTAATGAAAACCTTTCTTTCTCTCTCTCTCCCTCTCTTCCTCTCTTAGATAAAGGATGCACATAAAAAAATTATGCTCATTAATCATCCGGATCGTGGTGGCTCGCCATATTTAGCAGCCAAAATTAATGAAGCTAAAGATTTGCTAGACTCTCAAAAATAATATTATATAATAAAACTATTATATGTTTGCTAGTGTTGAAAATATTGGGTTTTTAAATAAAGTCCAAATGTTAACCAAATGTACAATACATATATCTTTTTAAGGATATTTGCAGTGTAGAAATAGAACAAATTCATTCAATGCAGAAAAATTGATTCTGTATCAAAATATAAATCTTATAAGACTTTTTGTTTTGTTTTTACTATTAAGAATCTTCGTATGCACAACACATACATGTGTATATGCATTACGTACAATACAAGAATGTTGAAAGTCTATATGCAATTCTATATCAATGTATTGGTGCTAAAGAAGAAATTCAGCATATTCATGAAGAGGAAAAATTCCCGTCTTATATTATGTATCGTATTAGCCGGCGACTGTTCACATACACACATATCGTATGTGTACCTGTACATATATGCTTGTTATGTGTTCGCTCGATCTTCGTCAATCTTCGTTTCAATGACATACTTGCTTACTTTCTGCACACACAACACACGGTTGTATAGTCTGCGCTTCGATTTCAATTTAATTCAAGAGCTTGAATGCTGGAAAAACATTATGTGTGGTTGAAGTTTTAGTAGCTCACTGCTTGCGCAGCATTTATCTGCAGACTTTGATATTGAGCGGACACAGCTCCGTGGTATTCTGACTATAATGGTTTAACATAAAGTTAGTGAACCTAGTTACATGTTTGAGACGGTAGGCTCCGTGAATATTTACTGAAAATATTGAATCAACAAAAAACTATTGATTAAAATAAAAACTCAAATCACAACTATACATCCGATGTGATAAGCAAAAAATAAAGTTTTGAAACTATCTAATGGATAATAGCTCGTTGACATTGTTTACGACATTCAGATTGAAATCTTTTAGAAAATATTGAATAACATGAATTGTGTGGGTTATAGTGCATACCTTAACCAAGTATAAAATGATAGAAGAGTGCTATACCTTGATCATGTTCAAATTTATGTACCTATAATCTATCATTGGTAAATAATGATACCAATATTTATTTGATTTTGGTGCTGTGAAATTTTGCGAATTGAATATTTATTTGAATTTTTTGGAAACTGTTGTTGATATTTTCTTGTTCGGTGAGTAAAATGTTTGCACATTATAATGTGATATATCACTAGAAATCTTTGCCCTGTTTGGCTTCAGTTTAAGTTGAAAATGGCCAAACGGACCACTCTGCTGCTGCCTATACAGTACCACCACCACTTCGATAATAATGCAGATCATCACAACCTGTCTATATTTTGAAAAATTGCCAAATGAAAACGAAACTTATTTATAATGAAATTTCGTTTTTCTGGTTGAGAGAGAAAGAGTTTATTTTTTTATTTTAAATTTGAGAGCTGTGAGAATGAAAATGGCAATACAGGAATAAACATTCTGAAGCGCATCAAGAAAAAAAAATTCGCAAAAGTGAATCATGAGTTCTGAATACGCAAAAGTGAACTATGAACCTCCTATGCGGCCCATGTAAATTCATGTTTCACTTTTCCATATTCAGAACTCATGATTCATTTTTGCGAAATTTTTTTCTTGATGCGCTTCAGAATGTTTATTCCTGTATTGCCATTTTCATTCTCACAGCCACATTTCTTCTTACAGAAACATTAACATAAAAAAATTGAGCAACCAAATGCCCGCCAATTTCATACTGTCGGGCAAATTGTGTTATGATAATATTTGAAAAATCAGTACTTTACAAACGTTCATCTGCCTTATTTTCATTAGTTGAAAGAACTTATAAGTCTACAAAACTTATAATATTTGTTTTCTTCTGATGTCATAGAAATTGAAATTATTATTATCAGAGATAACACTATCAAATGTCAATTTGATCAAATAAGTTAATCAATATCAGCGAGTATTTTATGACTTACAATTTACTCAAATGTTACAACTTAGTTTGTTTGTGCGAAAACATGATTCGTTTTTTTTACTTCGAAAGCCATTCCTTAGATCTATATTCTCAATACCATAAAGACTTTAAATATAGACTGTATCGACTGCATTATAAAGTACCTGTTGTGGGTACAATCTAATGCAGTTTTCATATGGGTTTCCATGGAATTCGTTAGAAAAACTTATTTATTTATCATAAACTATTAAAAAACGCATCCAATATGAAAAGTCCAATATATTTTTTATCAATTTTCGAAAACGATGACAATAGGACATATGTATATGTAAATGCATATTTCGTGAAATATATTTTTATGCTTTGTTGGTTGCATCAATGTAAAAGGTCCCATTAAGATTTTAATGGCTTGTGTGAGCAATATTTTTTGGTGTGAGCGTCGTCACCAGTTGCACCGCAAATTGGACACTTGAAGCTTCTTAGTCTCAAGCATACAACCCGACCAAGTTTGTCTTTCATGGGATGCGACGCGTATACATGATGTGGCTCGCCATTGTTTTTGCAGAATTGACAAATCTAATTGTAAACGAAACGAACATAATTGATACGTTGATATGTGATGGATTTTGAATTAGTGAAAATGATATTACCTTGTCCTTTGCAATTGGACGAATGAAAACGTTTGCTCGTTTATCCAAATAATCTCGATTATGATCAATATTGTGATGTGCCTTAAACGTTGCCACATTCATGAAATGTGGATACAGATGTCCGCCTGTGGATCCTGAAAAAAAGTCTAAAATAATGTTCTGTTGTCTTGAAAAAACTATTAACTACTTACTATTGAAAGCTGATTTACTTTCATCGTTTTCTGTTTGATTGGGCATCAGATCTGGGCCATTTGCATCCGTAACAGGGGATGTATCTTCAACGAGTGCATTGACAGATCGAACAATATCTTCGTCAAAATCCCAAGAATTGAAATTCATATTTCACAATATTTTTATATTCAATATTTCGTTGAATCACAACAAAGTCGTACGAATTCAATGAGAATTAGAAACGGTGACAAAAAAGACAAATACGTTGAAATTAAATGGCGTTGCAGGATTGGAAAACTAACTAATTGTGCGAACAATCCAGTTCAGATATATTGAAACAAGTAAATCGAAGCTATTTATGCTGTTGGCAGCGCGAAAACACAGTGTAGCACTATATTTTTTTTAACCATAGAGTTGAAAAATGTGACAGCATGACAACAAACATCCGTGTCAAATTGACGTTTACCTTTGCCGAGCTTGATCAATATTTACACAACGCACATATTTAACGTTTAAAAAATGTTACGGATATGTTGCCGATTTTATAAGGCAAAATTTCGCTTCTACGGTTCGATTAGAATCTGAGATCTGAGTATTGGAATGTATATTCTTTATCATCTTCCGTTCCGAAATATGGATCAGATTTATATGTTTCGAATCGGTAGTTTAGTCACAAATTATGAAAATTCAAAATTGGTCATACAAAATGTTTTGTTTTTCTTCTTTTTTCGATGATCGTTTTTTACAAAATTTTACTTATTGAATACATTAGTTATTCATGTATAAAATTTAAAATTTCTGATAGACTTTAGTATTTGACTTTGTTTTCAGATCATCATGGATCGATCAAAACAGTGGATAATATACGTATTTCTATTTTCATCATTGCAACCAATTATTGCCAACACTGGAGACAACACTTTCCGTGGATTTATTTCATACCAAGGTAATAAAAATACATTAAGTGCATTATTCTGCAATATAAATTCGAATTACAAAAAAAATGAAGTTAAAATAATTTGATATACATCGATATATCGTTGTCATCTTCTGTACATTGATGCACATTTTACATTTTACACGACGAGCAGCCGTCCATATTCATTCCTGTGCACAAGCAAGTACAGTTTAAATATGGAATGAATGCGTGTGTTGTTTTCTTTATAATGGAAGAAAAGAGTATGAAGGCGAAAAGAGAGTTAAAGAAAACCAGATCCAAGAAACGTTATATCGTGCAAAACTGTCGAAGCGACACAAGCAAAAACTGAAAAAAGTGTCTTGCTACATCCTTTATATACATACATACATACATACATATATATGCTATGCGATCATCATGAAACAATATATAAAGGCAGAGTTTCATCTACGTGTGTGCTTGAAATTGTTGAAAAACCATGCTTTTGCTTTTATCCGGGTCTGATAGAAATTGAAAGAGCAATTGCAGAATTTCACTATAGACATTCTAACACTTTACTGTTAATGCACCGATTCCCATGCCTATAGATGATCTACAATAGATCTTTATTCCATCTTGAGGAGAGTATTGATTCACCTATCGGAGATAGCATATTCTGGGTGTTCAATTTCCTTCTGAGGAGCGGGTCTACGTCCACTTAAATACGATCCATTCTGTCCACTTCAACAGCTGGTCGTTCATTCTCTTTGAATACAATTTGTATAGTGTTCGCCTAATATCGACCATACATACATATCCAGCCATTAAGTTCTTGATTATACTTTTTCTTACCTATTGTCGTGTATTCAGCGATTTTTCATGAAGCAAAATGAATGCCTGCAAATTTTATTCAGTCAGTGCCATCAAATAAATGAATATTGATAGTTGTTTTTTTCCACCTGCACAATGCTCGTATTCAGTGATTATCTCAAAATGGTCAATTATGTTTTTCAGCAATATTATATGTTACAGATTTAGATATTTGGTATATTATAGAGTATCTCTTATTTTGACAAATTGTCATCACAATGCAGTAATAGTTAATGAATTTCATTTTGCTTCATGTTTCATAAGAGAGTTCATAGTTTGCTTGAATCAAGCAAATTTTGAAAAGTGCAAATATAATTCTGAAATATTAAGTGGCGGCTATATTTCAATTAATTTTCATTCGTCGTTCAAAAAACGTGAATTGAAATATAGTATATCGATCTATTTAGTGCTATAACAGGCTCTTAAACAGCAATTTGCAATACTCACTAGCATGTCACCGGTTTTTTTAATAACTCGGTTAGATATTATTTAAATCTCAGTTCACTTGGCTATTTTGTGTTAAGCAGACATAAGTTGAATTTAATTGCGGAGGTTGTTCTGGTTTAGACCAAGTTTTATTTTGCAGGTGTTAATTTTTTTCTCAAGTTTTTCATTATAATTGGATTTAGGTGTATGGCGCCATTGATAACATCGTGATTTCAGTCCTGCTTGCATAAATATTATTTTTTCTTTCTTTTTAGACTTGCATCAAACGTCTGACCGTTTCACAGACAAAGATGTAACATCCTTTTCACGATTTTTATTTGATGTTTCGCGTAATCAAATAATTGTTGGTGCCCGGTATGTATATTTCAGAAAGTTGCTAGAACCAGTTAAATGAGTAGAAAATTCTGTAACAATTCATTTATTTAAATCACCGTACATAATGGATGTTCATTTGAAATAAATGTCAGACACATTATGTTTCTTCTGTAGTGGAAGTAGCCATCTACTATAATAGAAGAACAAGAATATTTTTTTCAGTGGGAAAAAGTTTTTCTTCAAAATCGATCAATACACATAACTTACTATTTATGGTAATACAGCATCTGTAAATGATTGTTTTTTTATAGAAAACTTCTCTCTTCCTGTTTTTAGTTAAAGTTTTAATACTTACTATCTTATGATGGTGTGCGAGTGTCGTGAACACTACACAAAGTGCAAACTGTTGACACTTGTATGTCTGAACTATGTTCATTTAGGAGTCAAGTTAGATTAATAATTTTCCGGAATGCATCCATTGAATTAAATGAATTTTAATGAGTTCTCGTGTTGTTGAGATGAATTGGAAAAGCGGCGAAACTTCTTTTACGATCCGCCCGAAAACAATTCATGAAATATAGATAGATAAAGGGATAAAAATATCTTTATCGCGTACAAATTTGTATGTAAATTTTTTTTTTTTTAAGTTGATGTACTTCTGCATTCAGTTCAAAATGCATTCAGTACCAGACGTGGGCACTGGGGGGGATTTCTGGATTTACCCCCCACCTGGTGATGGTAACGTCCGGATTTCCCCCTCTAATTTGGCTGGTCGTAACCCCCCTCTAAATTTTTTGTAATGGTCAAAATCCCTCCCCCAAAAATTTTAAATTATTATAATAACGGTTCTCTATGTCTCTCTCTCTCATTGCATTAAGTAAACAAACCCAATGATAACGTTAACCTTTGGCCGAAGTCGAACAAGCAGGAAAAAACGCAGTCATATTATGTTTATTACGAAATTTCTCAAAAATATTCTAAGAATAACCCCCCAAACCCGTCCCCCCCTTGTATTTTCCATAAATCTGGTTTGACCCCCACCTATGAAACATTTTCCTTACACCCCCTCCCCCCAAAAAATTTCCATTTTGAACGTCTGACCCCCACCTAGAATTTCGAACCGTGCCCACGTCTGATTCAGTACTTATAACGTATAAATTTATAGTGATAAACTGTCATTCATTTCCAAAAGCTGAACAAAAGATGGATGATGAGTGTAAAAAAGACAGAATAGACAAGCGATATACAATTTTAGCGAAAAAAATGTATAGAGTACTGATAGAAATATTATATGCAATCCGTTTTGATGAAATATAAAATAACGATACGTGCAATAACATAAGAAAATGAGTAGAATGAGGAACAGTTTGGAAACCGGTTATACGCAAGCCTACATATAAGTAGCCCAAACAACTTTGTTTGTGACGTGGGCGTAGGTGACGCGGATGATATGGTAGGCGCCTTGCAATATTTATATTAAAGAAAATCCGTTTTTATCAAAATTAAAATTAAATCATTATTTTTCGCGGTTTCATATTCGCATGTATAAGTTCTTCTGTTCTATATACTAGTATATCATGTTTTTATATTATTTAAGCACGAACATTATCTTTCAGTTGAACGAATACTTCTCTATCTCAGGACACTGAGTATAAATGAAAATTGCAGTTTATAAAGCTATAGCTAAGAGATATGTTTTCTTTTCTTGAAGGGACGCATTGTATCGTCTATCATTTTCGTTGAACTTGTATGAAAAACGTCTATGGGAAGCTACTGATGCAATTGTTGAAATGTGCAAAACGAAAGGTGCTAGTGATTCAGATTGTCATAATTATGTAATGGTATTGCAAAGCTTCGGAAATCAATTATATGCGTGTGGAACATATGCATTTAGTCCACAGTGTTCGTGGCGTCAAGTACGTATGAATTATTATTAAATGTTGATAGGAAATCAATTTTATTACCAGTAACTTGTAATTATAGATGGATAATTTGAATATCACAAAATTGGATAAAGGCGTAGCAAAATGTCCATTCAATCCACATGCAAATATCACAACATTGATGACGGATAACGGTAAATTATTTATTGGCTCAACAACGGATTTCCAACAAACGGATCCAGCCATTTTGCGGGCAGATATTTCCAAAGTGCGTAGAATTTTTTGGTATTTTATTTGAAAAAATATGCCAATTCATTTTTTATTCAATAGAAGACGATTTACAATGCAGACGTTTAAATTACACAACGTGTTTTAAGATGAAATTTTATATTTCTTTTGTCCATACCAATAAAATCATGTGTTTTCATAGGATAAAGAAGACAACAGAATATTACGAACAGACCAATACAATTCAAAATGGTTGAACTCACCACAATTCGTTGGAAGCTTCGAAGCAGGTGATTTCGTATACTTCGTATTCCGTGAGGCAGCCGTTGAGTATATCAATTGTGGAAAAGTGTGTATCGTTGAATTATGTATTTTGTTCTCCAATTTGTTATGTATATAGTAATTGGATTGTTTTTTTCGCAGATTATTTATTCGCGCATCGCACGTGTTTGCAAATCAGATCCAGGTGGACAGAGAGGTAGCAGAGATAATTGGACGTCATTTGCAAAGGCACGTTTGAACTGTTCGCTACCGGGTGAATATCCGTTTTACTTTAATGAAGTCCAAGGCATTCAATACTCAATGGAAGAAAGCACTTTGTTTGCAACATTTACAACACCAGTGTAAGAATATGAAGCACGAAAAAAAATGCTTACATTATACAGCTATGATATATTTTCACCGACACAGGAACAGCATTCACGGTTCAGCTATTTGCGCCTTCAATTTATCTTCGATAAATTCAGCATTCAACGGTGCATTTAAACACCAAGAAACCGCGTCTTCAACATGGGAACGTAAAGAATTGGAGCATCGTAATCAATTTGAATGTAAATTTAGTCCGATTTCATCAATGCGTCATGATTTACTAATGGGCTCACATCGATTTCAATTGATGGATGAGTCAGTGCAGCCCATCACAATGGAACCACTGTTTATGTCTGCATTGGAGAGATTCAATCATATCGCTCTCGATACAGTAGCAACTAAGATGCACAACAAATTGCAAGTTTTATATATATCGACACAAGACAATTTAATTAAAAAATTGTCGATATTGCCACGGAAGAGGGAAACGTGCGTTATTGAAATTTGGCAGCCAGAGGTTGAGAAGAACTCAAAAATTTTGACTTTGCAATATTTGAAGCAAACAGAATCGTTGTATATCGGAACCGAACATTCTGTACTTCGAATTCCATCAAACCATTGCAGTCGCCACTTATCACGATTAAATTGCTTAAACGCCATGGATCCATACTGTGGCTGGAATGACTTACAACAAGAGTGTACACCTCCTCCTGATGGCGAACCATTAAAACGGTTTTGGTTCCAACAAGCCAACGAGTGCCCACTTGTAACTGCTCCGATTGACGGTGGTTTTTCGGCTTGGAGTGAATGGTTTAAATGCAATCAACATACGGACGATCATCGTCATGAATCGAGTAATCTTGATTCATGCCTATGTCGAACAAGAGTTTGCAATAACCCTTCACCAGGTCAAGGGGGTAAGTATAAAATACAAATAATACAAGTAATAAAAAAAAATCTACTTTTTCAAAAATGTTGACGTTTTGGCAAGGTTGAAATTTTAAATTTTGAATTTAATTTAATGCAGACCACTTGGAACGGGCATTATTTAGTAGATTAATAGATGTTATATTCGTGCAGTAAATATGAGCAAATTTTTCAACCATCCGTATGCGATTGCTTGAACGAGACTGCTTCTTCTTTTTCATGCTACGGACGCCACCATTGTTGTAAAAATGTTGAAAAATGAGTGCGTTTAATAAAACGCCATTTTCCGCGTAAGGCTATACTAAATAAATATGTTTTTGGAATTCGTATCAATTGGTATAAATAAATATATTTTTAATGTATAATTTGGTGCATATTTGGTTAGAAAAAATGTTAATTCATTATATAGAACGAAGAATAGTATAGCCTTATAGCGGATATTGGCATTTCATTAAATGCTCTAATTTCTCAACATTTTCATAACAATGGCGGCGTCCATAGAGGGGAAAAAGAAGAAGCAGTGTAATCAACAAAAATTGTCGCTACACATAACTAACGAACACAATGAAGTTAGGGACTTTTGTAATATATTGTTTTCGATTGATTCGAATAAATGCATTTTTCCTGGTTGTATCGACAGGTTTGCCATGCACCGGCACAACTATTAGTGTTACCAATTGTACCGTACATGGTAAATGGAGTGAATGGAGTGCTTGGAGTGCATGTTCTCAAACATGCGGTATCGCTGTAAAAAGCCGTCGAAGATACTGTGGAAGTCCTGAACCCAGTTTTGGCGGTGGGTGTTTTTTTGATTAACATATTACAGAACATTGGTGATTTATTTATATACAATCTGTAATCAAATCACTCCTAAGTTCATTCCACTATATAGCATGTGTAGCTAATATACACTTCGCAATTCATCTCATTCATCTAAAAAAAAATTTCAACAGGTAGGACCTGTGTCGGTCCAGATCGTCTGGAAATGTATTGTACAAATCTGCCACCATGTCCAGAACCTAGAAAGTCGATAGATGGAGGATGGGGACCTTTTGGTGCTTGGTCTGAATGTTCTCAACCATGTGGGGCTGGTTTTCGTTTTCGACGCAGAATATGCAATGATCCGATTCCAGACGGTGGACTTGATTGTCCCGGATGTGCCATTGATTATGAATTATGCAATACACAACCTTGCCCTGAACTGCAACGCCTTGGACCATGGACACCTTGGCTACAGCGAATCAGTAGCAATGTTAGCATTGGAGAACATTTAGAGAAACGTTTTCGATATATGTGCAAGCTTAATGGAACAGACGCAAACAGCATAAAAGTGTTTAAAGCTAAAGAGGAAAGTCGGATTTGCGTTTCAGACGGATCGTGTCATCGTATTAGCGATGAAAACAATGATTTAGGTTTCAGTGAATGGTCTTCATGGAGCACTTGTACAAAATTGTGTGGAGGGGGCCAACAATTCCGCACCAGAATATGTTCTCGAACGGAACGGAATAGCTGTGAAGGATCGACGAAAATGACCAGAGTTTGTAATACTCGGCCATGCGAAGGTATCAATCATAATAATGAATATTTTATGTAAAGAGTTTTTTTCCCTCTAACGTAAGTAAATAAAAAATTACATCCAAATCAAATCAATTTTTCGCAAATAGACAGTGGATCTTGGAGTGATTGGTCGCCGTGCAATGTTGATGGAGAGCGATCTAGGACACGGAGGGTCTTATCTTTGGATGCCGATTCAAATAAGTGTGAAGAAAAAGAAATTGAAATACGATCTTGCACTTCCTACCTAAACGGTAATGATTATGTATCCCTCGCCTACATACTGATCTTCTAAACGTTCAATTCTTGTGTTCGATTTTCAGATCTATCAACCGCTGGAAATGCATCAACATACTTTTTGTTTTTATTTATAGTTTTATTATGTGGTTCAAATAGTTTTATTTACGTTTATATGAAAAAACGATATGGTCATCAAAGAGAAATCAAAAACATTGGTTCGCCGTGTTTTGACTCTTTTCCAAATCAATATTCTAGCTTGCCAACAAAAGAAGATCGCCCAAGAATGAAGCAACAGTCGTCGTTCATCGGTTCAGGCGGATCAAGCGTAAGGCTGTTGTCAAATGGTCATGGAACGCTAACTAAATCAAATAACGTCAACGGTCATCAAACGCCAAAAGTATTGTCAAAATGTTTTGCTGAAATTGACACAGCGACAATTAAGCGAAATTCCCACGGGCTTAATAACATTCGTCCGCTCCGCACTGTAGATGACGATAAGTTTTAGTTTTAATTGCTAACAGAAAGTCTGATATCTTAGAAACTTGGGGGTAAAATCATTTTTTTCATCTTTTATATCCGCACGCATCAAGTAATAACTTAGAAATTCAATGGTATGCATGTAAATCCGAAATATCCATGTATATTCAACAATATTCATCGTGAACGACAAATGAATATTACTGAATATACATAGATATTTCAAATTTACGTGTATACGTATGAAAAATAAAAATAGTGGCAAATAATAGTGAATCAAACCTTCAACCATAAATTTGAACGATTTTGGTAGATAACGGTGAATATTGGAACATTTTTCGACATTACGTCTAATGAATATTATTAAATATACATAGATATTTGAGATTGACGTGCATACCAGTAAATTAGTGCAGATTATATAGTCGAAAAATGTTCCAATATTCACCGTAATCCACCAAAATCCTTCGAAAGTGGTTCAAATTTTCGGTTGAAGGTTTGATTCACTATTATTTTTATTTTTTCAGAGTTATTTGCGTTCTGCAAAATCACGTGAAGCCTCTAGCTTAGAAAGATAGAAAACTAAATGCGAACAATTTATATATCTAACAATAGTTTCTTTAGGACTAACGAGCCTGTGATTCATTCGAGAGCAAAACTTTTACATCATTTAACTGCCAGTTTAATGAATATTTACAGAATAGAAAATAAACAAAAAAGTAAAAGGATTTAAAAAAAATATAATTAAACAAAACATGAACATGATAAAAACTGCTAATTGATCCCTTGTTTTGCCTTTCAAAGCAATCAAAATTAATCAACAATTTGTGCCATCCAAAATTTTCCATAAGTTCTGAATATTACTTACTCAGAAGATATTGAATGCATGTCATCATCATGCGCCATGCATTGTGTCATGTATTTTATCAGTATTATTGTAGCTCATATTGAGCATGCCCGTCCCATAATATAAACTAAAAAAACATACTCTCATATCAGCCAGAATAAAGTTGAAAACTAATTTTGGATAGATACAGTGCGTTTACTTTTCAGATAATTTTGCAATTCTTTCGATCTCATCAAGCAGGTAGTCGATTGAAGTTTCAGTCGGGGGAGGGAAACAGGTTAAAGTCATTCGAAAAAAGTTTCCAATATTTTTCGACGGCAGAGGAGCGTAATTAACCTAAAAATTTAATTAAAAATAATTGATGTTTTCAATATGTAACAATTGAAATTGATGTATTATTCACCATAATCGATCCTCCTCTGACCATGTTCTGTTTTATTATTGGAACAGTTCTATAGAGTTCATTCCACCAGCTTTCATTTTCACTTTTCGATCGCAAGTGCGATGGAATGTACCAGAAGGAAACATTTGTATATTGAAAGCTGCGTAATACCAAACGGAATGCAGCTCGCTCTGAAATTTGTTGTGTTAAATATTGTGCCTTTTCCATCGAATTGTCGATTAAACGCTCAAAACCTGTTGTTCCACGAGCTTTCAGCATCAGCCAGAATTTGAATACGTCCACTTTTCGACCGCACTGCAAGGAAAAGCAACTTTTTTCACAATAAAAAAAACGAAGTATAATAATTCACGGACCTGTATGCTTTTGTCTCCTGTATCATAAGAAACATCATAAAACTTGTCTTGTTGGAACAGATAAGTTGCCGCTGCTGAATTACATTCAGTTAATAATCCATGTTCTTTCACGAGAAACATTGAACACTGCAATGGTACGCCAAGTGATTTATGGGGATTCCATGACAGCGAGTTAGATCGATTTATTCCCTTCAAGAGATATTTGTGTTTATGTGAAAAAATAATGCTTCCACCCAGGCAGCAATCAACGTGCAGCCACAAATTATATTTTTCGCATACGATAGCAATTTGTTCCAGGTCATCAAAGGCGCCTAATACTGAAAGAGAAAGGTTATAAAAATAATTATTTTTATTATTTATGTTCAGTAATTGGGTATGAAAATAAATTTTTAATCAAATTGAAAAAAAACCTGTGGTGCCTGCTGTAGCGTTGACAAAAAATGGCAGACGATTACTTCTAATTACACGTTCAATGTTTTCTTCTAAGTCTTTGACCAACATACAACCGATCTCATTGGACTTTACTCTTATCAAATTATCCGTTCCAATTCCGAGCCAATGAACTGCCTTTTGAATGCTGTAATGTGACTGGTCAGAAGTGAATGCTACCAATGGCTTTAAACCGAAACATCCTGCAGTTTTGACATTTGGCACTGATTTATATCGTGCCAAAACCATCCCATACCTTGGAACGATAATTTAAATTATAAAGCGTATATTATTTTATCATCTTATCAACTTACATGTTCGATATTGAACCCCCAGGTGTAAAAATTCCATCACCACGTTCATAACCAAAATATTTGCAACAGCTTTGAATCACCTCATTTTCCATGATAGTGAAAACGGGTGCAACTTCGAACGTGTACCTATCAGTCAGAAAAAAGATAGACTATAGACGTCCAAAATATAAGCATAAATAATAAACATTTGATCTTACTGGCTGGTGTTGAGAGCATCAGTTATCCAAGCGGCAGAGAGGCCGTACGGATCGACTGCACCAAACAGTTGGTTATGAAAATGGGGATGAGATGTTTTCAACGAATATTTTATCACTGTTTCACATATCTTCCGAATATTTTCTGGTGTAGTGCCTTCTTTAGGCACGCTTAGATCAATTAGATTCTATATCAAATAAAACGTAAGTGAAATACAGTAAACTGCTATTTAGAATAAAAAATAAAAATAGGTTACCATTATTTCATCGGGAAATTTGAAATTTACTAATGTTGCTGTAGGCTTGGGATTTAACACGTTTGCGTCAACCAATATTTGATATATATCGCTTAGAATGGTCCACTCATTCAAATCACAGTTTCCATCATTATTTTTTTCTTGAACGCTCATCCTTAGAATAAGTTTCAATTTTTACAGGTGTTGACAACTGGAATGTTGAATGACTATGAGATATAGATTCGTAATTAAGAGTACTGTTCAAAAACAAAAGTGACAATAGGCACATTTCGGAAATAATAACAATCTACACGTTTTGCATACTAATTGTGTTTTTTTCTGTGTAACATTTGCAACCGTTCAACCGTCTCCATTCATTTAAATATTAGCGTTGGTATAGGTGAATCATGAATGAAAACCATATCCAAATACTATAAAGCAATAGTAAAAAAAGCACACAGGGAAATGACAATGAGAACGATTTCATTAATAATATTATTTAATGATTGCATGATAAACATGCAAATTAAATGATTGTTTTGAGTTGACAGAATATAAAAACCTTCAATGCAAGAAGAAACTGTAAAAAACCTTTCAACGTACGCATTGTATTAAATGAATACTTAGTTCTCTTTAACAACACCAGCGTTCAGACGAACTGCGTAACAAATGTCAATGAAATGTCAATATAGAATTGTGTCCCCACCAATTTTTTTTACTTTACAAAAGTAAATTTTAACTTGTGCAATTTTACACAATTTTTCAACAAAGAAATCATTCATATAAATCAGTGAACTGTATTGTGATAACCATGCCTGTAAGTATAGCATAATTAGCATAAGCATAATGGAAATTTCGAATACATTTTTGTAACAATAATCCTGGTTTACCTTGAAGGAGGAAGACGAAAACAATACTCATCCAAGTGAAAATGATGATGAAATCGAAAATGTTCGAGTTGTGGTACGCGTTCGTCCAATGGATAAAAGTGAACTCGATTTGGGCTGTGAAAATGTTGTGAAAATAGATAAGCTCAATCGATGTGTCACTGTAACAAAACCAAACACTGCAGCTACTGAACCACCCAAAATATATTACTTTGACAACGTTTTTGCAGAGGATTCGACACAGGTGTGTATTCAATGACAGTATAATATGCACACAAACACAAATACCTTATACTGATACAGCAATGCTCTTCTATACGATATTCACCGGAATGGGTAGCTATTGATTTTTCTTCGAAAATCTTTGCACTTCATTCTAATTACTACAAAATATTGCGTCAAGTTGTTTGCAATATGCGCTCATATGGCCATATAGGGCCCGAAAAGAAACAAGCTGCCAAATTTAGAAACATTCTGAGCGGTAGGGAGTGGACACGAGTTGGATAAAATATTTCACTTGAACTGGTGAAAGTCACTAGAAGAATGATTATACTGACTTGCCAATTTGGATTTGAATTTATTTCATACCAATGCATCTCAACTAAACAGTTAAGTAGTTTCTTGAATATGCGCCACTGCCGTATTAATATTACACGTAATTTTAAAAATTGAAATGACTTTCTGGCATTTTTTTAAATATTTCATGTTCTTCACATTGATATAAGCGAGTAAATACATCTCTTCTCCATCTCTGTATTTGGTTAGTATAAAAGCGATATGTACATGCATTAGTGCCACAAATTGTTTCAATATTTCGATCTTGGCATTGGCCGACCTTTGAAAATTAAAAAAATGGCCTTCCTTTCAATGGCTACTGTGCCCAGCCTAGTCAACCGATCTCAGACTTTTGGGTATCGTTGGAAAGTTCTCGAGGCCAGCTATCAAATGGCACCTATTTGAAGATGAAAAAATTGAGTTGGCATGAACCTATGGGCAGAAACCCAAAAAAATGATCACCTAGCCTTCTGGCAAAATTCGTTTTTTCGAGATATGACCCTTAAAAGTTGAAAAAAACATTGAAAATCGCAAAAAATTGAAAAAACGTCGTTTTCCTGGCGTAATTGCGAGCGCTACAGTAGTTAAAAATTGATGAAAATTAACTTACGTTGATATCATTGAAATTTCTCGAGATGCCAGCCCTTCACAAAGTCTTTTTATAATTTATATCATAATATCAAATTATGGAAAATAGAATTTTTTCTTGAGATTTTAAATTTATTACGTTCATAGTCAAATGTGTGAAAGAACATAGGCTGGCTGTTAATCTTATTGCAAAATTCTATCACAAAACAGCTGATATCAAATAAAAAACTTTCCTAAAGTCAATGCTCGTGCCGAAAGCGAACACAAAACGTGTGATATCAATTTTAAAAAAACATTTCGTAGAGATTTTAATTCGCCTATTTTGCATTCATCTAACTATCGCTAGGACCTAAATGGGTCCTTTTTGGAGATTCCAAGGATAGGGTACCTAATTGCTAATTTGTTATGTCACGGTTCCATATGTAAATGATGCTTAAAGTTTTTAAAGATTCGTGGATGAGCAATTCGTGATATTAGAGAACGTTGATACTTTAAAATTTGGCGGGATTCTATCATGTTCGTACTTACTTTTAAATTCGTGATGTGAATTCGTCTGACTGCTCCATGTCAAACGCAACAGATTTCTAACTAGACTTCCCATTTCCACTTTATAAGCAGAAATTTCCCGATTTTTATCATGATTTCCGGCATTCATATCTCGATTATTGATATCCAGTTTTGATCCAAATTTTGCCAATTTTCTCGATATTGTTAATTTTCCGATTTTCTTACCATTTGCCCGTTTTATTTTCGAAAAATTCTCTTCTTCAAACCAAAATGGAATATAAAGTTTATTTCTAACGAACCATATTATAAACAAGAGCAAATTTATGTTCACGTCGTACTAGTGGACTTTGCCCAAGTTTGTTTTGAAGAAATTGAAAATTTAAAAATTTAATTTGTACACGTCATTTATTCATAACATAATTACAACAATGAAGATTCGAGGAGAATAATGTAAGGTGTTTAAAATATTGTATTGCAGATTTATTTAAATAGAATGGCCACTGATAGTTGAAATATATATTTATTGCATTCTTGGTACATAGACCTTTGTTTAGAAGTACGTGTATTGTGATTGTTCTAAAATAAATGCATGATTTGAATTGTATTTTATGTGCATTGAAATTTATGTGATTGTTTAAAATGTCCCTTCTTTTGTTCTCCTTCTCACCATAAACATATACTATATAATGTTTGAAATGACTTCTCTTTTCAACAATAGTGCGCCTAAAATATAGTTTAATTGCTATTTGTTAAAATTTTTGGTAAACCATTGAACATTAATTATATATTTGCGTTATAAAGTATTTGACGTCCAGAATTTACTCTCAGATTTCTAAAAAATAATTTTTTTTCTTGGATTGATTTTTAGTCCGTAATAGAGAGTTTTCCCCAATTTTGAATTTCATTTGATTCCCTGCTGAATGTATGTCTATTCGAAAAAATTGCATCTAAATTTTACGTAACTTTCTGTTGTGTTCTGTATACGTGGAAATAACTGTGGTACAATATATATAACATGGTGAGAGTTGGGCTAAATTTTACATAATCATTATAAAATATTTTAGAAATATATTAAACTCTTTCCAAAACTATTTCTAAATTGACGACGTCAATTTCTGTTATCTAAAATTTGAACATTTTTTACTTCGTTGTCTTTTGATCAATTTGATCGCTGTTTTCCATCCCATTGTCGTGTTCCACCTCTCGCGATACGATTTAGTATTCGAATTCGCCTCGATTACCAGCGCGAATCATCAAAATAGCGTCGACCAAATAGGTGATGGCTGTGATGACTGACATGAATCCAGAGGCGCATAATAAATCCAATCTAGAAGAAATTGGACCATAAAATCTTCGATTAGAGAAATCAATACATCCTTTTTCATCTGAATATTTAGTAGGGTGAATGAAAGAGATAGGTTTGTGAGCATACAAACGGACGATATTTTCACCATCAATTTTCAATTTGAAATTGCGGGGAAAATTGGTGTTTCAACAGTGTGTGTTCGTGTAAACCGTAACATACATACGGGAAATAAAATCCATGCTCTACGCTTTCATAAAATAGTTAAAGTGTTTACAATTAAAATACAATCTCAATATCACAACAACCAAAGCCTCATATGTCTTCCATTTTATTGATTTGGCTTGGTTTGATTTGAAGAGTCAAATCGGGGCCGCACATACTCTAGTGGAATTTTTGAATAATTTAGTGAACATTTTCAGTGTTTTTCCAATACTTATTGCGTGCTTATTTTCCGTTTATAACTTCATATTGTGAAGACATACACGGTTCATATTGTGGACAAACAGATGACAGAAATCCCATCCATTTAGAACATAATAGTCCAATGGTTGTTTGGTTGGTTGGCTATTAATTATAAAGCCAATGGAACGGTAGTTATTTGAATATCGAGATTTGTCGAATTCTGTCGGAATCAATTATTAAAGCATATATAGTCTGAACATTCGAAAACTATGTAAAATTAGAAAAAGTTTCGGAGTGCGTGAACAGTTGGTAACGCACTGAAATTTACTGATTATTGATTTTATAGATAAATAACATTGGACCTGAATGTTGAATCCGAAACGTATGTCCATGAAAATGTATGTCAGGATAATTTAGGCTTTAAGCCCCGTCCTATATCCAAATATTGAGATTAAACCGATAATTTCATTTAGAGTGTGTGATTTAAACAATGAATGTGAATAAATAGTGTTGATATGGTGTTCTATACAACGATTCAAACTGACACACTATCAAAAAGACATATATACTTATTCAAATGCCTAACAAATTTAAAAAAAAAAGTCACAAACACAAAAATTGAATTCACAACGAACAAAATGGATTGACTGTTATATTCATGTGGTATGATATCAACATGAATATACATAGAAGACATACGCAAGAAATCTTTGCGAATTGATTAAATCGCACCCTTTGGTTGGTTCAAGAGGAATGCCATTCGGATTATTTGGGCTCATCGGTGCTTGCTCAACAGGGCTACTATAATTGTTTGCATTTTGTTTTGATTTTGGAATCATATGCATCGCATTCGTGTTTTCATATTTGCATGCATATAAACAAAAAACAAACGGTTAGAAATTAATTCGCCAAAGGTAAAATTGATTTGTTAATTGTTATCTAAATTATTTGAAAAGTCTGTATCCTAGTGCATAAAATGGTTTAGATTTAGAACCTTGTTGTATTCGGGGGCCAGAAGTTCCGTTCTTTTGTATCAGACCAGTCTTTCAGCAAAAATACTCCGCAAATGAAGAACAAGAATGTTGCAACACATGCCAAAATTGATGTGGTTTTCCATGGCCATCTGGTTTTAAAGGGGAAAAGTTCATATTAGTCATTCATAATTTTCTAAATTTTTCCAAAGAATTTCCTTACTCATCACGGATGAGTTTTCCAATCAAGAACACAATAGAATAGATTAGAAAGGATCCAAACGTGACGTAGCAAAGCGCAACGGTTCGCTGCGATACAAATATGCGAATACGAGAATTCTGAGCAGGATCATCGATTAGACCAATGCACAATATGCATAAAACCTGCGAAATTTGATAATAATGAAAATGGACCAAAATAAATTTTTTTTTGTTTCATTAGCCTTCAATCCAATCTAGCTAGCTTATGGAATAATACTAATAGCATGAGAATAACGATCGACAAACACGAACGTTTTATAAATTTTTAATGAAGAATACTTCCAGGAATGAATAGAAACAATTCTAAGTGATGATTCATACTTTGAGAATAAAATAGTAGAAAATAATTGAAATAGTTACATTTTTCACAAACAAATGTTTCAACTTTGTACTACCGTTGTTCTATCAACTTACCACTTCGATCGATTTTAGAATGGTCGGCCAATACTTCTTCGCAGCTGCTGCTCCTCCACCAAAAGTATATTTACCCGATGAATCTGTTTGTTCTGCGTCTCCAGCCATATTCAAATGAGATATTTCTAGTAAATCAAAATATTAGTTATGCTCATATGAGTAGTCGGTTTTCGTATGATATTTTTAACGTAAACAGATTAAAACACATGCATGAAAATATATTCCATTTGAAGAAATTGAATGGTTATTTTTGGCAGACTTTGGATTCTCTGTTATTGGATATTTTCAATTGTATTGTGTTATGACAGGATATTTTCGTGAACTTGGTTGTTTAAAAAATATGAAACGTCAACCAAAAGCGACGAGTAGTTAGATGATTTTTTTTTAGCTAGAAAGTAGTCACACTCGCATTGCTTTGCAATGAAGTCACTGTTCTTAATGGGTTGAGTAATGTGATTTCCAAACAAAATTTGATACAATAAATAAATTTAATTAATTTAAACGAATGAGTACATTGCGAGACGTACTTCGTGGGAAGAAAATAGAATTCTTGTTTAATGTGGATGGCAAGTTCACTGCAATTTACAATGAAATCAACAAATAAGGCTACTGACTTCTTGATCATTATTATTATTTGGGCCGACAATCGTTAGGTCGACAAGCGTCTGTTAATAGAATGAACGGCACACACCCAAATTATGACTAATTAGTAGGAGTTTGCGTACTATATACTCGAGTTAATGTGGAATTAAACGATTTCCTATATCACTGTGTGAAGGCTGGAAATTGAGTTTTGTGGCTTATTCATTAGTACCATTTTAGGATTGAGTGGTTCATGCAAAATCCATTAAACATTACCTATATTCATTTTGGAAAGAGCAAATTTATTGTTTGAGCCCCAATTAGGTCTTGTTCTAAATGAATTTAAACAGTTAATTTCATATAATAATACCAAATTTTTTTTTCATATAACGATTCTTGGGTTACACTTAATTGAGAGGTCAAATTCTGCCTTGCTATGGAGAAAAGTGTAGATAAGTAAGATCTTGGAATTATATATACATATACAATATACATATATATCTTAGTATATGATCTCAAACGAACCGATTCTAAAAATGTCGTCAATATTGCAGGTGAAAGCTATGAAATATGTAGATCTTTTTTATAAAAATTTCAGAGAGAGAGAGAGAGAGCAAATTTTCCCTTTAAAATGAATTCAAAATAGGTTATTCGTTCCGGTGTTTATATTCAAACAAACACGCATACATAATTAAAGTAGCGTTTGTTTTGTATTTGCTGCATATTTTGTTCAGAAACAATGTAATTTATTGACAACTGCGTTTTTTCTCATCGTTTATCATAATCAAAGTTGGAGTTTTCTTTGGGAAGAATGGAGAAAATAACAATTATAGTTTTTTCCAGGTCAAATTTGATTGTTAACTTATGTATTATATGCACTTAGTATCATCATATCATTCATCGACAATGATACCATTTTTGCAATTGCTTCGATTAAGGTTACTTCAATGGAAACTGCAGTATTATTTTGAATGATCATATTGATGGTTTTGAGTGCATCTTCGTCTTATCCGATTACTACTGTTTATATATGAGATCAAATTTCGCATTTGACATTTTTCAAAAATTATGAGAGCTCCGTTCTTATTTATTATATTGTAAAATAATGTCATATAGATCATATAAGTATTAAGGTGAAATTTTATTCGGTGGCTCATGAAATGTAGCACTTTGAAATAATTTTTACTTCACGTACAAACCAGCAACGATTCCATTATTTTTGAATACAATGGCTCATAAATTGTTAAACACGACAAAAATACGCATGAACAGAAAGATTTCATCACGAATAATTGAGCGTAGAGTGAAAGTAAAGCTGCGTTTTACGCATCTGTTTGTGGTGGTATGTTATTCGTGTATATATAGGAAATATCAGGTTTATTTTTATAGTTTTGAATCAAAATAATACAGTTCCGAATGAAAAAGTTAAGAAATATTTGTTATGAATCACTTGATTTCGGTATTCGCTTCATATTGATATTCTATTTGAATATCAATTGAAATTATTAGGATGAAAATTTTCTGGAATTATACTGTGTATAGTAGTAATACACAGAAAATTTCATTTCATTTAGTTGTGACATAAATGTTTTAGTTGCATAGGATGTAGGCACGGAGAAAAAATTGAAAAGAATGCAATATTATTTATTGAATTTGTATTTGAAGACTACAATGGTTTTGCATCAACGAATCAAGAATAATATGAATGATTGCGATAAAAATCTTTGACAAATCGAAATTTGAAATTGTCTCGTTGGAACGAAATTATATGTACATCATGTTGGCAACAGAACGCACATAGCGTTCACACATAAATGAATGTATGAAAGAAAAATATTCGTATGCTACTAAAAAATTACCATATATTGAAAACAGACATAACAACGAGTGTATTTGATCAGAATACCGATTGCGCCGCAATAAGCTTGTTTATTCAAGAGAGTTGGAAAAAAGTATTTAACCAGATATTCAACGATGGTGTTGCCTTTCGTTATTATAATACGGCGTTTGTATGATTCATACGCAATATACTTCGATTCAAAACAATACCTTAGAACTGGGTGCTCAATATGTTCTAGATGCGGTTCTATATATGGTGCCAATGACTAATATATTTCTTGAAACACTTGATAAAGACTAGAATTCTATCGCTGTGCACATTTGTTTTGGTTTATATTCAAAATTTATGATTTCGGTTCACTAAAATTGTTTCCAATTTTTTTTGAATCTTAATTCAAATCAACTGCATTTTCACAGCATTTGCAACCAAAATATATTCGCGAAATATAGCACACAACTAAATATTGTTCACAATAAAGTTTGTTTGAACACAAAAAAAAAATCAAAACACTTCATATATAAAAAAGGGGGAAAAAGGCGCAAATATATCTTCAATTGATTAATCGATGGTGAAGAATAGAAAACATAAAATACCTTGTTTTTGTTTCGTTTTTAATGAGATTTATTCAAACAATATATTTGAAATAAAATCTTAACGTTTGACACGGGAAAATATTCTTTTAATTTGCGGTGTTTTTAGTGATTGTCTGTAATTTATTTGTATTTTTTCCTTCAAATATTTGAAAGGGCTTGTTAGTAGTTATTCAGTTTTATGTCTGCTCTGCTTGTGTACAAAATAACAACTGAATAACATGTAAATGTTACAACGGAAACATAGTAAGACCTTTTTTAACTTCTCCGCGCGTTCGCGTAAAGCGGTTTTGTGAGAGTTGCCAGTGTATTCGTGTGAAAATTTCATACAAAGAAAGTCATTAAATAAGTGTGTTGACTGTTATTCGTGTTTCTGGCATTCTTTGTTTTGTTGGCTTTCTATGTTATTCGTATTCGGTTTTGGGCGTTCAGTTGCAGCGTGTGTCAATGTACATACATGTATAGTATATATGCTTCTATATGTATGTATGTATGTAGTTTATATGGAGCCAAAAAATTAAACACAGAATTGTTGTTATTTGTGCATAGAGTAGTCCCATAGTAGAATTGACCAATATATGTTTTTTTTTCATTCGCGACGTATGTGCCTGTTCAGAAGAAAACGAATATTTTGACGGTACGGTAAACGAATGTATGTGTAGTATACACGTATTTCATACTTAAAAAACACATATACACTGTCGGTACACGGTGGCTAAATTCATTTGCATTACAGGACGTATTGCTATGTTCTATATAATAACAATTTTATTTGGGTGATGGCATAATCGAATGGTAAACGATGAGGTGTCTTTGCATTACTAAAAAAAATTGACTTTAACAAATAAAATTTATTTTTCATGAAAGAACAGCAGCTCTCTGTTCACACTCGATTATCTCTCATATCTACTCTACAGGAAGTTAATTAATGAAATTTCATTTTGATTATCTGTAGAAAAATACACATAGCTACCAAAATTTGTTTCCAATAATGCCCACAAATTGTTCTTGATTGTGGTATATTTAGAAAATAATAATAATGAAATAGCCATCGAGTCATAATATGTGATATATAATCCACATGGTGACAAGAAAATATGAAAAATGAGAAACATATTAAAAAAACAAAAAGAGAACTGAATGATTATACGAGAAACTCCGTTTGTGTTGATCTGCCATATCATTTCTGCTACGTCTGTTCATTTATTGTACAAAATACTGATTGTATTGTTGAATATGCCGTTAAATTGTTTACGCTAAATAAATGTATTTTTCATACTTGGTATGTTAATCATGTCACAATATAGTAAAATACCAAGAAAATATATGTCAAGAAATTGATTTGTTGTCAATGTGTATGTGAGAAGAAACAGGTTTTGAAAAATGTGTGCTAGGCGTGTTCCACACAAACACAATGATACTTTACGTTTGAGAATAAATTGAACAGTAAGTCTGTCTAAAATAGTAGTTCATTGAGAGGTAAAATCAAATACACGTCATTGTAACAATGTGAGATCGAAGCGTGTACTGTACGTGCTTCGGTGCAGATGATAGATGTAAAGGGGATAGATTAATTTTAAACTTAAATTCCAATGTATATAATGCCTCTCTTATTGAAGAATTCTAATCCGATTCTTCCAAATTTAGTTTGAAAAATTATCAATTTAATTACTGGTAACTTCTATTTGAATGAACCTTCTTTGGACCATTTGGAGTTATCTAAGCAGACTGCATCGATGTAATGCCCCATATATATATAGTTATTTCTTGTTTGAAGAAACAAATTTAAATCATCGATATTACTAACATCATGTTAGTGGCATTTTATGAATTTAAAATTCAATGAACAATCCGAAATTTTTTCAATATGATCATTGATTTCATTCATTCAACATTCTAAGATACTTATCTGTGTTTAATTTTGTAATGAATATGAAAGAATAACTGATAATTTTGATTCTTCTTGAATTTTTAGATTGATCTTTATGTGGATACCGCAAGACCGATAGTCGATAAGGTTCTTGAAGGCTATAATGGAACGATTTTGGCCTATGGACAAACAGGAACGGGAAAAACCTACACTATGAGCGGGAATTCCACATCACCACAAACCAAAGGAGTTATTCCAAATACATTTGCCCATATTTTTGGCCACATTGCAAAAGCTAAAGATAATCAGAAGTAAATATATTAAACATATCTCTGCCCCTTTTTTTTGAATTCGGTGTTGAGTGTAATCCCAATGAATCAATTTGATGTTGACGACTAACTGAAATGAGATAGCAAAAAATTGTTTTTGACAATGTTGTAGAACATCACTAATACTACAACTTTGCCCATGACAATATTTCATTATTTCTACCCACCCACTTACACAAAAAGACTCGAAGTTATTTATAGAAATATCATAGGACTAGCAATTAAATATGCATCATTCTTGGATGTTACAGAAATATGCAAAATATTACTTAATTTTACTATTTTATTTGTACTATTTTAGATTTTTAGTGCGGGTCAGCTATATGGAAATTTACAACGAAGAAGTTCGGGACCTACTAGCAAAGGAGATAAAAGGAGAGACAAAGAGAAGTCTCGAAGTAAAAGAACGTGCCGATATAGGTGTTTACGTTAAAGATCTCAGTGGTTACGTGGTTAATAATGCTGACGATCTAGATAATATAATGAAATTGGGCAACAAGAATCGAGCAACTGGAGCAACAAAAATGAACGTGGAGTCATCTCGTTCGCACGCAATCTTTTCTATTACTGTCGAGAGTAGCGAAACGGATGACAAAGGGATCGAACATGTAAAAATGGGAAAACTACAGCTCGTAGACTTGGCCGTACGTATAAATTGCTCACCATGAAAATCTGTAAAATTTCGTATAATTTAAAATATCTTGAGACATAATTTTACGGTTTTACAAATTTATTTCATATATGAAGTGGAGATATTTCATCTCACTGTATCATGTGGTTATCACAAGAAATGTTCCTCACTGACATTACCTTTTGACTGCCATTAAACATATATAATATTATCAAACATCTGAATCCTGAAGTATAAAATATTACTTATTTGATTTTTAGGGATCGGAACGTCAAAGTAAAACACAAGCGACCGGAATTCGTTTGAAAGAAGCCACAAAAATTAATCTATCGCTTTCGGTGCTTGGAAACGTTATAAGCGCATTGGTGGATGGAAAGAGCACTCACATCCCATACCGAAATTCCAAATTGACGCGTTTACTACAGGACTCTTTGGGGGGAAATTCGAAAACTGTTATGTGTGCAAGTATTAGTCCAGCAGATTCGAACTATGTCGAAACAATATCAACATTAAGATATGCAAGTCGAGCGAAGTCAATTCAAAATAGAACTCACATTAACGACGAACCAAAGGATGCACTGTTGAGGCATTTCCAAGAAGAAATTGCTGAACTTAAACGGCAGTTAGAAGAGGGTGCTCTTCAGGAGAATAGTTTTGATGAAACTGATGAGGATGCCAATGATGACGAAGAGAATATGGACATTGAAGCCGAAAACAGTAAGGAGGAACTGCAAAATAAGATGGAAAAGAAAAATAAAAGGAAAAGCAAGGCCAAGACCGATGCAGCTGAATCAGAAAAGGAATTGCTTGCAGCTAAGGTTTTGGAGAGAGAAAGTGAATTAAAACGTACCAAAACTGAGCAAGAGACTTTGCTCACGAAGCTTCAGACGCTGGAAAATAAAATATTGGTCGGTGGTGAGAATTTACTAGAAAAGGCTGATGCCCAGGAAATACTACTTGAGGAGAAACTACTTGAGTTGGAAGAGGCCACCAAGAATGAGTTGGAGCTCAAGGAATCATTACAGAAAAAGGAGGCTGAACGAATTGATATAGAGGAGCTGTATTCTTCTTTACAAGAAGAATGCATTGGAAAAACCAAAAAATTACATCGTGTAATGCAGATGCTGATGGGTGTTAAATCTGAGTTGGCCGATCAACAGCAAGAACAGCAACGTGAAAAGGAAGGGATTCTAGAGAGTATCCGTATTTTATCACGTGAATTGGCATTATGTGAGTTTGTATTGAATTCATACGTACCACGCGAGTATATAAACATGATAGAAGGGTTCACACAATGGAACGAGGATGTTGGTGACTGGCAATTGAAATGTGTCGCCTACACAGGGAACAATATGCGTAAAAACCTGCAGGATGAACGTAGACACACAAAAGAGGCAGAGTTTGTCGATTTGTCCCATATCTATCTGAGTTACAATTCAGGCTCAGTTGTCGAGCCTATGAGAACACGCGGTCAATCAGCTACAAGACCAAGAACATCAGGTGTACCACGTCCCACTACGCGCTCCTACAAAATAAAAAGCTAAACACTGCAATTGAGTTCTGAAATCAAATAAAGGCGATTAAGATTACACGTATGAACAATTACACGTATTTTACTGCGACATTCACCCATTGTTTGATCGTTACATAGAATAGCAATGTAACTCTTACTATTTATGTTCACACTTCTTACTCTGTAACAGAAATTTATTTATTCAGCCAATGCAGCATTTCGACAAATTCAATTCACAACAAGTATTGAAATAATTTATATCGCTGTATGTTTTTCGAGTATGCTTTACGTATTCATTTTTCAAAGTATGGTTTTATTGCATTCCAAATTTATTATAAACTTTTACTTTTTCTAGTCATTATATTTATTCATAAATACTAACTTGTACTTAATTCCAAACAATATAATGCACAGCTTGGACTTTATTCAAATCAAATAAAAAAAAACAAAAATTATTTCCACAGTTATTATTATTACTATGAAATGATCTATCCTGAGTAAAAGTATGTTGAAACAAAGAAAAAATAATCCTCCACTGCGTCATTTATTTCAGAGTTGAGAATAGTCTATCTATGCTAGATTTTAGCCGAGAAAAACGAAAAATGTATAATAAACAAATTCATAACACATTTCCTTACCAGTAAACGTATGAGTGTTTCAGAAATTTTCACCTGGATTCGATAGTTGGGCTCAAATGATGACGATTGGTGCAAATATAACTTCTTCCAGTTCACAGGGCGGTTCCCCAGGAGCCCCCAAAGTACGAAAAATCGGCGATTTTCGAAAATCTAACTTCTAAACGCCTGGGAATTTTGCTATACTCTCTTATGCAAAGTTGTAGATCTTGACGAGATAAGAAACATTACTTAACACGTCACCCCCAAAAAACCACCCCTTCACTTTAAAAACCACCCTTGAAAATAGGTAAATTCTAAGTCACCCTAAAACTCAAAGGTTTTTTGGGGGTGACATGTTTAGCAATGTTTCTTATCTCGTCAAGATCTACAACTTTGCAGAAGAGAGTATAGCAAAATTCCCAGGCTTTTAGAAGTTAGATTTTCGAAAATCGCCGATTATTCGTACTTTGGGGGCTCCTGGGCAATCGCCCTGTGAACTGGGGGAAGTTATATTTGCACCAATCGTCATCATTTGTGCCCAACTATCGAATTCAGGTGGAATTTTGAGAAAAAATTTCTGAAACACCCATACGTTTACTGATTAGCTGGAAAATTTGAAGAACTTTTGAAAACGCGTATGCTAACATCTTAGATAGTAGCCTGAGAATTTCGAAGATTTAAACGGCTATGTATGCGTCTCGAAAATACCTTTCAAACGATGGAAATACCTTCCTGTTTGGATACCTAGTCATATACATTCTCCAAAAGTATTTATTTTAATTATCCCTCTACTGCGCAACACAGCCCTTAGGTGGGTGGAACTCGAAATTTTCCGACTTTGAGACCACATAACTCGAGCATGGCTGGAGGAACATAGCTGGAGGGGTTTCACTTCTTAGAGGTTTAAATTCAAGCGACACTATTTCTTTATTTCGTTCAATTTGCGTCCAGCTCCCTTCAAATGCAATGAAACCTGTCTGGAAGTTGAGATTTTAGAAGATTGCGATAGAGATACAGATTCCAAGTTGATTTATTCCTTGAATAATGTAACAATATATCTATCCTCCAAAAATTTCGATGAAATCTTACAATAAAATCAAAAGAAATTCCTTTTCCTTCCACGGATCCTTTCAAAATAGTGTTAAATTTACTCCAACTGCGAACGCGAGTTTAAGAAAATGCAATAAATGTAATATTCGAAAGGTTATTTGGATATGACACAGGCCATTTTTTTTTAAATTTAGGGTTTTTCCGGCTTCATCTCCCTCTTCATAATGAAAATGAATTAAAAATAAAATTGCATTATGGAATCTCAAGACTGTAAAGACATATGGTGTTCAAAACCAATTTTAGTTCGGTGAGGAAATGCTGTGTGATGCTGAACGTGAACATAATAATTATCAAAATATCCAAACCAACAATTTACGCTAGCCATTTCTGTTAGTGTGACGTAAAAGAAAGTAAGTTTGGCGAAATTTTTAGCTACAAAGGGAGACAAATTGGTACGAATATGTGTTGAATTTTCGTGGAATCGTTAGAGCTTTCTGCAACTATCCATTTCAAAAATAGAAACCGAAAAAACATTAATAATATCCCAATTATGGAATGAATTTTCAACGATTTTGTTTAAATAGTAAACAACATTCTTGAATTCTAGAAATATGCTTAAAACATACAGATTTCCTCACTTAAAAGTTACGACAGTCTTTCGTTTATTATCAAATTGATAGGAGTTTTTGGCGTGAGTAGGAACTCAAATTCCATCTCGAGTTTATCACAAAAATTTATATTGAACGCACGTGCCATCTGTTGTGGAATAGATTATAAAATGAATTGTGTGACTAATTTGCTTGAAATAGTTGTAGAATAGATTTTGAGATACCTTTGCTATAATTATTATCAACTCCATTTCAACGAATCGCCGACCTGGACATTGCCGTTTTCCAACTCCAAAAGGCACAACCAAATTGGTTCCGGGCTCAGAGCATCTGGCATTCATTTTTGAATCGTCAACTAGCCATCTCTCTGGCCTAAAGTCATCTGGAGATTTGAAATTGGCAGGATTTTGACATGCAACCATATTTTGACACAAGATCACAGTCTGTTTGGAATAATAGCGGCGAATATAATTGATTTATGCAATTCAGTTGATTTATGATCAGCACTTACTCCCGCTTTAATATTGTATCCTGACAAACATGCATCCTCTTGTAATATACGCGCTAAACAAAATGCAGTCGGACAAATTCTATATGTTTCCTGCAGACATGCTTTTGTGAACACAGCTTGCGCCAAATCATTTGAATCGATTTCATTTGAACAATGTTCGAACTCTTCTTTGATTTTCTCCAAAGTGCCTCTTTCACGGGTTACGTGGTGCAAAATAAAGATAAGAGTATTTGCAAGTGTCTCTATCCCTGCAGCAATAAAGTCTATTATCGCTGATTTTTTATCTCTGATATCAAGATCTTTTTCACTTAAAATACTGAAAAATACACTATTCATACTGTCTTCGTCAGCAAACTCCAGTTGATTTTCATTTAAAGCTGTATCTACAATTTCAGATATGATACTATGAAAAAGAAAAAATGTAAACGATGTTAAGTGTTGTTTCCTATCAGAAAAAAATGAAGGCAAATTCGTCTGTCAGTTGTAATTTTAAATTTTTTAGAGAATTCCACTTAATATTCTGTTCGAAAGCGGAGTAGTCAGAATATTAATAAATATTCGTAATACAAGTGCTTTTCGTTATTTTTGAAAAATTCAAAATACAAATATGACCGAAATTTTAATCTTACTTGTAAATAGTGTCTTCAGTTTCAACGAAGTCCCGATAAGTTTTTGTAGAAACATACTTCCACATACTAAATCCATAAGACGAGTCTCTTTGAGTTATAAACAATGTTTTAACAGCGGCGGCCAATTTTGCAACGTTTTCTTGTGGGCGTTGTGATAAAAACCCCATTCTTTTCCCCAGCATCAACGTACAAACCGCTTCAAGTCCAAACAAATTGGCAACGTTTTGAAAGTTTTCCACAACATTCGTAGTTGAGTCTCGTTTTGCTCGTAACAGATCGATAAAATCATCACAAATATAATTCAATGTTGGTAAAAAGGATTGTAGAACTCTGGGGCTTGTGATTTGTGAGGTGAGTTTTGTACGTAAATTATGCCATGTTTCACCTTGCCTGCAAATCAAATTGAAAAGATTTTTTGTAGAGTTATCCAACTTAAGTTGCTTAACAAGCACTTCACTTACTCGTTAGTGATTCCAGTTGATGCATATCGATCAGGCCTCATTTTACGATAAAATGCTACAATTTCAGTTGGGGGGCGAAACGGATATTTACTTGGAAAGCGTAACACTTTCTCAATGTCTTGGCGATTGTATAGGTTGACAATTGGAATACCATTTGAAGTTACCTCCAACACAATAGGACCATACTGACGATTGAAATCTGCACCAAAATTATTGCACTTATTAAATAAAAAACTAATTTGAACATTTATTTTATGTAATCCATACCCCGGTAAACTTCATGTATTTTCGACATCTTGTATTTCCACAGGTAAATCCATTTTGTTCCCAAAAAAGGTATTCTTCTCGAGTTTTTTGGGGTAAAAAATAAAATCAGAAAAGTCGAATAAAAAAAGTCGTAAAAAAAGTCAAAATAAGATACAACAATCCACTTCTAGTCACTATTTCGAATAGATCACAATTTCTTGACAAATACCTTTTTGGACCTGGTATCGACCAGACATCTGAAGTCACATGTGGTGGACTATAGTTTTCATCGGCGTTATTATTGTTGAAGTGCGTATTATTGTTTGCAATTTTTTCGTTGTTACGTTTTATTGTATCATGTGCAAACTTTTCGTGATTTGGTGAAGTGATAAAACGTTTTAAAAATTTGTAATTTATGAATAATAAAAAGCACAACCCAATTATAATATATAAACAAACTAAAGTTAACGACATTGTGATTATTTCCAATATGGGTTTTCCAAATAAATGAAATGACTTATTCAGTAAAGCTGCAAAATCACTTCGTTGGTTTTCATCTGCAAGAGAAAGAAATTTTGATTTTTTTACCACAACAATATTTTTTAATGATTATCTCATCCCTATTTAGAACAAGTCTAGGATTTAATATCGGAAATAGATCTGTATTGCTTTCACGAATTTGTATGTGCATTTGTCTCACCATTTATGAGCGGAAGAAATGTTATGAAATGACACTAATTGTTCGGGAAACAAAATGAAAAAAGTAGGCTGGTTTGAGATTAGTTCTCGCAACTTATGGTAAATACTACTTTGAAAATACAGTTACTTAGCTAAACAAGAATAATTTTCAAAATTTATAGATTTTTTTTCGGGCATGTCTACCTTATTTGCATGAAAGAAAATTCTATTATTCATTCTATCATTCATCGAACAAATCAGCATATTGATTGTGACGTACATATGTATATATATATAAATGCAACATCATCTAATGTAACGCTATTTTTCATTTTCTATTTTTTCCATGCAATTTGCAGTGCATTGAATTTTATTACGCTTTTTGTGATTATTCAATGATTATCAGTAGGTAATTTAGGTTGATTGAGTTGTAGCAAAGAAAACTAATGTGAATACATTGCAAAAAATGAAAAAAACTTCTACCAAAACCTACGTCTGTTTCTATTGCCGTGCACATAACATTTCAGCTTGAAGATAGTCTTAGTCTTTTTATGTGCTATGCATGGCAACATTTCTAATAAGTAGTCTAACATTCAAAGTCAAAGTCGACGAGTAACATGCTACTTTCCACACAACTTTCACTTATATCATCAAGGTTGATTTCTCTATCTGTGCTGTATTTACTCTTGGTCCCAAATTCCCAAGTAAAAGTTTATATCCAAAAAATTGAGATTCAGCTGAGAAGTGTTTCTTCTTTTTGTTGAGATATGACAAAATTGAGTTGATAATTTCGAGGCACTAAAATGTGCGTATACTCAATCCTTATTGTAAATCTCACGTGATACATAGATTACCGAATGACGAACAAAAATTAATCTTATCATAAGAGCACCAATCATGAAGCTTCAAAGCAAAGATGATTACATTCTTGATGGTTTCTATTGACCTAAGAATCAGCAAAAACAAATATTTTGTGCGATTGCACCTTGATACAAGAAGTTAAAGTACTTGTTTGTTGGCTTTTATGAAAATTGAAAGAAAGATGATAAAAATGGATCAGAAGACCACTGCATACAAACAAATGATTTGAGTCACTGTAATCTCGAGCATCTTTCACATTTAAACGGTTTTGGAAAATTCTTAGACATATAAATCGTCTTTACATTCGCTCATGGCATATCCATTCGATTTAGCGCTGAAACGCGAACGTGTGAAACAAAATTGCCAATAATAGCAGGGAAAAAATTACACATACGAATCTATTCCTATTAACTCGAAGTGAACGAGCTTTGTCTACTTTAATAATAATGTGTTTTCATTCATTGGGCAAATCTTTATCCACATTACGCTTCACATTGAACTTGAACTTTAAATCACAATAAATTTTAAATTGAGAAAGCAAATAAACAACATGCTGGCAAAAAATGAGTGACCATAAAGAATGCTATATAAAACACACACACACACACACAATAGTACTGCGTTTCAGAACTAGTGGAAATGAAGTAAGAAGTATCTCTATCATTAACGCGGTAGTACAATTTACTTATTAGATATGAAAAACTGGCTAAACTGTCATTGTTCGGCAATGAAAAAAACTCAAATAGGTGCTTTAATAATCAATTAAATTTCTATGAACAATTCCTTTGCATTTCTAGAATCGTTGACGAAAATAAGAAGAAGCTTATCTTTTTTTTCATTGAAAAATAATTTATCGTTGAGATTATTTGGGAATAAAAATACGTTAAGCAATTACGTCGCAAGTAAATAACGTAATAGTTATCTACCGCATACTAAATAAACTGGGATAATTTTGTAGTATTAAATAAATCTCATAATTGTAAAATTAATGTTAAATTGGTAAAATGAAAAATATTATAGAGACACAATCTTCTAATTGAAACATATGCTGCTTACGGAAATTGAAGCTGTTAAACCAATTTATTGCGAAGATTGAACTACAAAAGTAAAGATAAATTTATTTCATCGATTTACTTACATATTTTTCGATTGTTATGATTGCGTTTTGCTATGCAAAGGAAACTGATATGATTTTGTTCAACAGATTTTCCCATTGACTCGCGTTTTTTGCGAGAAGAATAAACTATGTTGATTGGAAATTGTGGTTTCATCGAAATTATTCTGAATATCTGTGGTCGTCTTTCACGCCGAATACCACATAATACCAAATTATGAAACGAAATATATATTTATCATTTTTTATGTATTGTATATTCTGAAAGACGGATGATTCTCTTTCGATTTTTGGATTTGAATATTCACATAGCTCCATTAAATGTTTATTTAATTTTAAATAGCCGCTATAAGTGTACATTATTCATGTATTCAAGTGCACGACTCCCTCGTATGTAATAATTGTAATATTCATATGTAATTTCTTCAAAATCTGGGTTAATTCACTATTTGTTCCCTTAATTCAATCAATTCTACATGTTCGAAGATGGTATTGTTGACATAAATTCAATCAAAATTGAAGACTTTCAACAAAGGCATTATCATTCCGTTTCTCATTTTGTTGATGCATCCAAGGAATCTCCATCTCGTTCGTACAATGGTTCAATAAACCCAAAACTTGTTCATAAAGCGTAAGTATTGTTATTGCACAATTTACAAGCGGCCAATGCCCCGCTTTATTCGTATCATGTAATTCAATTTGTTACCAGTTTTTGCTTTTCTATTCAAAACAAGAGTAAGCCAAATAACATGCATCTTTTATGTAGTTTTAGTTGTCACTCCTATCTATGACGCGTAAAATCACTTCACTGATTGAAGATAATACATGATATATCTTTTACACCGGATATGTAATAGACAAAGAGTATCAAAATTATTTTGTAAATGATGGTTTGTCTTTGACGGCTAAAACTTGATAAGAATTTTACTCTTATGGAATTTTTTGAATGATATTTTCTACTTCGTTATGAATATGTTGGTTTCTCCCCCGTACTATTACACCTGTTGCTTCGGTATGCGAGTGTATAGTATATTAAATGAAGTCAATGAACTCAACGGTTGTACAAGTTATTAAAGGCCACTATGATAACGCTATAAATTCAAGATTCTTACAAACTCAACTTGCTTTTTTCTTCGAACGATTCCACAGTTTCGAAGTATTTCACAATTTCACGGTGAATTTGATTTAAAAAATCGGCATTTAACGGAGCTGACTAGGATTTAATCACTTAAATCGGATACTTATAGACACCACATTTTTTCAAAATATTTGAACCTCAAGAAAATGAAAGTAACTTAGAAATGGAAAGGTGTAATATCAAGACTTATGTTTGATTTTAATTAATTTTACCCTTGCAGAAAGTACATGCACATAAAATTCATTATTTATCTTCTCCACGACATTTTTTTTCAATCACACACAATTTCGCAAACAAAAGTACAGTTAATATTTCTACAGAAACTTACGATTGGGTTTTTAGCACTTTGCCTTCTTTTTGAATGTTCAAAAAAGGAAGCGGTTTTAATTAATATCAACACAATTTTTTACTATATTTCAATCAATTGCTATAATGAACATTGATAAAAATCAATTTGACTCCAAGAGAAAAAAAAAATGTTCTGGGCGAAATAATAATAAATGAAAATAAAATATATCGTCAACGTGTGCGATCCAAAGGTCTGTTTTTTAAACTGTAGGAACCAATTACGTTTATGCTGCTATGCATTTTAAAGAAAATGCGTACAAAACATTGATAAAAACATTTAAACCCCATACGCAAAGTTTCTTACAAAATCACTTTTAACCAATTTTAAAATATTGCCTTCTTTTTGCTTCACTCGCCACTTTCGCTTATTTCAAATTTGAACGAACGACAAAACAAACAAAAGTGTTTTTGTTGTTATTCTTGGTATTCAAAAACAAATGTCTTTTTTTTCTCGAATTATTGAAATAATTTTTTTTTCTTGATTGCGTTGATTGTGAGGGGGAAAATGTCGCCAGCAATGAGATAAGTGAACAAAAGACACGCACAGATACGTTGTTTCAACACGGCTGCTTGTGAACGACTGAATAGCAACCGTCGATTCATTGCGTTCATAACGTTATCTTCGATACGTCGCTCTTTTGTATTGTTGCCGGTAGAAGTAACAAATTGTCAGACACCATCACCAGCACACATGAAAACTCAAGTAAAAGAAGTAATGTGATCAAATCGACTGCTGATACAAATATAATGACAACCATTTCACTTCAATATTTTCTTTCTCATGATATTGCGCTTTAAACTCACATTTCATTCGTGTTCAAAGATGCTGTACGTTTGTATTTCTATGAATTGTGTATTGGCAATAAATATTTGTTTCAACAACACGATTAATTTATTATAAGAAATACTGCGTTGTACTTATAGTGTGCACCTTAACAAATCGATTTATAAATATATTTCAATAATTTCTGATAATAAGGTGTCAATGGTTAAAGATGATCGCATGATTGACAACAGTTGAGCACACATGTAAGTGGCGCAATAAAATTAGAAATCAAAATCGATAACTGAAAATCATGACGCAAAAAATATCATATCATCACAACGTACTGTATATTATGGTGCTAAGGTTAAATGTGAAATAAAATTTGTCCCATTTGTTTATGTATCTTAAAATATTTGTAAACATCGAACTACCAGATTGCTTTTTGTACAAGGCAATTGGATTTTTGAATATTAATCGAAATTTTTGTACATCGATGATCATCAACAATCATTCATTTTTCTTTTGGCTAATAATCGCTAAGCATGCATGAATAACATTCGATTTTCACATGTCTCAGATTGGAATAAACCTTCTATTTTCTAAATGCGTAATTCTATCTAATCTGCCTCTACCACCTAATTAGAATTTATATGACGTATGTTTTTTTTGCAAAATCCATAGTGAAATAAAAAAACACGTTCCAAGTTCAAGGTAAAACGAGTCTGCCAAAACAATGATGAGTGTGCAAATAGTATAGGAATATTTCTATCATAAAAACACACAGCTGTTAATCTATAAAAAATGTACATCAAGTATGTGTGACTCTTAGAATATGGAAAACTTTATTGTAATTTATATTTCAGATTGAATCGATAAGTAAAAATTTGTGAAAAAATCGCGATTACGACTTTAAACTACTTGCGTATTAAATAGAAAATTCACATTTCGGGGAAAAATATGGTTTTACTTGTCTCTTTCACTACGGATGAATTGGTTTGTTTTTCAATACTTCACGTTCAAACACATTTGATTGGCGTGCTTGCGCAATTCCAATAAAATGATGAGCATCTATATATTAATGCGCTAGCCCAAAAAGTTTTCGTACCATTTTAACCATTTTATACCCAACTTATTTTGATGCCACTGGTACCATTTGAAAGGCCTTGATGAGTAGATGTGCAGAATGTCATTCAGAATTCACATATGTCAAGTTTGACATGAGTTTGAAGCATGTTAGTAAACACCCTGCTCCGGGTCCGGATTCCACGGAGACCCGAGGCACCGACCCGAAGGGCGTTTTTCAAACGAAAAAAGCGAAAAAACCATCCATTTCTGAGATATGAATGAGAAATTGAAAATGGTTGTGCCCAAGGAAAGTTGGTTTTAAAATTTTTTAAATTTGTCAAATTTTTTAAACAATTTTTAGAACTAACTTTCTGTGGGCACAACCATTTCCGATTTTTTTCATTCATATCTCAGAAATGGATGGTTTTTTCGCTTGAAAAACGCTCTTCGGGTCGGCCCCCAGTTCCCAAATAGTCGAATTTCGACCACTGGGCGGCCCTAGTAGATGAATAAAGTGAAACTTCATCGACATTCGCTGGGAAGAAATGTGTATCTTAATTATTTATTTTATTTCTTCGAAGTTCAGAAAAATGCATAGAAATATATAGAAAAATGTATGAGACGATGCAGATGTATCTCTACTACGTGACATCTTACTCAATAGTGACAAAGTCGTGTACGTGCATAAATTATCGCCTATTTTTGTATCGAAAGATTTGTTCAAGCCAAAACTAGAATCTCGGTAGTTTTTTGAACTATGGCGTTAGACACCATTTCGCCAGTTCAAAGTGTTCAAGATGTGATCTTCTGATTAAAAATCAAATTTTCCACCATTTTACCGAAAAATGAATTCGATGTAATATAAATTGAAATATTGAACTTTCAATGGGTGTTGAATACTAAAAAAACCTATTTTTTACTTATTTCCACTGTCAAGTATTGAATATCTTAGTGGAGTTTTCTTACAAAAAATATCTCCCAGCTCATATAAACAACTTTCAAACTGGAGTAAATTTGACTAAATTCGTTTTGAAAAACTGAACTGTAACGTAACGTATGCATATTTGAATTGATTATATAGATGAAACTTTATACCTCGATCTTGTAGTGAAACAAGAGAAGAAAATCTATTCTTAAAGTGGAACATATACTTTTATACGCTACCGATAAGAGGTAAGTGATAACAATTGATTGCATTCCAATCTATAACTTTGCCCTTGACTTTCATCACTTATCTCTTATCAGTACAGCGTGACAATCGCCAAAAAGTATATGTTTCAGTTTATAAGATTTTTTTGTCTTGTTTCACTTAAAGATCAAAAACATTCAAAGGTTCATATTCAACCCAACTAATTCATTTCCTTATGCAAAAGATGTCACACATGGTTGCCAAAAAGTTTTCATGCATAAAATCATGACAGGAACTGACGGATAAAATTGATTTTCCTTTTGAATGCATTCGTCACACTTGTGTCCATACATAGCGCAAAAATGTTATTCGATTTCATATTGGAAAACTTTTTCATATGCCTGCGTTTGAGAGAAGAATGTTCTTTTATCATCTTTTCAAAAAATGTAATTTACAGTTGAAATCTTCAAACTATTAATTAGCTCTAGAAATATGCACGATATAATAATCATTTTGTTTATAATGTCATTGGAACTTCTTCTCATTTTGTCCAAGAAAAATGCATTGAAAATGGTCCGTTCCATTTTTTTTTGTTTATATATTCGTATATAAAACTGTCGAAGCAAAAACATTTTGCTTCTCTTTGGGGATTTCCCTTTCTGTCTCCAATTCGTAAAACAGCAGTTTTGACGCAGCAACCGTCACGCCATGTGGTGTTCAAAGGATGAAACATTGGCGCCGAACGATTCGTTTTGCAAATGTCACTCAGCACAGCGGCTCATTGGTGTAGGAACATTGACAAGAAATTGACGCACATTTTTTTGAGTGAACATTCAACAAGAAAAGGCAATTGTTTTTGCGAAATAGTTGCTTTAATTGCGAGACCAAAACCCTTTTACAGGTATGTACGGCTAAGAATAGAATTTTTGCACAAATTAAATTGTGGATTATTTTGGAAATTGTTGTGAAATTGTTGTTTCGTCATACCGGTTCACATTTTCATGTAATGACATGTTCAAAGCGGGAAAAATCGCAATATTCTGCGGGAAAAATCGCATTGATTGGCGCGAATAAATCAATATAAATTAATTCGATCACAACAAGTTTTCCCATTTTTTTTTGTTACCAATTACAATTAATGGATTGTGGTTTTTTTTCCAAAGATTATTTCGCAATTTTGAGGCGAGATCCGCATTGAGACAGGGAGACAGAGAGCAAACGAAGCCTGATCTATTCAAATCGTTTGGATTCATACGAAGTGGACTTATTGTGACCGAGGTGAGTTTAGTGAACGTAGAAAATTGCAACAAATTAGCGTAAAATCATGTTTTTGCGTGTGGTGTACATGTTTCGACATGATTTATGGCGACGGACTGATGAATATCATCACATTGTTATCGTATTCGTTCAAAGCGATCAATCAGTGCATTGTTTTCGATTTCCGTAGCGTTAGCCAATTTCACAATCGCTTGCAACAAACATTTCATTCGTTCTACAATTTATTTTCTCTCGTTTAGATCCATCGCGATGGCGAGGCGTAAGCGGCACAATAAGACGTTTGGTAAGCCAAGGGAGAAAAAAGTGCAGATGAAAAAGCACTCCATTGTGAAGAAAAAACGTGTCAATCGGAAAGAAGATCCAACAAAACAGTCGACAGAAAATGGCACAATCGAAATCGGCGCGATCAAATTGGCATTTAATTCGATAATTAATCCGAAGTTAACAGAAACAGAAATAGGATTTCTGATCCATTAGTTCTTCGAGAAATGTTTGAATGTTACGAAAGTCATGCATCTTGCATCGATGTTAATGCTCTACAGAATCAACGAAGCATTTGATGATGACAATTTGAACTTCTTCGTGAATCAAAATGGAGCAAATGTGATTACAGACTGTTTCAACTGTGTCACATCGGACAACATCAAAGATCCACTCACAGCCCAAATGCCAGACGCATTTCTCGCGATGGTGACACAAGGTAGCCCCAACTTTGAATGGCCACGCCGCCATCAAATGACCCGTCAAGTTTATGCTCTCAAGGACCAGTATGTGGCCAATGTGAAGACAAATTTGGAGACGCACTGTTGGGTGAGATTGACCCACTTTCTACGTGTAAAGTGCCATGAATTCAATCACAAAGGAAGCCCCCCATACTTACCTTTCGATGACATTGACATTCGAAATACGATGAAAAATGAGAATGAAGATTGGACATATGATGATGATGAAAGTCGAAAGTGGAAGATGGCAATACTGTTTAAGGAAGTGTCTCAGCTTTGTGGCCCATCATTCGTAAAATACTTCACAATGTACGAATACATTCAAAAGGACTGGTTCGAGTCTTTGTGGATGTGGATAGGCATGCAACGAATTGTCGAGAAATTTTCACCTTCGTCAACAGTGGAAAGCATACGATCGTGATCCAGTGAACAATCGAGAGCCGTCGGTACCGAAGATACCAAAAGTGAAGAATTTCGCCGCAATTCCATTCAGTGATACAAAACTGAAGCACATACCATTCGACCATAATGATTTGATTGAAATCATTGGCCAGTTGAGAAAAGAACGGGGATGGAATATCCGTGCTGATTATCGTACATACTACAAGCAAGGCGAGAACAAAGACGAGGCATGGGGAATTGTGTTCGATATTGACAAAATCAGACGGCTCAGAACCGGTTCGAAAGTGTTTTACCACAAAATTCAAACCAACAGTAGTGCCGCGTCGGTGTTGTTTAGCAGACCCAAACGCAAAGGAGCCGGCGTGACTCTGTCTGAAATCAAGGCAAAGTACGAAAAGCCAGTCAGCAAAGGCGGTTACAAGTATGAGTCAGGAATTGATCCCGGCCAGAAAACAAAAATGGCCTGCGTGCGTCGGACTCTCGCTACTGGAACTGAAGTAAGTTGAAATATCATATGAAAATTAACATAGATTTGCATTGTTGTTGTTCATTTCACAGACCAACATCAAATTATCGAGTATTCAATATCACTGGGGTGCGCGACAAGGAATGCGCGACAAACGGGCCAAAAAAATGACCAGAAAGTACGTGCACAAAGAACAGCGCGACTTGAAAAGCTATCCGATCACATCCGTATCGCCGCGAGGATCACAATGGAAATCATTCATTAAGCACAGAATCAAAATGCTAACAGATTCATTGGCTACATACGCAAGAAGAAAGTACGCACAGCTATCGTTGCACAAGTACATCGAGTCTAATCGCGAAATGGATTTGATGGCTAAACACATAACAAACAATAAGACAGGAGTTGTGTTCCTTGGTGATGCGGCGTTCCCATCAAATTCGAAAATCGGTGTGAAAAGAACAAAACGAACACCGGATCAGCGAAAGTTCATAGTTAGCCTAAAAAAAAACGGCAAAACGGATGTTGTGCTTACACCAGAGCCGTATACATCACAAACCTGTGCCAATTGCTTGCGGCGATTTCCGAGAAGTACAAAAAGTGACCGATTCAAAGTGTGCAAAGATTGTCGCCCACACAAGGATGTGAGACTCCCACCGGTTATTGTGACTGATCGAAGCAGACGGCGCAAGCAACGTGATCGAAAAGAAAATGCCAGCCAAAAGCCAACAGCAAATGTAACTAGAGCCGAAAGAGCTGAGAAGCACCGGGAAAAGCGTCGAAGTGAGCGTGAAAGCCACAATCCAGAGCAATTGGATACCGAACAGGCAGTGAGACGGTACAATCGACGCATACGACGGCGTGAACTACGTCAACGACGTCGAGTTGCAGGCCATTGCAGCCTTAAAGTAACCAAACAGCCGGAAGCGGAATCCGATTTGCCAGGTTTTGATAAAATTGGTGACACAAGTATTTGCAAGATTCGTGTCAAAAATCGTAAGGCCAAACCACAATTATGGCAGCGAATACATTACGATGCAACTGATAAAGGAATTGGGGATTTGGGGTCAAAGAAAATATTCTTCCAGAAAAACTGGCACTCAAGCCCAATGAATGATCAGAACGCTTTTACTGTTACTTGGCATCGTGACATCTGTGCGGCGAAGTGCATCTTGTACAGAGGTATGTGATCTACACAATACAATCACATTCATGTTTTATTGTATTTCAATTTCGAGTTCAATTCGTTCATTCTAGGCCGTTGTATGGTTTTCGACTTGAATGTGCACGAATCATTTGTGTTACCACCAGAAAGGATATGGCCAAAATGTCGAGATGGCCAATCGAGATGGCCAATCAAATGCTGTCGATGATAAGTAGAGCGTAGATTAAGAGGATAAAATAAAACATTGACGATTAGTTATTTTCAAAGCTTGATTTTTGTGGCTTTGTACATATTAAAATGTGTGTGCAAATACACGATGTAATACGGGTTAAACCCGTAGGTAAGTTGTTGTATGTAAGATTTTCTCAGTCAGTTGGTCAATTTCAATATCCACACCAATATTTACCAAAGTCATAAATGGACCTAGTTCAAGTGAAGCGTACAGTTGGATGATACTCGAGGTGGGTCCATTTATGACCTTGTTTCACACGTGATTTGTTATTTTGTTATCAATTGATTCATAATCGTTTTTATATCCTTCTAATTGATTTGTTTTTACCGTTTTTTTCTACTTCCATTGTGACGTTAAAAATGACTGAAACTACACACAAATGCGGGCCTTAATTCGACCGTTTACATACGCTTGGTAATGGATGTATTTGCGTTAACAATTGTTTCTTGGGATGTTCTTTTATCATCTTTTCAAAAAATGTAATTAATTTAATATCAGTTAATAGTCTGATTTGATGATTTAATTTGGTTCAATTTGTACTTATAATTTTTGCTAAGTCTATCATAATGGAGATGGATTTTAACTTGGTTACCAACCCTAGAATTTTTCTATGCCTTGAGCGGAAACAGTGACGTATAATGTATAGGCATTAGCCAAGAATGAGATACGAATTGATTTTTACATTTTTTTTTTCTTGAAGTCATTTGTGTTTTCTGTAAACGTTCATTACTCTATTAGATTGTAGACGAAAAACTACGAAATAAACACTTGAAAATTTGTTGACTAAACATTACCTATTTTAGTTTTAGTTTGACCAAAAATGAAGGAGTGAGTCAAGAATTTTTGGTTGAATAATTATTTTACTCATTAAAATTTTTTTAATTCAGATTATATTTCTCTTTGTTTTTTTAAATCCAGATGTTTTTAATACATGTATTGAAAATCACCTTCTAGTTGAATGAATCGAAGCGGTCGATCGCGTGTATGATGTGGTGGGAGTTTTTCTTCCATACATTCTGATGAAATGCAATGTTCCGAGTCTACAAATTAACAGATTAATTTCACATACTGTTATGTAAAATGTTGGATGTGCGTTTGAATATTGAATATTGTCTGGGAGTCCAAAAAACCTTCAATTCATCTTTGTTTGCATTCAAAGATTGCCTGCATTCGACTCTAGATGGAGCCATGGAAAGGTAAGCGGATGTATTTCTATTTACTTATGTCTCGGAATATCTCATCATTAGATATATATTTCATTTTGTATGGTTGTCGTTCTGAAATTTTGATTGGCAATTTAGAAGAATTGACGCATACGATCGATTTGTATTTGTTTTGGTATTCTTTAAAGTGTTTGTTTTACTATTTCTCTAATAATAATTAATTCTCAAAATATAATTCAGGCATTACTGTGTAATACAATAATATTTTGAAGGTAATTATTTCACTTACGTTTTATTTTGAGCATAACATTTTAAAGCTCATTTCAAAATAACAAAAAACCAAATATCACAGGAACAACGCCCTAAATTAGCATTGATGAGTGTTAAAGAATTGTTTTAATCAATATTGTATTCAACTTATATGCATATATGCATATAATGTTTAATTTATCAAGTATGTGAAATTAATCCGTTAATTTGTAGACTCGGAACATTGCATTTCATCAAAATGTATGGAAGAAAAACTCCCACCACATCATACACGCGATCGACCGCTTCGATTCATTCAACTGGAAGGTGATTTTCAATACATGTATTATACAACTTTTGAACTAAAATGTCAAATTTCCCGATATCTTATTTTATAGATCGCTGTCTAATTTACATTCCCAGAAGTCGTCGCGTTCTATGAAATCAGTGAAAATTCCTTGGTATCAAAAGCCAATATTGCACAATAACAAATACATAAATGTTCAACGAGGTGCAATGCTTGCTGCAATTTTCTCATTAGTAAGCAGGGCTAATTAATAGTTTTTCACTTACCAGCATAATCTAAAGCCAATAATTTGAATTTAATTGCAGTTTTTGGCTATTTTTACGATCGTTACCGCTGTTTTTGACCTTTATTGTTTGTCTATGGCTGCGCCAGGGTCCACTCATTATGGTTACTACTTCATTTCGTATGAATTTGTTTATGTGGGAAATCGACACGGTAAAAAAAAGAGTTGATATTTAAACGCGAAATTTGACCATAACTATGACAATTTTCTTTCTGTATTTCAGTTCGAAATATTTTGGCAATGTTTGCTCTTTTCTCATTCCTCGCTGGACTTGTGATCTTTGTAACGTCGATTATGCTAGCTGTAGCATTGCGAAAGGTATTGATTAAAAGCGACAAACAATGTATTTTCGTTGCCTAACCGTCCTGAGCTTAGCTGAATTTGCTGACTAAGGCACCTGAAGCGTTATTTTAACGCATTCATGGTGTCAAATTTTCATTGCCAACAAAGATCCACCTTAGTATAATTGAATGGTTTGGAGCGAAAATGTAATACAGAAAAGTTGAGCGGAAAAATGTCAAATGAAAATGCACAGCTATATAGTTCACTATAGTTTACTATACAGTTTACTATATAGCTATCCCTTTTCTGCTCATTCATCATCGACATTTTTCCGCTCAACTTTTCTGTATTACATTTTCGCTCCAAACCATTCAATTGAGAAACAACGTGAATACCAAAGAGTAGGAGTGAAAATTTTGTATCGTGAATTCGTTAGAATAACGTTTTAAGCGACTGAGTCAGTAAATTCAGCTTAGCCCAGGCATGCTCAGCAGCGAAAATACACAAGCGATCAGGACTGCATAATGCATATATATATGCCGTCAATATTCCCGTTGCTGATTATCACTTCATTCCAACTAATTGTGTTTAGAAAGACAAAACCAATATATAGTTTATTAATTGAATTATTTTTTCCCTTCATTTCAAAGGAATACGAAGAGAAGATTGTTCCATGGCTTTGGACATTCGCTGTTTTTACAATTCTACGATCTTTGGCGTGGCTATTTTTCTGCATTGTTAACGACTTAATATTTGCATATAACATATTCATCTGCTTATTCTGGGCCTTACTGATTGTATTGGGTATTTGGAGTTGGCTGGTCGTCTATTCTTTGTATGTTGAGCTGAGAGATCTATCGAAATTGGAGGATTTGGCACATCTACGTGTAAGATTTGAAAAACTGCATGGACTTTGAATGTACAATAAATTGTTTGATTGAACTCTTCCTTTTAGATGGGAACAATGGCATCTGTACATGCTTCAACAAATCCGTCGTTAGCTGGTTCCAGGCCAACGACGCCATACACGGCTTCAACTATTCATTGAAAAAAACTAACAACTACTGCTTAAATATGACAAAGCATAAATGGTCTATTTTCCGAACATATTTGCATTGAAACGTCAACACTTTTCACAATTCGTACCACAACATCATTAGCAGACAGTTTATCTCGACACACGGTAGTATGCACATAATTGCTACCTTAACATATGACGAATTCTTTCCGTCAAAATGATTTATCCGTCCATATTGTCTTATGAACAAAGTCTTTTTTAACATTTATTTACAATTTTTTAAGCCTTTTTTCCAACATGAAGATTTCAACAAGAATTTTTCAAATTTTGTACTTCACGTTTTATTTACGTAAATGAAATATACAATTCTTCTATTTAGAAAAAAAAGTGGTTTGAATTATGATTTCAGTTCTGAGCAGTTGTCGAAGAAAAGTATTTCCAGCAGTTGTACAACAAGCCCGTAATATCATTTGTATTGGCGAGGAAGTTCGACAATTCTGCAAACCGGCAATGTTTCGGCTTCAAGTCCCGCACTGCAAAGTAAAGATGTAAATGTTTCACTGTCAAATTATTCGTATAGAAAATTCAAACTAGTTATACGAACATGTAAAAGACTCATCCTGTGTGTTGTATAGTATAACAACACTGTAATTACCCTCCAACTCTCTAGGCACATCAAATAAAAATGTAGCAATCCATAGATGCTGGCTATCTTGACATTGTAGTAACTTCAATTTGAAACCGAGACTCATTTGTATTTTTTGTGTTAACGTTCGGAAGTCTTCGTTATTTTGAACGAATGTGACCTTGCATGTGTTTTTCAGGACTGGAATGAGAAAAACCATGGAATAAAGATTAGAAAACAGCCATTCTGTGTATAAGTATATTACAATTCAATTCAGTCAGTACTTGGCGGTGTTGATGAAATACAAAATCTCACCTTCTTTCAAATCCAAATGTGTGTATGATAAATGTTCTTCTTCTTTTTTCAATGACTTCAATTCTATCTGCATCTTCGAATTGTCCACTCGTACTTTGTTTATTTCTTCAGCAATGCGGGAACACATTTCTATTTTGTCACCGATTACTTCATCAAACTGTTTGAATGTTGGTTTTGGGTTTGTTTCCAAACAATTGGTTTGAATTTGCTCCGAAAACGTTTTAATGGCAATGGTATACGGTGCCGGATCGAATTTATATTCATTAGAATTTATATTTGGTTTTTCCATTTCTTTTTTTTATTCGAAGCACTTCAAATCACTCAAAAAACAGTTGTATGGAACAATTATTGTGCCTTATTTTGGTAAAATTGTCAGAATAAAATCCGTTGCTTGATGATGCGAATGTTTAATTTGGTTCTGACGTTTCGAACATTGGGAAAAAAAGCGAATGGGGTCGCTGCAGGAGTTTTATGTTTTTCTGTCAAATTTGACATTTCTTGCAGCCATTAGTCAAGTAAAAATTGAAGTGTGTTCTTGAAGGGAAAAAAATTGTATGTGAGTTTGGAACGTTTACTAAAATTTATTGTTTGTTGAAAAAACTCTCAAACTATTATTATTATAAACATGCAGTAATATAAGGCCATAGTAGTCCATTTAATCGTACACTTGTTTTTTTTTATAAATCATATATATGTTTGACACAAATTGAAAGGAACCTGTGATGTAATCACTTGTGTTTGGTTTATGTCAAAACTGAAAATATCATTCGTTTATTAAATGATAGATGTAAATACTGAAATAATAAATTTCACTTTTTTTTATCTCAATTCAATGAAGGATAGCAACAATGGCTGGTTTCGTGCGCTCCACCGCCCGTATTGCATTGTCCAATAGAAGTACGTTTTCAAAACTTCTAAACAAACAAATACCATGTACGCAGCAAGTAGCCAAGATTTCGAGCAAAGCTTGGAGAGAATTGAACGGCGTTCAGCGCCCACCTCCATACGATTACCAGAACAGTTCTTACCAACTTCGTCATTCTTGGTTTGATAAAACTACAAAACGATTTGACGATAATTCCAAAGTATGACCAATGCATTTTGAACATCCACTTTTGTGGTATTTTCTAATAATACATTATATTCTTGCAGATAATTTTGGTAGAAGGGCCAATTGCTGCTGGAAAAACCGAATTCGCCAAGAAGTTGGCGAACGATTTGGATATGTACTACTTGCCACAAGCATGTATGGACGATGTCTATATTAACGAATATGGCTACGATTTGCGTGACTTGGATGTAAAACTACCGCCAGGTGCTCAGAGCTTTGATGAAAAGAAGTTTGTAAATGATCCAACAAATCGATTGACAGCTGCATTTCAACTCAACATGTATAGTTTGAAGTAAGTAATATTTTGGAATAATATGGAACAATTGAACTTGTGTACTAATTTCCTACACATTTACTATAGATTCAGCGATTACATTGATGCTCTTGCTCATTTATTCTCAACCGGTCAAGGCGTAGTTCTTGAACGATCACCATACTCGGACATAGTTTTCGTTGAAGCATTATACAAATGCAATTTGATAACTAAAACCACATATAAAGGTCTGATCGAAACCAGAAACAACTCGTTGCCCGAAATTTTAAAACCTCATTTGGTCATTTACCTCGATGTTCCAGTCAACACCACACTTGTATGTCGGTCTTTTTCATTAATATTCAAGTTTTCGGTAAAGTTCTTCTGAAGAGCGCATATTTTTTCAGGAAAAAATCAAGAAGCGTAATCTGCATAATGAGGCAAATTCGCCACTTTTCAAGGACACCAAATTTTTGGAGACAATCGATGAAGTATATAAGCGAAACTTTTTGAAGGATATCAGCTCACACTCGGAGCTGTTGGTCTACGATTGGTCGAACGGTGGTGATACCGAGTTAGTTGTTGAAGATATTGAAAGAATTGGTATGGTTTTTCTCAATAAGTGATCTCATCAAAAAGAAAGATCTAAAATGTGTACCTATTCCTTTTAGACTTCGACAGCTACGAAAAGGAATCATCGAAAATGAGAGATTGGCGATTCTTCCGAGTAGAGGCAGACTGGTGTGAAGCTCGTATGAAATATACGGAAGATCGTCATATTACCTTCAGCTATGCAAATTTACCCCTATTCCACTGTCCGGACCTCTGTATCCAGCCAGAAGATAATATGGTTCGCAATAGAATTTATGAAGAGGTAACTAACTCACACATCAAGAAATAGTTATAAGTTCTATATGTAATCACCAAATTTTTCTTAGGCCAAAGGAAGCAAATACGCATACGGTTACGATGTTGAATTGGGAGATAAAGGTATTATCGAAAATCCATTTGGTATATGTTGTTGATAAAATAACCGTTTAATATTAATTATCTCACTTCCAGATATTCTATTTAAGACAAAACACTTCAACAGCCCCAAGTCGAAGCACTGGGATTTCTGAACATGAAGCTATTAATTTTGGTTGCGGTTCAAGAGAAAACATCTTATTTTCTAAACCTGTAAAATGAAATTTAACAATAAAATTGATTAGAACCAATCATGCATTTCTTCAATCAAATGGAAGAAAAAATAATTCTTCTACAAATCGCATATAATCCTCTTTTTTATTTTATGTGCTTGTTTCAACTTTGTTTTAAAATTTTTTTATTTGTTTATACTTTGTGCTGAACATTGTTCAATAAATAAAATATAACCTCCTGCTTTGTTTTCAATTCATCAAAATTTAAAAAAAAATACACTTTTATACAATTCCAATGAACCCTTTTGCTAAAAAATCTTGTAAATTTACGTCTATGCTTTTTTGAGTGTGTGTTTTCTTTTGTTGATAATAATTGTATGCCAGCATAAAGTAGGTAATGTAAATTGTGCAATAAAATAAATTTTTTCAACAATGTATTATTAATATATGCAATTTCGTTTAAGCGCATCACGATTGAATTTTCGAATAGAATTTAGCAAGTCGGCTCGTGGATCTCCTGTAGATGGTAGCCGTTTTGAAGGTTTAATGGGCATTGGAGGTGGCTTGGGTGCAGTTGGAATTTCGTTTGCTTTAGATGCAATCGTGGTATTCTTTGAGCAATCATTGTGATTCCCCAAGCCTTTAGTGACATGGCATTCATTCCTTTCATCGAGAATTTTCTCTTTCAAACCAGTTTTGCGAAGAGTTAATTGAGAAAACATTGGCTTTTCAATTGTTTTGATACTGCATTTAACAGGGAATTCAGTTTCTTTATCTTTGACTCTCTGCACACCTTTCGTTCTATCATTTTTGGCTTCCATTTCAAGCTGATCTGGAGACTGCATTTCTGGGTGCCCATCGGCACTTTCAACCCGATTCGCTAGTGAATATTTTAAAATTGATTTTCCAGGAACTGGATCGGAGCTATAATTGGCATTTTTGTTTCGATTCAGTGTTGTTGTCGCGTAGGGTGTTCGCATTTTTTCCTGTAATGTTTTTTGTGAGATAATACGTGATACTTCATAACTTGATCGGAACGGCCGTTGCAGTGAATCTTGTGTATTCTCTGATGTTACTGGAATGTTCTTCTTGTATTCAACACTACGCACGACTGGTAACTTGCAAGAGTTACTATTGCAATGTTCTGTTTGATTTTGAAATGGTTTTCCTGAGGTATGGTTTTGTTGTTCATTTAATCCACTAAATCTCTTCTGTAGCGCCGAAATTTTGGAAGATCCCCCAAAAATGTAATCATTGTCGCTTTTTATGTGAACTAAAGATTTTGGTCTATCCCCCCATGTTGAGACGTTTATTGAAGGGGGTCCTTGGTATTTCCAGGTCTTTGGTTCATTTATTGATTTTGATGATGAGTCAGCATCATTTTGCAATTTATCTTCACGTTCATGCGAATTTCTTTGGTTATCTTGTTCAGTTATTTTCCGATCAGTTTCTGACGTACAATCCAAATTCATCGAGCGTGAGTTATTCAAAATTGATTTCATTATTTCAATTGACTGCAATGAAGGCGTATCAGCAATGCTAAGTTCTGATGCAGACTTTTTACGTGTTGATTCATTAAATTCACTCATTATTGCTGTCGTTGTTCGGTGATTGTAATTTTCGTCTTTTGAAATATCATTTAGTGATATGTACGAAAAACTTCGCGCTCCAGATAAATCTATTGCCATGTTTGTATTGTTCTGGTTATCTTCACGATCAATAAATCCAGCGAATGTTGAATGGAATGACATAGATCGACCAACTGGCTTAGGTACAAATGTTTCTGAATTTTTCTCTGTATCATCTGATATTTTAGGTATCTTTAGTGAATCATCTTGAGTCACATTTGGGTCTTTGGTGGTCTTCTGTTGCTCGGGAATTTTATCTATGTTTGTTGAAATATCAGTTGCACAGGTTATATCTGCTGTTCTATTCTTTTCATTGCTACTGTTCGAATAGGCACCAATATGGAAATTAGTCAATGAGCTCCGTTTACCAACTTCAATAAGTTTATTTGTGTCATTACTTGGTTTCATGAATGTTTCCAACCGATTGCAATTGATAATTTGGGTTAACTCATCTATGACATCTCTTTTCTCAACAGTGGGTGATACTTTGAATGTTTCGCCAAATTTATCGTTTATCATTGTTGATGAAACGATGTTATGTGTTTTAATAGATTCAATGGTTTTTTCATCATCACTATCAACGTTCGTTTTGCTATCTAAATGCTCACTCAGGAACCCAAATTGACTTTCAATAAAATCTTCCTTAGATTCTTCATATGTAGTTTCGGTCCTTCGCTTTTTCTCCACTTCGTTACCCTTGTAACCATCTTCAATATCAGATGTAATCAAGCTATCCGGACCTGCTGATGGTGTTTCAGTGGTATTCAATGTACTTGTCGTACTACTTGCTGGCAATGAATTGTCGCTATATTCTTGGAAATCAAACGTTCGTACTTCATTCAAAATCGGCTGAATTGGAACTTCAGGGGAAATATTTCTTTTAGCAATGGTTTTACCACTTTCTGGATTCGAATTTGTTATTGAATGGATTTTCGATTGACTGCTGGGTTCTTTCTCAGACATAGTTTGGCCAAACTTGCTCTTATTATTGTTGTTCATTTCATTGGTTTTTGTAATAACTTCTTCATTTTTTCGTTCATTTTTTGCATTTAACATTGCTTCATTTATTTTTACGGCTTCGTCGATGATATCATTAACTTGTTTAGAGATATCATTTGGATCGATATCATGCTCGATACACGAAATACTAAAATTGACCACCGAAATTTTCTTGGGCTTTGTTTTGTTAGATTTACCGTCGACAATTTTCCCATCCGATGTATATTTGTCTTGTATTCCAGAGTTACGAAGATTTTCATCACAAGCAGATACACCATAATTGACCACATTTTGAATGTCGTTATCTGTTTTGGTGTTTTGTGTTGATATTGTTTCCGTTTCTGTTTCATTTACATTCAACATAATTTTTGATACATTTGTTGGATTTTTAAATGGTGCCGCTATTATTGGTTTTGATTCTGTTCTTTGCACTGAGAAAGAAATCGAAAATAAAATAATACATGCATTAATCACTAAATTATCCAATTTGGTATTTGGTCCTATTGTCAATTATTTCATTTGGTTCCAAAGCTTACCGTTTTCCAAATTAACGGATTCAATATTTCCATTCTCATCTTTCATTTCCTCTTCACTTAGCTTTTGTAGGCATCTTGGAGTAGCAATGGGTCCATTGTGACTCGATACAGTTCTTGGTGGTGGGGCAGGTGCTTTCTTTTTACCTGCATAAAATGGGAAAGTTAATTTTTACCAAATTTTTGAATTACTCAATGAAATTTGAACTTACCTGTTGGGGGAAAGCGTTTCCGTGGCTGGGGTTCTGGGAAACTATCTCTAGTGATGTCCGAAGTTTCGCTCGAAGTTCTCGAATGGCTTTGGTTGCCGATTGAGTTAATGCTTTCGGACCGTCGATATTTAGGCTCGTTAATTTCTATTGTGGAGTTTCTCGGCTGAACTGACAACGGACGACTTGATACTGCTTTTTTGTCATTAATTATCACTTGTCTACCATCTAAACTGTTAGAAATAGACGTATCGGTACTAAAATATGACTTTAACGTTGCATTGTTATTCATTGAAAGATTTGGTGATGACACATGGAAATGTTGACGATTTAAACTAGATCTATTTAGTCCAGTTTGATCAATCTGTGAATTGGATCTTTCCATGATTGTTTTTCGTTCAGGATCTTCGGATATTGAATTTTGACTAGGTGGTCGCGGTGCTATGCGCTTCTTTCGACCCGGGACTGCTGGAACGTGTCCATTGCTCAACCGATGATTTATTACTATGCCCATTGAATCGGATGAATTTAAAGAATTCGTTGAACTGTATGGAGATACCGTTGACATTGTGTGCGGTCGCGAACGATTTTCGTGCCCGCTAGTGTTTATACGATATCTCACAATAGTATCTTCTTTGCCATTCTTATGGGCCAATTTTATTTCACTCAATCCTACTTCACCAATCGTGAAGTTCAAATCGAATATTTGATTGTCGTCCGCTGAAACAATTATGATTTTATTGTATGTGTGTGTGTGTGTTTAATTTGTTTTTGTTTCATTGTCAAATAATTACCAGGGTGCCTGAATTCAAATTTGTTTGAATCGAGTAGTTTGTTCATGCAAATTATGTCCAAAAGTTCACAAAGTTTGGTTTTGGCACCGATGCGACTAACATACAACTGGTTCATTGGCAAATACACGGTTATACGGAATGTCTGTTCGAATGGTGCATTGTGAACAGTCGTCAGCGGAGTGATTTTGTTCTGTGGTGAAATATCTTCTAAGTTCGTGCTTGATCTTGTTAATGTTTGAACCGATGTTTTTGGAAACCCATTAAAGGAAGCTGTGTAGAAAAATATAAACATCTAAGATACTTGAAGTAAATATATATATATATATATATCAGTACTAAAAGTAAAACTTACAATGCTTATCGACTTTCTGTTTTCTACCCAACAGTCGATTCAATGAAAAAAATCCACCGCGGTTATTGCTCATTTTGGAAACTGATCAATGCTCTCCCCAAAAACAGCTATTTCAATACTACGGAAGAAGAGCAAAACATCTAATTGGTTTGATTCCACTAGAGACTTCATTAATTTACTATCTGAAATGTTAACCAGAAAAAATATATTTTTCAATTATTTTACAAGTTTTATAAAAACAAAGTATTGTTTTCAAATAAATTATTAATAAAAAATTTCAAATTCAATTTTTCGTCGGTTTTCAATTTGGCAAATTCAATATTGCTTAAAATTTAATTCTGAATTCAAACATGAAGTTCGTACATTCAGGTACACGGTGAATCAAGTCTACATATGAACTGCTGAGGATATTCGTTGGACATTGTTTGTGTGGTACCATAAATGTGGTACTTGAAAATGTTATTACGCAAAAACGGTACACGTGTTGTTGTAATCGCGGCTTAAAAGCCCCGAAAAAAATTATTTTGATGTACCGCTTTTGCGTACCAACAATTTCAAGAACCGTATTTCGTACGAACGTAACAATGTCCAACGAATATTCTCAGCAATTCATATGTGAGAAACATCCAGTTCAAACTACGTCAGAATTTGCGCAGTAACAATAAAATTCATATTACGATAAGAGCGATAATGATGATGTTGAAGAAAAATATTTGTTATCAAGCAGACTTGAACAATTCTTTGGTGTAATCTCAGAAATGTTTGGGGATTACTCGCTTCGAAAAAAAGTGAACTAATGAATAGATTGAAAACTTGTAGACGATTAACGAAAAAACATTTCTTATGGGAATATTTTCTTCTTTTATGGTTGAACATTATGATGAGTGATGGAAATGCTCATATAAAAAATTTCGTATTAACGACAAACGTAACTAAATAAAATGAAAAACAGTTTTCTCTGTAGAAATAGTTACTGTTCAATTATTTTCAATTCATGTGTGTATGTATTCCGTTTAGCGATAATCGTGGTGATAATGATCGTGTACTAGAGATAGAATTGAACCGGTATATGCCACTTGTATTTTTTTCTCTCAAAGTATACACCAAACAAATATCGCTATAATATGATAAGAGTTGTTGACGCATATATTAGAAACGGTGAATTATTCAGAAATCATTTGCAGTCAAGGTAAAATCTATACACAAACTACATTTTTACTACGAAGATCTTCATATGCTACCACATTTGTGTCTAGATTTACAATACTTTCGATGAACAATCGTAATTTTATTGTTTGAGTGTGATACGAAATTGGGAAAAATATAATGGAAAAGTTCCACTTACAATATTTTCTTCCAGATACAATTTTTTTTTAAATAACTGCAAGAAAGCTGTTTCAACGAATGAATAAGTAGGCTCTTTGGAGCATCGGAAAAAAATGGTTTTATTTTCTAATGAATCTTCGCTTTCTTCTTGTCACATTTATCAGTGAATATCATTTTAGATTTCTTTTTACGATGGTCCCATTCCCCCATATGGCGATTGTCGCACAAAGCGACTCAATTAAATGGAACTTTTAATTTTCAAACTTGTTCACCGGTTTACCTCGTGTGTGCCACGATTCATTCACATACAGACAGACATTTGTATCGATTATCGAAGTCTTTTGCCATTTTCATCCAATCATCTCATATTACAAATCATGAGCTTTGTCCTATTTGAAGTAATTGCCCAAATACAAAGAAACCTATTGAGTTTTCTTTTTAACAATGATGGGAGATTTTGAGATTATTGACAAGATTATTGAGAATACTCGATGAAAAAACACTAAAAAGATTAGTTTAAATTTTTTATGCGAAATTTTATTCAAAAATATATTAATTTGCAACTTGCTGGAATAAAATGTATTCCACAATCGTGTGAATAAATGATGATGTGTTAATGTTATTGGTAGATGTGTTAAACACACACAAACTAAACATTTTAAGAATTGCATCATTTATAACCTGTTCACGTCTAAAAGTTTGAGTTACGTCAAATAATCACAGCTTTAGATCGTTTCGTGTTTATGATTTGAAATTTCTAGCAATTAAGATTTTTACCAAATAATTCACACAAATAATGCTCATTTGTCAACGTTTCATTCCATATAGTGTGTTGAGAGTACACATTTAGTGCACGATTTCAACCAACAACATACAAGGCTATACAAAAATCATGCTAATTTTATGACATTCATCAAAATAATTACTTTTCATAAACACCAAAACACACACAATCATGGAAATTTTTGAAAATTGAAATAATCATCAAAAAAAATTCAATGTATGTAATTAGGAAAATTTGCTTTGATATTTATTTCATTTTTTCAGTTTACCGTGAACAACAACACGTTAATTTGTTTTCGTACAACAATGAACTGCACAAAATGCACAAAATGTAAATTACATTTATTTTCATTCGAATTTTGTGATACACTCAGAAAATGCACATGTTATTGAAGTTTAATTTTATATTCTTCTCTACACCGTGAGTTTGACAGGCAAAAAACGCACACACAAATGCGCGAATCGAATCAGTATCTATTTGTGTAAGAATTCACAGCTCAAGGGCATACTCTTTATCTCTTTTCTGAAAATTCATTCAATCAATTTGATTTTTTTACATCACCACTTGTATTGAAACCATGTAACGCATGGGAGATCATATTGTAATTGTTTTTGTTTTAGTTTTTTTGTTATTGAATTTATCAGATAGATTTAACAATCTTTGAAAAATTGAGATTCAATAATTCTATTTTTCAAGATGTGAAAACAAAGAAATATGTTGTTCAAACAGATGAGTTCTGTATGGCTCTAAAAATGGCACTAAATTTGTTCATTTTATCATAAGTAAGTGGCAATTTCATTAAAAATTCATTGCATGATGTGTGTTTTCTTAATAAGGAACAATACATATTTATTGTGCATCTATCAATGCCAAATATCTATAAAATATAATATTTGTTGTTGATGTTTTTTAGAACTATACTTGAAATTAGCAACTTTTGGGAATTTGAATGGTTAATTGTTTTTGACTTTAAACTCATTGCGTATACGCAATACATATGTATATGTTGGTATTGTTTTTCTTCAACCAATAACTTATCTTTTATATCTTTTTACTATGAAAGAGTTTTATCATATTATTAGACATTGAAAGCGAATCGATTTATTGTTGTTGACTATTTCTCAGACAATGATGTACTTCAAAAATAATATGAAGTGAAATATTAACAGTATCTTTTATAATGCTTCGCAATTTGCATTGAATTCAACCATAGTTGAATATGAACTATGTCATTAAACATGCAAAAGTTACTCATGCTAAAATTTGTGCACATAGATATTCATTTTTCAAGATAGAACATATCAAGATTTCCATTCAGCCTACTTTTGATTAAACTGAATGATTAATCTAAAGTTCTTGAGTTGCCTACAATACGTAAATATGGTGATATGTGCTGTGCTACCAACCCCGACCTGGCAAAAGAACTGTGCTTAGCTAATAAAACGCATAATTGCACGATATACTTGTACAATCGCATGCATTACTATGCCAGTCAGATCTTAATTAAAATCTGCTGCTACAAGTTTTCCAACATTTCTGTTTATTTTTCAGTGTGTTTTTTAGTATACGTAGAGTATTTATGTATATACTATACGTTTAGTTGTAGTTTTTCTAAGCATAACTGGAAGAATGTATTTTGAATGGATAAGTGAGCCATACAGAGATGATGTATGGAAGATACACTATGATTGTATCTACCATACATCACACCAGTTGAACTAATTTTAAGAAATGCCCATTGCCCCGAATCGAAAACAATTGAATTCGTTTGAATCAATTTCGCACAATTAACATAACCAAAGTCGTCGTTACACACTTTCTGACAGTCAATAGATTGATGAGATAATAATATACACTTTGTATCAATTTTATTATTATTATCATTATATAAAATATCATATTAATGGCTGAATTATTTTTACAGGAAAAATGAATCAATTCGGATTTATGAAAACACCTGAGCTTTTCTTCTAATTACTAGTAATATTATATAATAATAAAAAGAATTACATTGGTAATCCCGAACTTTTCCGTACCGTTGGCCTGCGTTGTCCGTAGGTACTTTTGGTTATTTTTTGTGAATTTTCTTGAAATAAAGGCAGTGAAAATATAATAATAAAAATAAAGTGAAAAATCGGTCACTTTAACTTAAACTTCGACAATTCTGTATGAAAGGTACCCGTAAACCGATTCTTTTTGGCTTTAAACTTTCTGAGGTTTCATTTTTTGGAAAGTTTCATGTTGATCGCATTTGCAGAAGTTTGGTTTTTGGCCCTCAATTTTTTCCAAGAAAATTTCGACGAAAATTGAGGACAAAAAATCAAACTTCTGCAAATGCGATCAACGTAAAACTTTCAGAATCTTATTTTTTCTCCAAAAAATGAAACCTCAGAAAGTTTGAAGCCAATCAGAATAGATTAACGGGTACCTCCCATACAAAATTGTCAAAAAATCGGTAATTTTAGTCAAAATTTCAAAAAATTTGTATGGGAGGTACCCGTAAATCGATTCCGATTGGTTTCAAACTTTCAGAATCTTATTTTTCTCTCAAAGAATGAAATCCCAGAAAGTTCGAAGCCAATCGGAGTCGATTTACAGGTACCTTCCAAACAAAAGTGTTCTGATTTGCTATTACCAGTACTTGTGGATACATTTCCAAGACTTAAGGAAAAAAAATTGACAACATTCTGTTGACAGTATGGTTTAATTCTTTGATATTTTTGTAAAACCCGTAATTTTCGGACTTTCTCTCTTGCTGTCAATATTGACAGTTATTTTGACATTTCGAAATGGCTTGAGTGTGTCATAGGCGTTCTTTAGACACCAACAATTAACGCTGAAAAGAATTTGCATACTTTAGAGTACGTCTGTTCATGTTCTGTAACTGTTAAAACACAACTTTTTATCAACACATTCAATTTTTCGACCGATGGCACAAACATAGGGTCACTCCAGGGGTCATAACTCCGCTCCCCCTGGTCCAAATGTCATGAAATTTGGATGGGATGTCAGTAAGGATGTACCTTTTCAACGCCGGTAATTATATGTAGGTGGCGCCACGAGAAAATGCCCTGGACCAAAAGTCCGGGAACTTTTGAAACACACCTTGTATATAGTGAATTTCAAATATGAAAAAATGAGCAATCTGTTAGAAAGTCAGAAAGACCGCAATCTGTTTAAAACCAAAACAATTTGATAATTGTAAGATGGTATGGTTACTATTGAGTACATTAGCGATATTATTGGCTTCTTAGATAAAGATATTTTCCAAATTGTCGATGAGTGGAAATAGAGGTGTCAACGGGCACGGACAAAATCAATGTTCGAGTATCCATCCGTCCGAAATCCCAAAAAAGTTCGAACGTCCGGCCCAAACAAACAGACGGACTTTGGCCACTGGCACTTCTAAGTGCGAACGAAAGACAAAATAGAAATTGTATGAATGTGAACAGAAATTTGTACACAAAAGAAAAACGAAAATAATTAGAATGATGCTTTTTCACTTCATAAAAAATTCATAGATCATGACGTAGATTCAATAGGAGCATAATATCTGTTATGTCATAACGAAATCAACAATAGGCAATCATACACAGACAAAACTGAATTGGTGAACCCCGCCAATACTATTGGTGAAATGCAAAAGTAGCTGGTTGTGATAATTGTATTCTTCTAACTGAAATGATGCCTCGATGAACCTTCATTATGATGGCTAAATACAAACATTTAGAGAGTGAACCTAGGGGAATATCACGGAAAAATTCTATTGAATTTTTATTGATTTTTTTCAATTTTTTAAAAATTATTTTCATCTATATTAGCGAGATATCTGCGATTTTTTCAGATATATCGCAGTATTGCGATCTGGATAGTATTGTCAGCACCATCACAATGACAACCATTTTGACAACACGACAATGAAAATCATACAGAAAAAATATTTTTTGTTAGTTTCACTATCCATAGTGAATCTAAAGTTTTTTATTTGAAGTTTTGTGTATTTTAGTATTCGATATGGATATTTTTGCCTATATGTTTATGATATTTAGTTTTGGAAATTTGACAGTTCGGGCGTGCTCACTACACCATCTTGAATTTTATTATTGAACATATCTTCACAAATCTGCAAAAATTCACATTTGTTTTCAAAATTCAGCATAATCTCAAATATTACACCGTATCATACATGGTGAATACTAGTAAATAATACAGATTTTGCGAAATATCTGAAATAACATAGATTTTATCGTGCGGCGGCTGTTGAACGTCAAAGTCATTTGAGGCGACGCGAGCGCCCCCAATTTCGAAGGGCAAATCAATGTAATTTAACATTTCAAATCGGAACTACACAGCGCGCCAATTCGAAATATAGGAAAATATAGTGTCAACAGCCGCACCATGGATTTTATTGGATTTGAAATAAATAAATGAGATAGAAATAAGTTTTGTTAATAAAAATCGCGTGATATTCCCCTAGGAGTGAACGCAGCTCAGATAACGACAGCATACCTACAAAATTGGTTCTCAATTGCTACGTGATGATTTTAGATAAGTCTATTCACATTCAATAATGTTCAATTTTACTTTCGCAGACTGTTCTATACCTTACCATTTTGGTCATTGATCAAATCCTAAACATATACGAATGAATACGCAAGTTTTCTTTTGATTAAAAGGCTAATGTTTCTATTTGATCTTCAACGAAAATGATAAATTGCTTTTACTCCAGAGAAATTCTAAATCCTTAAACACCAAATGTTTTTTTTATACTGGAATAGCTGTGCAATATTTTTTGGGGTCGATTTGCATTGTTCGCCTTTCAACCAGCACGGTCTTCGGGCATTTCACTTGAAGTGTAAACGTGTTCGTAACTGGTTTTGCTTCAACACATGATAATTTCATTTGCTGATAATGAAAGAGTTTTCGCTCCGTACGTTACGTGTAGCGCACGATTTCATATATTCACAGGTAAATAAAGGGCATTCCAACGTTTGTCTGTATTGAAATATGTGGGGCACTCATTTTCGTTTCATAGTAAAGTGGACAATTTTTGGAATTCTTTTCCCTGTAATATGACTTTGTTAACCTTAAAAGTATATTCATCTTTGTATTTAATAGCACATAAAGTATTCCCTCGCAGGTTAACCTGCTTTAAATTTTCATCAATTCACATTTTTTGGGTTTTGAACGAATATGAAAATGAAATTGAAAAACCAAAATATTTACGATTTGCTAATCTTTTCTATGTTTCTTCTATTCTATGTATTCTCTTTTTATCATTTCATTTTATTTATATTTATATATGAATTGTCTTCGATCACGTGTTTTTGCATTCTCAAACTCTGCCACAAAATACGTATATTGGTATTTGCAAAAAATATTTATGTAATTTGAATTATATGGATTTTGGAAAATTTTTCTATAGTATTCTGTTGTGATAAAAAAATTAGCAAATGCAAGTTTTATTATTATTATAATTATTGATATTTTTAGTAAAAACTCTTCTCAACATGGCTTTTTATAGTACTATGGCAAATGAATAAATAGAATTTGATTGATGTTACATTATTTTGCACAAAAATCATCATAGACTGAAAAAAAAAATCATTTAGGTTTCATAACCTAACGAGTGCGTTTAATATGCTACCGGTTTCAAAATCAACTGATAGTTAACGAACTGCTGGCGTTAATAACAGCGAACAATAAAAACATTGAACCAAAAATTGGGCTTGTATTTTTGCTGACTGCGTATACATAATTTTGGGAAGTAAAGCTTTCTAGTACATGTTTACCTTTTATTATTTCAACTGAAGAATGTGAGATGTGTCGGTAGCTAACATTAAGTTCAATTGATCGCGTCATTAGCAATTTTATTTCGTATTATTTATGCGCGAAATATTTCTGAAATTTTGCATGCAAAGTAGCGAAAAGAAGTCTAAAATTCACACAATGTGCAAAAAATAGTAAATTGAAAAAATTCAATTACCGAAATATCAAAAATCAAGTTCTAGACTATGTTTTGTTGTTGATTGTGCCATATTTTGGCACGAACATATTCGATTTCATTTTCAAACTTTCAAAAAAAGATAATCTACCATGGTAATAGAAATCATCTATTTGAAGTAAAATATTATTATTATTATATTAGTTACACATAACTCGTGACTAATCGTTCCTAAATGATATCCTTAGTAGGTCTTAATGGGTCAATCCGAAGTGATCCTGATAAATATTGATGAAATTTTGTTCATCGGGGATAAGGCAAGGTATTTATTTATGATTATTTCCCTTTCGTTCAGTCTTAGATTTCATAATAACTCAAAAATTAAGTTGATAAAACTATATTATGTTTGAATGAGCAATGGGAACTCAAAAATTACTGTTATGCAGTTCTTATTTAAACTTTTTTGTATCTACCTAAGATGCGTTAACCATATTCCCAACATCAAATATGATAACTGGACCGCGAAAAAAGATAAACGATCGTTAGTGGGTGCATTGCAATCACAAAACTATGGTACACCGATCAAACTAGAAACAAGAGAAGCAAAATCATACTCAGTTGCAATAAACATCGGTATTCACAGATTGAAGGTTTCAACATTTACATTTTTGTTTGCATAACATAGTGGGGAAATGATTTGCGCTACAATTAAAGCCATATATTTATATACCGATTTAACGATTGCGTAAATTTTCCGTTTGCAGGTGAACGGATCAATTTCAGATGGTAATGAATTATGTACCAATGGTACAGGTAGGTACCAAACATTCAACACAATATCACTTTATTTCTCAGCACAAGTATAATCAAATGCATTTTTTACTAGAGTCCGATTGATTTAAGTTCCTAATGTGTCCAATTGGACAAAAAATTATTATATATTTTGTTATATTTCCGATTCAAAACCGTCTAATATATACAATTTTTCTACTTATCCATACTATGGATATATTTTCAATTTTTTCTTCTCTAAAATTTAGATTTTCAGTATTTATTTTGCCCTGATAGTAGTATCATTTATTTATTTTTACACATTGGATTTATTATTTGGTTTAATGACGGCATGAATACGATCTACTTAACGTTCACCGGAAAATAAGCAGTCGCATGTAGTTTTCGACGACCTGCTTATTTTGGAAGAGAAAATTTTGATTCAAATGAGTAATCGCTTGCATGAAATGTGTGTCATTAGAATAAACATGGTTGAGCAAAAATGATGTGCAAGAGAGAAAGACGGAATACACACAGGTGTATGAGACTGCTTTGCTGTCATTGAGTGAATGTTCGGCTGGTAAAACGGGTTTTTTTTCTTTTTAAAGGTGAAGTGAAAACCATCAGAATAATCCATTCGCCTAAACGAAATAAAAATTCGATTTCACTAAATAAAATGATCGTAAAATAACTGTCGTGATAATATTTACGATATTTATTTATACATTTGTTTTTGTTGAGCCGAACACAATATCAGATAGAAAACGATTTATCTAAAGATCGTACAAGAGAGACAACGGGAAAAAACCTTGCACAAAAAGGAATCTGAGAATCGAGATTTCAACTTTATAGGCCGAGAAACAAGATTTTTTTAAAAATATTATCTCAATATTTTTGAAATCATTGTCATCAGCAAAACCTGAATCATATGCAAAAAATCGCAATAATATGTTTTGTTAATCACAGTTTTGTTGGTATATAAAATAAATCAGCATATAAACAAATCCAATATTACAATATGATTCTGTGTACTTTTATTCGGCTCACAATTATGTACGAACTCGTTTCAGATTCAACTTTGAACTATTAAGACTGATTTTGGTTGAACTTATAAATACACAAAAGGCACGCTGTAGAGAAGTACTATTTTTTGCAAACTCTCTGTACTTGCACAATGAATGGTTCACATATGTTTGACGTAATATTTATCACGTCGTTCAGCATAAATTCATCAGATTGAAGGTAGGAATTCATTTTGATTTAATAATTAATAATACAAAACCTCGTTTGGACTGAATGAAAGAAAAAGATTCAAGAAAACAGATGTGTTGTTATTTCATATTCCGTGGAAATAAATGAAAAAAAACCGACACGTGAACATCGTCGACGATTTACTAATACGAACATTGAATAACTTAAACAACAGTCTATTTGAATAAGCAGAAAACAGAATCAGACAATAGAACAAGTGACAATGAAAAAAGCACATCACATCTCTTTGTGTCGACATTGTGTTGAATTTAAATTATTGTTAGTATAGTCTACACACACAACATTTCCTCCCATTAGATCATTCAATCGTATTCGATTGTAGTCCGTGTATTTCACTGCTTGGTTCCTCTTTGTGATATTCACTATCAAAAATAAATGTGCCTCTTTCTTAAATTGCCCTGAATCGAATATTATTTCACCAATATATTTTGTCATCTTTGTGAACTATTGAACTACGTATTAAACATAAGCTATTCGTCAATGTGATTCCCGAGAAAAGTTGAATATTCTAATTAGATTTTACATTAAATATTCTTGAAGATTGCAATAAATCTTTGGAAGAAAAAATTCAAGCACTAATTGTTCTGAAGTTTTTTTTGTCGGATATACTTACAAAATGAAATCACTTCGAATTGGACTAAAGGAAACTTTGGATTGCTGCTGTATTTGTTTCACACAACGTTTCGATAAGATTTATTTTATTCACTGGCCGATTAATTAATCACTAACAAAATGAAAAGGTAGAAACAATTTATTTATTTATTCCAACCGAGTCGAGTTTGTTCAAGGAATTGTCGAATTCTTAGCACGCAATTATATCACTGCTGCACGTTAATCTATTGTATTCTGTGTGGTTGTTGTAATTCTAACTGTCGTTTTCATTAAAACTTACTCAAACACTAAAAAAAACTTAGCTCTTAATATTGCATGGCCACTGAAATGATCGTATTCATTGGATATACATATTTTTAAAATCTTGGAATAAATTTTATATTTTCTTTCTAATATCGATCACTGTGAACAAAAATAGTGTGTTCACTTGTATTGCTGTTTCTGTTGAATGTTCAATAAATTGTTTGCTCGCTGATGGAGTCACTCGCTAAAACTACTAACTAACATCCAAACGATATGAAACGCCACTCACTTCTAGATACACGAGTCAAAAACATATTGTTGAGTAGCGGTAACCAGGTGGTTAACAGATCAATTTGGCGTATGTGTGTGTTTTGTAGATGTATTCGTTTTTTATAATGTCACATTTGAAATAATGCGTTCAATACCCGATGGATAGACGGTGTGCGTCTTCGCTAATTTGATCGATTTTATTAAAATTTCTGTTAAATATAGATTTTATATAAATCTGCAGTCAATGTTAAATGAAAACATTGAATGGAATTTCTCCTTATATTGATATAGAAACTTCAGTAAAATAATGTTGATTCAGATCATATAACCTATTTGAACTTAAAAAGTACAAATCATTTCTATTTGTGCAAACAAACATGTTTTCTTATTTTGTTGTTTTTATTTATGTTCATACGTCAGCAAAAAAAACAGTTAATCAACACCGAACGATAGACATTTAGATGTACTTTTTTTTTTAAAAATTGATTTGTTATTCACATTGAACTTTACAAAACATAAAAAAACTGATTCGAACGGTTGACAATTGATAGTGGAAAATAGTTTCCTTACTATTAAAATGATCTTTTACAATAAAATTGCGTAGCTTGCTCCAGTTGCAAGTTGAAAAATTTAAAATTCCAGTTGGCCTGGACAATATTTATCAATCAACGATTGATAATAGGGCCAGAGTTCATCAATATCCGGCACTGTTGATGACTTTGTGTATAGGTCATAACGGCTGAGAAAAAAATGGAGAACAATAAGTTTACAAAAGTATAGTTTGCGATACGAATAAAATTTAATAAGCTTAACATACTTGAAAATATTGACCCATTTCTTTATGTTTTCATCACTTTTGATTTCGAAATGCTTGTAATCACCTGCCGTATGCCTTTGATTTGAAATAAAAATGATAAATTTTCAATCAGAATGGGAAAAATGGGAACAATTAAAATTTGTAGAATAATGAAGATTTACTCACCATGGGTAGAATGAATGGTAACGAATTATTTGCAATGCCTCAATTGGCAACGTTGATTTGTTATGTTGTAAGACTCGATAAAGGTATTCATCATGTCCCCATGACATAACAACATTCTCAATGCCACACATTTCTTTATACATGCCCAGTTTCGTATTAAAGGCAGGGTTTTGGCCGTCTGGATTATCACCAAAAGTTTCCTTCCGGTATACAATATTTTCGGACCATGCACATCCCACCGGAAAGGTGTCACCAACGACTGCAAACTGTGGTTCACCATAGAAAGCCATTACTTTGAGAAAGTATTAAGAAAATATTTAAAAAATTAGAGTCAGGAAATTAAAAATCCAGTCGGTATAAATACCTTTGCCCAAGTCATGTATAAGTGCAGTGAAATGGAGCCAGTCAAGTTCGGGGTATTCGGCTCGTGCTCTTTCAGCAGCTACACAAAACGTTACAACATTTAGTATCTTGTAAGATCTAAAATTTCAAATTGCATCTACCTTGAAAAGCGTGGATGATATTCTAATTTTCCCAGTGTAAGTTTCACAAAGTTTTAAAAAGAAAACGGGATAAAATAAAAAGGTTATTTGCAAAAGGATAAATAATTTCTTGCTTTTTTAAAAAAGGTTACCGGAAGATCGATGTCAGGATCACTCTCGTCCACCAATTTTTCGTAATTTCATAAATATAAATAAAAAAAATATTATATATCGAACCACTTTTGGATAGAGGCAAAGCCAAAATATAGAAACTGTATGTGCGTTTAGCTTACCAATTCATTAAGTTTTTCTAAGGCTTCTCTTATGCTACGAATCGAATAAATATATTTTAAAAATATGTTATGGAAAGTTGGTTATTATCATTATTGAATCAAACTTACGTCGCCTTAAAATGGTTAAATTTAAGCCATACGTCATGGCGACCTAAAAAAATTGCAACGTTATTGAACGATCTACCAGTCTTATTCTAGTTGACCAATATGATAACCTCAACGAAAGTGATGATTATTCATATCACTCATTTATTCATAAAAGAAATCTCGAACTTTTGACAACTGTGTTGTTCAGGGAACTTACGCTTATTTAGAGATAACCTACTTGCTTAGTTTTGTATGGGAATGGAACTTGATAGATGCTTTAAAGATGTCTACATTTCAGAAATGATTCTAAATCCAAGTAAAATTATTTCTAACCCTTTTCAATCTGCATGATTCTCCACACAGTCGAATAAAATAAAAATAACGGTACCTTTAACAAAATCAACGGTTTGATGGGTGTGCATTGCCTTATATGTTTGAAAAACACGTTCCTTTAGAGGGTCATTTTCGGTTAGAGTATAGTCTCGAAATTCCTTTACATCTTTGTCCGCAAATGAGGCGGCCGAAAAATCGATGTCAGGGCGGTAAATATCGGAGGGGTCCAAAATTGAAACGGATTGCTAGAAAATGACCAACGATAACATTGTTATTGTGGTATTATAAGACTGTTTTTGAAAAGAAAAGAATGTAGGAGAAAAGAGGACCATACCTTTTCAGTGAATTTCATCTCTTCAAATTTATTCGTGTGATTGAAGTTTATTCAGAATAGTCCGTATTGCTGGACTTATTTATACTGAGTGAATTCTCAAAAAAGCTTGGCTTATGTTTACATTACGTTACGTTATCGCTTATCAACAAGCACCATAGCTGCATACGCACGTGAGTTCATGAATTGATAACCTAATCAAACGGAAAAAATAAAGTGCAAAAACCCAGCAATAAAATGAAAAAATAAGTTTATTCTAAACGTAAGATTGCACTATCTCATTTGCATCGACGTTCGCTGTTGACAAGACAGCATATACATATGCGATACTCATAATGCTTTCATCGCTGCTTTTTACCACACCAACGCTCAAACATTATCAGAGTACTGGAGTATATCCCTTCACAAGCGGAAATGTGTTTCTTTGAAAACACGCTGAAATTTGATACTTTGCTCCCGTATACCAACAACATTTCTTATGTACTTTTTCAATGCAAAATCACGAGTGGAAAATATTTAGCAGATATGGAATTGTATTCTCTGATTTTGTGTGGGTGAAAACATTGTTATATTTATAATTTCATTAAATTTGTTTATTTCTCTTTTCTTGGACACTGATATGATAAAGTTCTTTTACTTAAATTAATCGCCGGAACGATTCCGTGAATGCTTCCGTTTGTAGTTATGACTGTCGCTCCTACCATATCGTCTTAATCGGGATCTAGATCGAGATCGATACTTTAATTTCTTTTTTCCACGTTTAGCTTTATGGCGATGATGCCTGGAGGAAGATGACTTTGACCTGTTCCGAAATAACACATCGTTGGAAAAAAAATTCAAACTCATTATAGAAATTGGAAACTTACCGTGACCTAGACCTTGAATGTTTCGGTTCAACCTCAATTACATCATCGCTCCCACTAGAGTGTCGATTGATCCTAGTACTACGATGTTTTTGTGCAGTTTGTGTAACGGCTGCACCAATCGAAGTAGATGCTGATGCCGATACGAATGTTACAGAGTCGCCGCTATCACTGTGATCAGATAAATTTTCCGTCGTTGATTTTTCACTGTTCGTTGATTGAGGAATATCATTTTTCTTCGTGTTTTTCGAACCAGAATTTTCATCTCCTATGTTGATTTTAAAACAAAAACTTGAATAAAACGTTATTTCATACGAAATTCAAAAAGAACCGTAACCATTAATTTCGGTAATTTGATTGATAAAAGCCATGGCTCGTCTTCTGCGTTCTAATTGCAACTGTTTTTCTTTTGAGAGCAGTTTCTCCCTTGCTAGCAACGCTAGTCGGTCCTTAACTTTTTCTTCAGCTTCAAAATTAAAAGAAAAACATTTTCAATTTTGTCCCATGTCTATATGAATAGATTTACTGTTATTACCCATTTTTGCTCGCTTTTTTTCGTCGAGATTTTGTTGCTCCAGCATTGTGTCTCGTAAAAATGAATCAGATTGCTCAACATCGACCGTTGAGTAGTGAACACAATCGTCTCCATGTTGTATGTTTTTATTTGGCAGATGTGGCGACGAATTGGAGTTACTTTGAGATGGTTGGGTCTCAGACTCTTCATCACTGCTATGTTCCAAATTTATAGTAGGTTTGAGGGTAGTTGTAGTGGATTCTTCTCTAGATTTTATTGAAAATGATACCGGAGCTGAAAACATAGAGACATCAGATGATATTGCCAATTGAATAGAATTTATTCTTCAAGCTTACCAACAGATTTGATGTGCTCTTGTTTATCTTGAACTGGATTGGAATGAACAGACACGGCTCCCGTCACTTTGAAAGTATAGTATTTGTGGTAAGGATCTTTGTATTGAAGAAAAGAGAATCGCTGTTCGTTCTTTGCACGTAGAATATCTTCGAAATCTTTTCCATTTTTCAAAACATAGGACGCCGTTTTATCGATAATAACGCGAAGTTCAGACGGTGGTAGCGTAACTCCGGGTGGTATTGAGCTTTCGTCACCTATTGATGGTATTGTTGATAAGTTCTTCTGCAATTCCTTACTTGACTGCTCGTTGTGATAGCAGCCTTTGACATCTGTTTCGCATGCATTGCTGTCTCCATTATATCCGTCCTCTTCGCTGTCAGAATTATAATACTGCGCTAACATAAGGCCACTTGAAATTTTCTTCACTTCCACATTTGTTTTTGGTATTGTTCCGGTGTTTTGACGTTTTGGTGTTGAGGTTATCGCTTGTTCAGCCGTTGTTATAGGCACACCCTTTATTTTACTTATCAATTGTGTGTATGCACAATCAGCCGATGGTTTATATTTAACAGCAGGTATGTGAATCTATTTATTAAGATAAAGTGCAAAAAAATAAAATAAAAAAGGTTAACCGAACAGTTCTAAAATCGTGAGATAGCTCCACTCACCATTGTTTGATTGGCTGAATAATAATTTTGGTACAATGATCCTGTTGTTGCGTCAGTATCACTCGATGGAAGGTTGTTTTCCGTTCGATCAATTTCCGTTGGATAATTTCCATCTTTCATAGCCTGAAGAGTGTGCTTATAGAATGCGTTTAAGCGGCCACTTTGGTTTAAGAAATCAAACAGTGGATTATTGGCTTGTTTGGCTTTAATAAGAATTTCCATTTGGGGACCTTGTTCAGATATAAACTTTGCAGTTTTCTCAATTATTGCTTGCACTTTTATAGTCTCAGGCTGTGTGCAGGAGAAGAAGAAGAAATAAAATCAGTGAAGAAAAAATCGGTTGAAGATTGACTGAATGTGAACATACAATATCGATGTTGGGTGGGATATAAAATCGTGGATGTGGCACATAAACTTCATCAGGTTGTTCGTCTTTATTCTGATTTTCTGCTTTTGTTGATTCCTCAGCCGTAGCCGTAGACAATTGATCGTAGTTAAGGCCGACTTGGCCGTACGCTACATTTTGCCTTTTTTCTTTCTCTTCTGTTGATTGAATAGAAATTTATGATTTGTTTCCAATCTCTAACTATAATAATGTCTCGAACCTTTGTATAATTCTTCCTCAAAGTCGTTGTTGTGTAAACTATAATATCGTTCTTCTTCACATAGCTGTTCTGCACGTTGCTCAGCGGGACTGAGATAGTCCAAGCGGTTGTCATAGCCACCAGGCGGTGCTTCATATTGATTTATATCCGTCAACGCAGCTCGCACATCGTATCTGATGTTTTTTATGATCCAGCAGCAATGGTTTTTGTTCATACAGGTGATTGAAAAAAAATGGGAAAGAAATAACAAAAATATTAGCTTTGTTTTAATTATGTCATTTTAATCTGAAAAAAATAATCTCTGATTTTCCCAGTGTAAGGTTATCGGACAATTTGAAAATAAAACAGAATAAAAAGATTAATCGCAAATAGAACTAATAAAAAGAATAATTTTTTATCGGTATTTGTTTGTGTCTGGAAATGTTACCTCTCCTCGTACTATCTATATTCGAACTTTTATTGAGCTCAGCTTGATTCGCAAGTAATTTACTCATTCATTACTCTTTGTCTCTCTTGTCTCTCACTCTCTCGAGGAAAGATTGTGAGAGAGATATATATATATATAGATTTTTTTCCATTTCACTGTATCATTTTTTATTCTGGTTCATTCTATACATACCAATCCAGCCTGATGATCACGGTAAATCTGTTGATTTGGATATGAAATATATCTGTATGCTATGTAATTGCGCGCTAGAAAGAAGATCTATTTAATTGGTTCACTAAGTCACAATAACACATTTGGATTCAGTTCATTCATCCATTGTTCTTTCGTAATCGTGTTGTGTTGGCTTTCGATACTGTCCATCATGCTCAAAGCTGTGCATATATATATATATATATATATATATACATATATATGCTTCTTTTATGTTCATTCATATGTTCCATTTACTTATTTTCTTTGTTCGTTGTGGTCATTCAGTTTATTTTGCCATTGGGTCGAAGCAAATGTATGATGTATGTTTTTCGGATATTCGCAGAATTGTTCATGATCAACATATTTAAATTAAGAGAATTTTTTGTCAAATTGGATTAAAAAATTATTAACCTGTCGATTTTGAGGGTGTTATCGCCCATCCACGGTATTAAGTGTCTTCCTTGATCGTATTTGATTGCTTTCTCATCGTCCCGAAATATTTTACAAGCATATCCGAAGATTAGGAGGTCATCAATATTTTTCGCGGCCATAGTGCGAGTATTTTCCTGCCAATTCGGTGTTCCGTGAATACACCATCAATAATATTCGTTTCTACTTCTGTCCATCAGTGTTTATTTCGCTTTCAACATCGTTGCCTCAAAATTCATTAATTGCACACGCACATACAGTTTCTATATTTTGGCTTTGCCTCCATCCAAAAGTGGCTCGATATATAATATTTTTCTTATTTATATTTATGAAATTACGAAAAGTCGAAACATAAAAATTACTAGAACGCTACTGAATGAAATTTCTTTGACTTGACAGACTGTGCGCCATAGTGAATGTGCTGTCAAGATTGTCACGGCGAATTTGTAACTTTTCAGGCGAGAAACATTGAGGTTAGGCACTGTTCACAAATTGAAATCACATTGTTTTGTATTGGAACAAAATTTGACGATAGTGGACGTGCGATAGGTAAATAATAATTTAAATTTTTATTTTATAACAACATTTATTCACATGGTCGTGAGCTTCAAAAACCAAATATTGAAAAAATGTTATATACATTGATCTATAAAACAACGAGGACAACTTTTAAATATTTGCAACTGCAAAGCATTCGTGAATGCACTACAATTTCACATGCAAACACACAACGACGTCGTGTTGTGGTTACAGGGGTCGGTCTCGTTTCACCCGTAGGATGTACTGTAAAATCGGCTTGGAGAAATATATTAAATGGATTTTGTGGAGTAAAAAAACTCCATGATCGAGAATATGATTCATTGCCTTGCAAAATAGCTGCAAAAATCGACGAAGAAGATCTAAAATTACACGAACACTTCTCCAAAACCGAACTCCGAGCAATTGCACCAGCAACGCAACTAGCATTAATCGCAGGTATGCATCGATTGCACGTTGTGGTTTAAATAACGATATCAAGAAAATCTTGAATGAAATTTCTTTGCAATACATTCTGTGTTCAATTTCAGCAAAGCAAGCATTGAATATGGCTAAGTGGGAGCCAAAAACTGATCTTGACCGAACTGGCGTGGCTGTGGGAATGGGAATGGTAGATTTGAGCAGTGTTTGTGAAACATTTGAAGCATTACAGAACAAAGGATATAGTCGTGTTAGTCCTCATTTTGTTCCCAAAATACTAGCGAATATGGCTGCCGGACAAATCAGCATAAAATACGGGTTTCAAGGGCCAAATCATTCCGTATCCACTGCCTGTGCTACCGGTGCTCATGCTATTGGAGATTCAATGCGATTCATTCGCAATTCAGACGCTGATGTTATGGTTTGTGGCGGTACGGAGTCAAATATCACACCATTATCCATTGCTGGATTCTGTCGAATACGAGCATTGGCATCGAACTATAATGACAAACCCCTGAAAGCGTCTAGACCATTTGATCGTGATCGGAACGGTATTGCCTTTAGATTTGCCCGGTCAAAATAAAGATTTGATGTCATATTCTCACTTTTCAAGGCTTTGTAATGGGTGAAGGTGCTGGAATTCTCGTATTAGAAGAACTAGAGCACGCAAAACGACGAAATGCTACCATTTTTGCAGAAATCCTCGGATATGGTTTGTCTGCTGATGCATCTCATATAACATCGCCACACCCCGAGGGCAGAGGTGCTCTTTTGGCGATGAAAAATGCTCTAAGAGATGCTCAAATTTCTGCAAATGTAGTTGACTATGTAAATGCACATGCAACGAGTACTCCAATTGGAGATGCAATTGAGATGAATGCAATTCAACAACTATTCCAAGGAAATGCGAAAAATATTCATGTTTCGTCAACGAAAGGCCATCATGGTCACTTACTTGGGGCGGCTGGCAATCTCGAAACAATTTTCACTGTACTCGCATGTAAAGAAGCCAAAATCCCACCAACTCTAAATCTCGATAATATCCCAAACAATTCTCAATTTATTAACTTTGTCCGCGATAAGCCAATGGATTGGAAGCACAGCGATGTAAACCAACCGCGAATCGCATTGAAGAATGCATTCGGGTTTGGTGGTACGAATGCATGTCTGTGCATATCCTCATTTTCAGATATATTAGATAATAATTAGAGTTATTGTTCGACTTAGAATAAAAATGTTCAAATAAAGAATAACGTCGTTTAATCTTTATTCATCTTATTCTATTTTCCAGGGGAGAAAAAATAAGAACAAAATGGGCAAAATAAAACGTGAACGACAAAAATTCCACATTGGTGCTGAGAAAAAGGCTGACACAGTCATCGACCAGAAGAAAACTTTGACATACAAACCGATTAAAGCTCAGCTGGACACAGTCGAAAACATATTTTCCGGCATAAATATTCAACTCGATAATATCAATAAGTTTGAGGAATTCGTACCACCACTAATTGAACCAAAATTGAACGTTGAAAAGACCGTACAGTCAATTGTTGATGTAAACTCGACAGAGCAAAAAGTGAAATGTAATAAAGTGGATTTTACTCAAGCACCAACGGGAAAACATCAAACTAAAAAAGAGAAAATCGCACTCAAGCATCAAAAGCTAATGGAAAAGCTGGATGTCACGCACAAAGCGAGAATGGAGCATAAACAGAAGAAACAAAAATCAAAACGAAATGATGGTCATCTCTTCGATCAAACATTGTCTGCACCAAATTCCGAGTTTCTTTCGCTGCTTACACCAGCGGCAGTGAAGTCATCGAATGAAGGAATAATGAAAAACAAGAACGTATTTTCGATCCCTTTGTTGAATGATGACTTACCCGCCCTTGATACGATATTTAAGCAAAAAATGAATCAGAGTAACGAGAAAGAGCACAAAATAACAAAGAAATCGAAAAACATCGGGAAGAGAACCAATTCAAAGAAAACTTTCGTTGCAAATTATGAATTTTTGAGAAAGGCAATGATGGCTAAGAAAAAACAATGATTTTAATAAATCTTCCTATTTTATTAACACTTTCATATAAAATAAAAGCATTTCAATCGCTAGGCAATTATTCAGGTTTAAGTGTTTTGTGCTTTCACATTGACTGCGTCTCGAATCATTGGTCGTAGTGTTATCAGTTTTGCAATTTTGTTAGCCTCGATATAGCATTTGTATTGCTTTTTCCCCGCGCTATCAATACACGCTTTATATTTTAAAGTTCCTTCGACTCGAACACGATCTAATCGTTTCAATTGGGTCCTAACTATGTTCCGGAGCGATTCATTGTATGCAAAAACTGTTATAAAGTCAGTTTGCTCTTCTTCCAGTCCATCGGAATTTCTATAAAAATAAATATTTATTGTTGTCTTCATATTCAAATAAAAGGAAACCTCCAAATTTACTTCGATAGGTAGTGAAGAGCCAAGTTGAAATAGCTATATGAATCCTCATTTATTATATCAAAACATATTTGTGCCATGATTTCAACGTGATTTTGATCTTTGATATCGAAATTTGCCGCACCATGTGTCCTGCTCAATTTGTTATTCTCGAAAATAACATTTGAATCTTCATATGCTTCCGTTTGTTTTGCTTCTTTTGCGTCGCCATTGTCACATAGGTAAATTTGTTTAGCCATAATCTGCATGTATGTCCCCCGTTTTCCACCATTCTGAGTGAAATAGCCGGTTCGTAGTTTTCCCGTGACGATGAGTTTCTGGCCCGTTTTGGGTATACCAGGCAATTTTTCCATCACATATGCCGGAACTACTATTTTATGTGTATCACTTGATTGAAAATGTTGTCAGTATTCAGTTAAAAATGACACTCAACAAATATATAACCTACTAAAAATGATCTTGATTGAAGGTTCTCAAGAAAAATAGTCGGGTTTTGCTAACTTCGGAACTGAACACATCACTAGAAATAGTTCCGACCATTCGCGCAATATTCACGTCTAAAATGTGGTATAATCAAATATTTTAGTGTTATCTATTTACATTAAAGGGTAAAAAAGGGTGCTTACTTTTTTGTAAATTCGTGGGTTTCGTACTCATCAAACGCGAGTAATGGAAATTGTTATATGCTTGCCGTAGCGTACACTTTATCGCTCTCCACATTTTTTCGCCGGCTTTTGGGTGCACTCAAAAATACAAAAAGTTTAACTTACGCAGTATTATTGGATTATTTTATTTAACTTTTCAGAATATATATTCATAGTGATATGAAAATTCATGGGGCCAAATCAAAACAATTCCATGTTGTGCCTTTTAGTATCTTCGCAGATTTCGCCGCACATTCAAACGTCAAAAATAATTACATACACTCACATTTTGAGTTGACATTTGCCAGAAAGTATTTTATAAAGAACAAATCCACTAAACACTAACACACAGGCTTAAATATAGCATACGTTTTGCTATTTCTCGAAAGCTCTTGTACTGAGCAATGCAAATCAGATGATTCCGTTTCACTTACACACATATTTCTCAATTTCTTCGTTTAATATGGCGGCACACTTTTAATATTCATAGCAGCAAACTACATGCAAAATTAAAGCCAGTGAATTCATCCGAAGCAAGTGTTGAGTTTTCTGAAATTGATTTGCTCCTATCAAGTTTTCATTGTTTTTCAATACAAAAAAATATAAAGAATTCGTTTGGAATTAATATATAGACAATGGCAGCCAGTAAACGTCTACAGAAGGTTAGTATATTTCAATATAATGAAGTAAGGTGTACGAATTGTGGTATTCATGTGCAACAATTTGTTTTATGAATTGCCAATGTGTGAATATGCACATTAGTTATTTTTCGAGGGATGACTTTACTAAATTTGAATAAATAAATACAATCAAGAGATTTCGTTCATAGTCATGTGCATCAAATATTTGTTGTAAAATTAGTTTTTGTCGTGGAAAATCACACATTTTTATATTCATATCAACAGGAATTGGGTGATTTGAAATCATCGAATTTAAAGTCTTTTCGGGACATTCAAGTAGATGAATCAAATATTTTGTCATGGACTGGGCTCATAATTCCGGTAAGTTTCCCATCGATAATCACATCTACAAGATGGCAAAAGCTGCATCATTTGAACAAACATGGGGGTTGGAATTGTGATTGTTACAGTGTGAAATATTTTTCATGAATATAAAACCATTGGAAAAAATCTGTACTTCATTTTTTTCAAAAGGAAAATCCACCATATTCGAAGGGAGCATTTCGCATTGAAATCAACTTTCCTGCCGAATACCCGTTCAAACCGCCGAAAATTTGCTTCAAAACCAAAATCTACCACCCTAATATAGATGAAAAGGGTCAAGTATGTTTACCAATTATCAGCACAGAAAACTGGAAGCCTGCCACAAAAACAGATCAAGGTATGACCAATTACATTCTCTTTCTAAATCAAATCTGATCCCATTGTGCTTTTGATATAGTTATTCAAGCGTTAATTGCATTGGTGAATGATCCGGAGCCTGAACATCCGTTGCGTGGTGATCTGGCAGAAGAATTTTTGAAGGATAACCGTCGATTCATGAAAAACGCTGAAGAATACACGCGTAAATATGGTGAAAAGCGACCCAGCGAGTATTAGATCAAATCGAATATTACCAGTTATCTGATGAAAAAAGCAAGAACCTAACGCTAAACCACCACCACCACAACAACAACAACCACAACCCACAACCAACAATAACAACGAACAAGTGAAATCACGATGAAAACAATAACATTTGTCTTTGCCGAACATTATTATAAAAAGGCTCTTCAATTCGAAATAATGTAAAAATAAAAAATAAGGCTTTCATAGCTATTTAATTGAATTCAGAAAGAGTCATTATGTTTCTTAAATTATCTAAGAATTATCTAAGTATAATCTTCTTATACGAGGTAAGAAATGTTTTTCAGTTTAAAAAAATTATTCTCCTTGCCCGATGTTATATGATGAAACGTCATAAAGACTGGAATGGTCAAAGTGTTTGAAACTGACGTTTGGCGCACAGCTAAATGTGTGTTTTTGACATTTGATTTGTTTTATAGTTACAACAAACACGTGCTGCAACATTATGGAAAACTGAACAATTCTGTGAAATAAAAAACTTATAATTTCCACAAATAAAAGAATTTTCTCATTTTATATACGAACTTGGAAATAGGTGGGTATGAACTTAATTGAATATTCTCGAATAATATAATAATTTAATCAAGTAATTTAAAAAAATTCAAGACGGACATGGGATTAACGAAACAATATCTTGCATATCATTCTGTTGGAAATTTCAACATAATTGCCAGTGGAAATGTTAATGTTTCTTTTATAACGTACAATAAAACGGATGGTCGTTATGTGGCTGTTGGCGCGGCTGAAAAAGTGTTTGTATGGGATTTACGCTTAGGAGAAAAAGTACTTGAATTCGTGCGTGGCAAAGAGGAAGTAACCACATTATGTCCATCGCCCGATCGCTTACATTTGGCAGTTGGCTTCGCGGATGGTGTGGTCCGTATATTTAATTTGCAATCCACTTTTGAAGATGAACCTCAATTTTCACTTCATCGAAGCGGTGTCAATATTTTACGTTATGATTCAGCAGGTGGGAACATTTTTTTTTTCACACACGAGCACATTCACTACTTGCACCAATTACAATTTAATTACTTTTTTCAGGATTAAGATTGGCATCAGGTGGTCAAGATACTGACATCGTGATCATTGACATAGTAACAGCAACCGGAAAATGTCGTCTAACTGGCCATTCAGGAGCTATCACTGATACTTGTTTTTATGAAAATACTATGGACAACAACATTGTTATATCCTCATCGACGGATAAACAGGTGAAAATATGGAATATCACGACACAGTGTTGTTTTCGTACAATTGTCGACTACACAACTGAAGTGTGGGCAATTGCACTGCTCCGTGGTGGCGATTTCTTAGTGACTGGTTGTGACGATTCAAACATAAATGTATATCGATTGATTCCCAACACACAAGACACACAACAAGTTGGAGAGACAGCTGTCGATGGATCTATTGCAGAAGAACAAATTCATTTGCCACTTCGGTGCAATTTGGTCGGTTCAATAAAACGAGCTGATACACGAGGAAGAATATGCAATTTAGTATCTGATCCGAGCGGCCGAGTTTTGGTTTTCCACGGCACAAAAAGCAAAATCATTGAAACATTTTCATTCCATTCAAAGGAAGAGGCTGAACAAAGGTGTAAAAAGCGGCTCAAGAAAAATTCCACCGACGATATTGACGTGAGCAACGTATCCTTGACTGATGAAATCAGAAGATTGCCGCCTGTAAACATAAAATCAAAATTAAAATCGATTGATGTGTTGATTGGAGGTGGAGATAGTCTTCGCATAGTTGGAACATTTTTTAACAATTCGATTCGAGTCTTCGCTTTGAATTTGAAAGAGAAAAAATCCGAACCAGAATTACTTCGGTCACTTCACTCGCAGGGCCATTCGTCGGAAGTACGCACAATATGCTTCAGCTCAGACGCCCTTGCTGTATGCTCTGCTGATGGAGACTCATTAAAACTTTGGAATCGTGAATCAATGCGATCCGTACAAACCATTTCAGACACCGGCTACGCACTGTGTTGCTGTTTTGCTCCCGGCGATCGTCACGTGCTCATCGGCAGAATGGATGGGGTTTTGGTTATAGCCGACATTGTAAGCGGAGAAGTTTTAGAAGAAATTCCGGCACATCAGAGAGAATTGTGGTCAATGGCATTATTAGCAAATGGATCGGGTATCGTAACCGCTGGAGGTGATGCAACCGTTAAATTTTGGTCATTTGAACTTATTGATTATGTTCAGCCGAAAAGTGACGAGGATTTGAATTTAACAAGCCGAAAAGTATTATCGCTTCTACACAAAAATACTTTGAAGCTGGAAGAAACGGTGCAGTGTGTTGGCGTGTCTAAGAATGGAAAATTTTTTGCAGTTGGTTTGCTGGACTCAACCGTGAAACTGTTCTTTATGGACACACTGAAGTTTTATTTAGCATTATACGGACATAAACTATCTGTACTGTCGTTGGACATTTCAGACGATTCTTCGTTGATTGTGACTGGTTCAGCAGACCGCAACATTAAAATATGGGGTATGGATTTTGGTGACTGTCACAAATCTTTATTTGCACACGATGACTCTGTGATGTGTGTTAAATTCGTACCAAAAACTCATATGTTTTGGTCTTGTGGCAAAGATGGAAAAATCAAGCAATGGGACGCTGATTCCTTCGTACAAATTCAAAGTGTTCCATCACATTTGGGGCAAGCGTATTGTTTGGATGTTAGCAATACTGGTCATTATATTGTGTCAAGTGGCTCCGACAGAACTATTCGATTGTTTGAACGCAGCGATGAGCCAATCGTCTTGGAAGACATGCAAGAAACGGAACGTGAAGAAATTGAACAACAGAAGTTAGCTACGGGCACTGATGATCCAATAATGCCAGGCATGATCACTCCATTGAACCTACCATCGCGCAAGACTGTCGCAGCCGAACAAGCTGTTGAACTAATAATGGATGCATTAGAAATATTGGTTAATTTTAAACAAGCTGACAAAGGAGAACCAATCCCATTACTTATGCGAGCACACAACGCTCAAACACCAGTAGATTTGATCATTGCGGTTCTTTCTCGAATCAAATCAAGCGATCTAGAGGAATCACTTTTATTGTTGCCTTTTACTTCCGTCTGTGAGCTACTCAAATCGCTACCGGAAATCATTCGGAACCGTACAGATCAAACAGAGTTATTGTGCAAAGTAATTACATTTCTGTTTCGCATACACCGGAAACCAATCATTGGGAATCAAACACTCCTTCCATTTATACAACAAATGGTTATTGATTTGGAGGAGAATATTGATTTAGAACGTGATATTATGGGAAAGAACTTATTTGCACTAAAAATGATACAGCACGATATTGAGCAAGATGATTTGGAAAATGGAGCAGAACTCTTCTATGATGCATTGAAAGCTAAAAAGAAACGAGACCAAAAAATGAAATCCCGTCAAATGAAAAAGAAAATTAGCATTCAAATGGTATCTTAAATTTTTTTCTGTAACATTAAAAGAATAAAAACATTTGAAACCAATATTTGAAATGAGTAGTAAAATTTATTTATTGGAATACTATTGGATGTTTGTTTTAAATCAATTTTTTTGAATTTTTCCTACACTACGTAATTCACTCCAATCATTTGTGAATTTAAAAAAAAACATATTTCCGTGAAATGAAGAATAAATAATTTTATTAAGCCTTTTTTTACATGTTTTGGTGTGATCTGTAAATTTAGAAGAGAGTAGCCAGAAATTTGATTCATTTTTTCTATTAATTTTCAGTGTCAAAAAAAATAAATGGCTTCATTTCTTTTATTAAATGTTTGTAATGAATTTTGTTGGTCAACGCAAAAATTGAATTACTATCAAGAGAAAAATTTCAATGAAACTTATGAAGTAATTCTTCGGCATCTAAATAGAATATTGTCAGTGTTTTGGTAACCGAAAATAGCTCGAATAAGTTTTATGCTTGTCATTTGTTGTTATAATTTACAATCGTGAGCAGATTTCCTTCGTGTATTCAGAGCATTTAGCCTTGCCACCCAAATCACCGGTTAGATATTTGCCTTCTTTGATGACAGCAAAACAGGCCTCTTGAATTTTATCAGCGTGAGAATTGAACTTCATGTGTCGTAACATCATCACGGCTGACAGCAAAAGGGCAGTTGGATTAGCCAAATCTTTACCAGCAATATCTGGAGCTGTTCCGTGAACCTATTATTAATACAAAAATGTGATCAGGACTTGAATATTTATTGCATCAAACGACCAATTTATAAAATATATACAAAAAAAAACTCACCGATTCGAACAATGCGCCATTTAGACCCATGTTTCCGGAAGGTGTTAGTCCAAGACCACCCACTAAACCAGCACACATGTCCGAAAGAATATCACCATACAAGTTTGGCATAACCTGCGTCACACAATTTCATAAATTATAGCAATAATTTAGTATGTATAGTATAATGTAAAAACAGTTTCACAACTTCTACTCACCAAAACATCGTATTGGCTTGGATCTTGTACCATGTTTAAGCAAACTGTGTCCAAATATTTCTCTTCAAATTTAACTTCAGGATATTTAGCAGCGACACGACGACAACAACGTAAAAAAAGACCATCTGACATACGCATAATATTTGCTTTATGTACGGCCGTTACTTTTGAACGATTATTATCCTTGGCATACTGGAAAGCATAATCGGCCACCCGCATTGATGCATCTTCTGTGATCAGTTTGATACTTTGGACAACTCCATCGACGATTTCGTGTTCAATACCAGAATATTCACCCTCAGTATTTTCTCGAATAGTTACAACATCGACGTCATCATAAAGCGTTTTATAGCCTTCTAGCGATCGGCATGGCCGAACGTTAGCATACAAGTTGAATTCTTTTCGCAATTGCAAATTCAATGATCTGTGACCTTTTCCAATGGGAGTCATAAGTGGCCCTTTCAACCCAACCTTGTTTCGATTCACAGAATCAACAGCGGCTTGGGGAATGCCAAATTTACCATCTGGATGCTATACAAGAAATCTCAATTAGAATAACTTTTGGAAATACGCTAGCAAACAGCTGATGTTCTTTCGAATGGGGTGCAAGTTCTACTGTGGCTGAGTAAAACCCTCAGTGGATTTTGCAAAATTGGCAGTTATTGGTCAGTAGCTCGGCCGACCTTGGTTACCACCATTATAAAATTGGTATATTGGACCGTTGGCTACAATTCCGCTAAAGACAGTGAGTTGCATGTTTAGTAGTTAATGACTAAAAACTGATGATATTAGAAAATTTCAGTGGGGGCACCAATCAGCTTTAGTAGTACTTCCATCCCATAATACCAAAATCAAGTTACACTCAACTTTAAAAAAAATTTAATTTATCAAAATCTTGCATTGTGTTATTAAAAAATAAACTGGATTCAACTGCACCTGTAAGCAACAACATATAAAAACTAAACTTACACGGACTGGTGTAACATCTACGGATTCCCATTCTATTTAAAAATGAAATAAATTAATGCTTAGTATTTTTTTCTAAGAACATTCAATAACTGGTTTACCGATGGGAACATTCGCAGCCTGAAAAATTTGTTGCACAGCGGCTGAAATTTCAGGACCGATGCCATCGCCGGGGATCAGGGTAACTTTTTTCACTTCTGAAGAAAAGTTACGTGACGAAGTTGATGCAACAATTGATGCACTTTTTGGTGCGACATTTGTCTATTTTGAAAATTAGGGAAAGTCAAATGTTCAATCAATTAAAATTTATATTTCTGTTCTATTTTCTTTTCTTTTCTTCTTTTTAATTTAAAATTAATGCATAGGAATTCTATCATTGTAATGAGGTTATGTGAAGTTTTATCTTCCTTAATAAACCCTTTAATGAATTTGATAGCCTTGAACACGTTATAACTATTGTTTTGATTTAAAAGTCACATGAAACAATTAATTTATATAATAATAATATTGTTAAAATACAATATTAAATACAATATTTAGAATATATTGGAGATTAACAAAAATCACTACGTAATAGTTACGTAATTGTACTGAATCAAATATCCTACGAGATCATATGAGTAAAACGATACATATAATTTTTCTACGAAAACTCATGTAGTATTAGAGCACAATACGTTCACATTGGTTCTAAATAGAAATCTCGATATTGATGATTCAATCCGAAAACCACGAATGTTTTTAATTTTACAAAATTAAAGGATTCTTACAGGTTTACTAAATAAATTTCTTACAATTTTGCGAATCAATCGAAAAGCCATCGTGATGGTAAATTGTACCGTGCTAGTTCTGGTGCGATTCTAGTTGATTTATCTATATTCCACACTGAACCGATTGCTTACAAGCTCACAGTATATATATGTCACTGAGTTATCCAATGTCAGTCAGTAATCTATAAAATAATTGGGCGTTATGAAATGATATATTTCCACAGTTATTTAAATCGCTAATATAAATCTATTAGGAAGTTAATATTTTATTGCACAATCAATTTTTCTTCGATTTCTTTTTTCAATTTGGTATTCCAATATATTTTCCGGTATTTTGGAATATTGGGAAAATCATCGAGTGCCACTCTGGCAACACGACATAGTTTGACAAGGGAGTTGACAATTTTCGATGCCATTTTAACCGTAAGTGTCACATTAGCCGAAAATGGCCACGGTTGGCGTGTATTCCAATCGTTTGTAGAAGAAAAGTGACTTTCAAGCTGAAAAACATTTTCTTTCCTAAGCGTAAAGATTCATTTGATTCCATCTGCATTCGTTTCGAAATATACTCCAAATAAATTATTTGTTGGTATAGTGCTTTTCCAAGTGGTAGTTTTACTACTGCCGATAGTAATCTGAAAAGCATTCAATAGTACCATGTCTACGAAGGTGGTGCAAGTTACAAATATAGCACCGCAGGCGACTAAAGATCAAATGCAAAATCTTTTTGGATGCATTGGAAAAATCGATGAAATCAGATTGTATCCAACTGTTCGTGATGTTACATGTCCGGTAGTTTCTCGTGTGTGTTACGTGAAATTTTTCGAAAGTAGTTGCGTGGCCGTCGCACAACACCTAACCAATACTGTTTTTATCGATCGAGCTTTGATTGTTTGTCCCGTTGCAAATGGTATGATTCCGGATGAATTCAAAGCACTTGAAATAATCAACAATGGATCTACGGTTCCCGGTTTACCTGCAAATGATTCACAGTTGCCACCAGATGTAGTGAATCGTGTTGAAGGAACTCATCCATTTCAGGTAAGAGTCGAGTAGTTTAAATTAAATTTGTATAAACCAATATTCTAATTATCTACATACTTGAACCAGGTGATTAAAACTTCGGACCCAAAACTGGTTGAATTTAATTTGCCAGAGTATCCACCCCTGCCAATCAATTTTGATGCACGAAAAATTGAGGAAATTCGTCGCACCATCATTTTGATTGACATTCCAGCTGATTGGGAGCTCCAAGAAATTATCAAATTTTTTGGTGAACAAGCTGGAGAAGTAAAGTATGCACGTTTTGCGGAGAAAAGCCGACAAAAACATGTCATGATCGAGTTTTGTGATCAAAAAAGTGTTGTAAAAGCACTTAAAATGCAAGGCTCAGAATTTTTGGGTAAACGCTTGAACATCTACCACTCAATGCAAGCAATCATCAAACCAGAAGCCAAAAGTAATGAGGCAGCACAACGCGAAATCGAAGAAGCGATGTCCATTGTCAAGGAGACACATATGATATCAGCGGCTTTAGAACCTGTCATTGGTATATTATCGTCGAAAGAAAAGTCAGTCACTCACCGCAGAAGTCGTACTCGATCCAGATCATCTCGTTCTCGTAGCCGCTCTCGTCGCTCAAAATCCCGCAAAAGAAGCAAACGAAGCAGATCATCAAAAAGACGTTCCGCTTCTCGTTCACGGTAAGTCCTTAAGGACAAACAATTGTTAAAACTATTTATCAATTCAACATTTTTCTTCATAAAAGACGAGAAGATGTGGATTAAAATCCGTTATTCGATTATTTTAACATATAATATTTATTTTAGTTCAAAACGTAGCCGATCACGCAGTCGATCCAGAAGAAAGCGTTCAAGATCTCGGTGAGTAAAAATGAAATCAAAGGAATTTGTCGTTTTATTTCAGAGTCTTCTTTTCTGTCTATTGTAGTTCGAAGCGGCCAAGGTCTCGTGATCGTGAAAGACGCAGACGTTCAAGATCAACAAGACGCCGTAGCCGTTCAGTTTCGGTAAGATTTTATTCAAGTTTTTCCAAGATTTTTTTTGAAACCAGTCCATGAAGTTAATGTTCAATTTTTATTGTTCAATTCTTATCTTGTTTTATATCAGAATAAGAATTAAATAATAAAAATTGAATATTGTTATAACTGATAACAGTAGTTTTTCCTATAAAGTTGTTATCAATCTTTGTATGAAAAAAGGGTTTGTGGGAGTGTAACAATTGTATGTCTTTTTCGATTGAGATTTTTGGACATCCTTTATTTGTAAGGAAATTAAATTGACGATTGATTGTTATATCAACTTATTTAATTCATATATACTCCATTTCTGGATCTATCGACAATTTTTTTACAGAGAGAAAGACGTAGGTCCAGATCACGTTCTCATGAACGCCGCGAAAGACGCGAAAGAGATACAAGAAGACGACACAGCCGCTCGCCACAAAGCAGTAAGCCACGTAAGTCCACACGCAAAGAAGAAAAGCGCCGTAAGTCAAGAACTCGCTCAAAGAGTCGTGATAGACGTCATGCCACCTCATCTCGTCGTGAGCGTCGTGATGAACGGGATGAGAAACCAAAGGAACGTCGCCGAGAAAAAGAACAAAGCCGTAGTAGGTCTAAGGAATCTTCGCGAAAACCCAAACGTATTTCTGAAGAAAAGCCGAGTCAACGTGATTATGATGCTGAAGAGCGAATTGGAACAGAAGACTCATCAAAAAGAGAATCATCAGATGATGCATCAGAAAAAGACATGGACATTGCAAACTCTCCATGAATCATATTATCAAGAGCAAATAATAAGTTTCTACTTAAACTAAATATATCTTATTCTTCGTGAAACTATTTAATTGCCTGTTCTTCATTAGCTCTTTTTGAATTTAAAAGTAACGAATAATTTTTTTTCAATATTCGCTTGGGAGTTGATAATAATAATTCATCTGATATCTTTTCAAACAATTCAATAAAAATTTATGTTGTAGTATGTCGTTTTTGGTTTGTGCTCAAGGGGAAAACATTCGTAGGTATATTTTAGTATTTTACAAAATTAATTTAAAATCGAATGTGAATTCACAAAATGCGGCGTAATAAAAAGTAAACGAAAATCATTCATTTCATACATCTTCGTATAAATATGTACCAACACACGCAAACAAGTGATATTGTTTTCATTCTGTTTCACTCACACATCATCATACCATATGTTTGCCTTCATACCAGTTTGTTTTGGTTCTGCTATTTTCTTTGTTCAAGTGCTATGTATATTGTATACGTATATATAAATTAAGTGCTATGTATATTGTATACGTATATATAAATTACTTAGGGGACATAGGCACACACAACTGCGACTCATTTTATTGAGTCGCTGCTGCATATATGAAGTACGTTCGAGAAATAGAGAAAAAGAAACGTTAGATGATTTCTTATTTCAGTCAGCTTTTGCTCAGTTCACTCACACATGAGTACTGGTTCCACCACACTTAATTTGGATATGAAAAAATGTGCCTTTTATATAACAAGCAGCAACGTCGCATATACTGCATATACAGCGCAATGATACGCACACACATGCACGAGTTAAAATTTGTTCTGTGGGATAGAGATGAAATATAAACGAATGTCTGAAATTCTGTCTTCGTCTAACGCAAATTGCCTTGCACGTTAGTGAGATTACAAATACATAGATTGCTATATTTGTTGCAATCGCGATAGTGACTTATTTTTATGCTGCGTAGTTTTCATTTCCTTCATTCCCATCGAAAAGTTGAGTCGTGTGATTAGTTTTCCTCTACAATATTCATTTGGAACAACATAACAAAACAAAAGCAGATCTTTTGTTGCCATTGTTATTTATTCAAATAAAATTTCATTCAATATTTTGATTGAGAGTGTGTGTTTTAATTTGCAAAAATTGAAAATCAGAAATATAAATAGTTCGATCGGATCGACTGTATAAACATTTTTTGTACTTTCTGGGGATAATAAAAACATTTTTAAGAGACGTAAACCAAGAAAATAGCAATGCAAAAATAAGTTTCAAGCTGTTATAAATATTCAGTTTTGATTTCATTGTCGATTGCTTGTGTATGTGATAAGTGAAAGGAAATTTTTTGCCTGAATTTTAGAAGAGCAAAGGGCAACCATCATAAAGATTATATAAGACTATTCGGCCAACTTAGTCGTAGCTTACATCAGCAAATTGAATTGAAACACATTCTTAATCGTCGACGAGCGAGCTTCAAAACTTAATTCAGAAAATAGAATATCACTTTTTTTTGTTTCGCATACGGAGTACTTTGTCGTTGAATCGATTTATTTCCCTAAAAAGTGCTGACCAAATTCAAATTAATCTACGAAAATCGCTCTTGCAAACCACGAAACTACCGTATTTTGTCTATTTACATCGTTACCGAATAAAAATCTTTCAACATATCATACTATTATCATTTTGCCAATATGGCGGACAGTATAGTTGAACCGAGTAGCTCCGCATCGGTATCATCTATATCGCCGTTAATGCAAAACCAACAACAGGCCGTCAATCTGAATGTGCTTAATTCAAATATCATTCCGATAATATCGGCTGATATTCAAGTGGACACGGCCTCTTCGCAATCAAATCCGAGACCACCACCCATTAATCAATCGGCCAACAATAACAATGCGAACCTGAGCACTGATACAAGCTCGGCTGGAAATGATGAGCCAGAAGCCAAACGTAAAAAAACTGAATCAACGCCAATACCAAGTACATCACAGACAAGTGAAAAGCTTGAATCCCGTCTCGGTGGAATTTTGTGTTGTGCCGTTTGTTTGGATTTGCCTAAAACAGCAATGTATCAGGTACGTGTAGAGCGCAATGTTCGAACGCCTTTTCAAGTATATGAACAACGAATTGCCAATTCCATAAGAGTTGGCCATTTTGCTTTATTTGACTAAATTTGATTTGGATTTCTAGTAGATATTTTGAATATGTATTTGAAATTCTATTGAAACGAATATCAAAATGAGAGTATTTTTTGGCAAATAAAAAAAGAAAAAGAAATTACACCACGACTGTCATACAACTGACGTTGAAAACATTTTAAACTACGGATATTACGGCTTTACAAGTTTATGAAAACATCACAAATATTAGGAACTGAGAAAAAAATTTGAATTTCATCGTAGGTGTCCAGAATATTATATTTGAAAAACATGTTTGACCATGAAATGCAAATGTTTAATTAAATACATATTCGGAAAAAAATTATTTTTTTCGGCTCTTTGGTCGACTTCGTTAGAAAATTTTGAATACAATTCCATTAAAAATTATTTTGAATACAATTCCATTATAAATGGTTTTCAAAACGACAATGGAACACACATGTATGTTCATTTTCAAAAACGAAATAAACCAATGTACGAGCCCAATTGTTTCAAAACATGAAGAATTGTGTTGTATGCGTTGCAAATTCTCGTCTGATTTTAAGAATTTATTTACATTGACATCATTCTCTCAGCTCTTCAATGCCATGGGTCAGTTTTTACAACTTTCAAACGATAATGTGAGCTAGGAGTTTGAGCTATTATTGTTTCGCCATATGTATGTAGTTAAGTTTCTATATCATCATGATGATTCGTTCGCCCATTCGCTCTTTGTTCGCTTTGTTGCACATCATTTTCAATGGTATTTTTTTGTCGTCGCTGAAACAGCTATGGTAGTAGCAGCGCAGTCGTCACACATCCACAAGCATCATGTCAATGTGTGCGTGCACGTTTTAATCAAAACAGTGCTCTTCTCTGTATACTGTATACAGTATTGCGTTTTTCAATTTTGTTTTGGTCGATAATTTTTTTTTCACTCTGTATCCGTGCTCAGTAAACACTTTTTCATAAATAGATGGGGGGAATAGGAAACGTGCGCACTACAAAATGTTTGAAGTATAATGTACACTGCTATTTGACTGTACAGTTAAATATACCCAAAATATATAAAGCATGGATGGAATTTAAACGACCATAAGGCAAAATGCATTACTTCTACCTAGTTCATTCAAATCGCAGGTCATAAGAAGAAAAATGCTGGAAAAACAAATGTTCGATTCAGATCGAAGAAGAAAATACTTGGATTGTTATATAACATAAGTAGCCACTGATTTCTAACATTACAAATATTCAATTAAATTGAAAGATACTAGATAGAAATTGATATCTCCCGGAATTAAAAGAACAAATCAAAATGTGTTTCGATGAAAAAGTTTTAGCTTGAAAATTATTATTACCAATATGTCCAAATCAGCAACTACATAATCATCTTTTCCAAACCATAATATGAAGTTAATTTCATGTTTCCAGCAATATCTCCAAAAATTTGGAAGCAATTTCATTATTATTACTTTCCGTCTGCACAATATTTCGTTTCTTTGCTGGAGGTGCTTCATTGAAAAAAATTATATCCAATATTTACAGTTTAATAAGTAATTTGTAATACATTTATCCATTGCTTTTAATTCAATCAGCTATTCTTTCAATGACAAATAGAAATGTGCGTTCATTATTTCGAGAAATGAGGTCATCACGATCACGTCACACCACGCTAAATATTTTGAATTTTTCCTCTCATTTTCAACTTACGCACACAAAAATGATTTAACGAAATCGGAAAAAAATGGAATCGAATTACCTTTTGGAAAGTAATTTGTTAAGAAAAGAGCAATGCAAGCAGGCCTACCAGAATACTTACTGAATTTGAAATAAATTTGAATAAATATCTTTCCTTCTACAATTATTAGACGAAAAAGCTATGTATTTTGCATGCAAGGTTATGTACAATTTAAATGCGGAAAAATTCACTGTAGGGTCATTTCACATTTGATCCGTAAAGTGAAGGGCAAATTACAAGGTAACACCTCAATCTAACAGCTCCAAGCGAGCACATTTCATTTATTTGATCGGAACAATGAAAACTCATGATATTTTAAAACTAGCTATGCTACTTGTTTGCTCGAACATAAAATAACAATAACATGATCAGCGTGGGATCGTTGCGAACTGAACAACAATCAGCCGAATTCGAAATATGTTGAAAATTGTGTGCAATATTTTGCAGCTATAACTTCCATATGAAAAGTTCAATAATTTTATGTTGTTTTATTTGATCGATTAATGATTCATTATTAATGAACAATAAAGTAAGGGACGCCCGCACTTTCACGACTTGACTTTTTTCAAGGCGTGCTCAAATTTGAGCAGACACATAATAAACGGAGAAGAAAATTACCTGTAAAAAATACAAACAGAAAATATAATTCTTTATTTCGAAATCATTCCATGTTTAAGTACATTTCATACCTATGAAAAATTCAGATATTTCCAAAATTCAACTAATCAACTATTGTTCGAATTGGAAAACAATCATCCAATACATAATGAAGTAATATTTAAAATTCAAAATATTTGTAATTTGGATTCATTTCATCTCCAAAAAAATTTCGATGATTATTCATACATGTAGAAAAAATATTATTTCAAAAAATGATACTCTCAGCTGTTTTTGACACAGCAAACCGTTCCAATAAACACATACACAGCGAGCAATAAATGAGTGTTTCACAGCAAAACAAAATAGAGGGAAATGAAGCAATAGCAACGCTGTAGCTGTAGCGTTTGTGATACGTTTATATATGTATATCTTTGACATGAAATGCGTGAAATAAACCAGCTGAGTTTAGTGACCTGCGCAATGAGTGAGCTACGATTGTAATTTCTTTTGTGGTCTCTCTTAGCGTTGGCATTCTTCGGTGCATTTGTACTGACCTGTTGGAAATTCTAAAGACTTACCTATAAATTCTTGAGAATGGAGATGGACAAAATATTGTCTTTTTATCATGTAATAAGGTTCGGCCATCATTTTACTTGTTTTCGTTTCATTCTAATATTATGCCGAAGAAAAAAACAATTTAAATAGTGATAAATTTGAAAATTTTCGATATTAGTTTTCAAAAATTCTCGTATAGCACTGCATTTTACAATAAATCCCATTTAATCTGTTTCTCATATATAAGTTCTCTGAACTTTCGCCATTTGAGTCAATGGGTGACCATATGTTGGGGAAAAAATGTTGAGGAACAAGCTGCTGATTTTTCTGCATTCCTTTTTGCTCTCCTTCTGTCTCTATTCGCAATTTTACAATATTGATAAATTTAGTGTGCTGAAAGTATCAATAATTTTCCTTTCCAAACTGATTACATTGTGCAGAGTCATTTGAATAGAAGTTAGTTTTCACATACAACGCTTACTGTTTATGGCACATATATCCGTTTAAACAGAAGAGTGAGTGTATAACGAAAAACCTGTTGTGCAAATTAGCACACACTGGTCTGCGCGTACCTTTCGTAAAAACCATTTTATACAATACAACTTTGCTATACGATATGGAGTGAATACACGAGAAACCAGATTTGAAAAATAAACATTGATTTTCAAGTAAAACTATTGCGGCCAACGTGCATGAACCACAACAAACTGAATCAGGTTTTTTTTCAATTCTCCAGATGTTTTCGTTTCATACGGTCAATGTGCATAAATATCTTATCAATATTTTAGACTGTGGATGGTTTATGTACTTTTCCTCTTGAAACACTATCGCTACTATATAAAAAATATTATTTAGAAGCATCGATAAAGCCATAACTAATGACAACGAAATGATAACAAAAGCTGGAAGAATTTAAATCAATTTGGCCAATCTTTTCATTTGAATTCAGTTATTTGAAACGCATGCTGTGATTCCCACTTCCATTATTTTATGTGAACAGCCAAACAACACATTTAACTATGGGGCTAAATTTCAACTTATCAAGCTTTCTGAAAATAATCGGTTTTTAATATTGATCTCATGTTTCGATAATACGAAGTTGTATTTTTTGTAACGTTTCAAACTACCTCTACGAATGGAAATAAATATATTTTGATTGATGAAATAAAAATGTTGTACATATCATAAGCTCTCATGGTGTTCTGATTAATTCCGTCCATTATTTTATGACATTATAGCATAAGAAATCTAAATAAAAACAATAGGAATTTACAAAGCAAATGTAAAAAATTATTTTTTTTTAACTAAAGTATGAATTAAATATATGAATTAGACCATCGTTTTACATGCACTATCTTTTGTTTTTTAGATATAAGATTTTCTAATAAGGAATCATTATTGTTATATGCTTTAAGTAAAATAAGAAAATAAACCAAAACTATAGGAGTTAAATGCAAAAAAAAAAACATTACATAAACTTGACTTGATAAAAAGAATTATGCAAGAACTAGATAAAATGTAAAAAGAAATGTTGTACAAAATCGTGAATAGCTCAATAAATGTTAAAAAATGAATAGCAATGTTTTTTCAACAAACTAGAATAATCTTTCCTACAATTCATTCAATATTCATTCATTATTACCTTGTTTTTTCCAATTTGCGTTGTTTTGTTCCAGGATTAATAATAATTTGAAAATATAGTCATTCTCATTTAAATGTCATGACACATTATTTTTGATCATATCTTTTGTTGATACATTAATACATTTTTCTTTCAAAGCAATTTTCCCTTTGTATACTTTCAGGTGGTGCAGCATAAAATAACATATTTTGCCAAAAAAATGAAATAATCTCATTTTCTATAGATTAGCCTTTTTTTTACAGCTATTAATACATTTGTGTGATTGTTGAATAACCTCATTATTAACCAAAATTCTTTTTTTCTCTCACTCTAATTACAGTGTCAAATGGGTCACCTGATGTGTGCTGCATGTTTCACACATTTGTTGGCTGATGGCAGGTTAGTGGCTTGATAATTACACTGTTATTTCAGAAATGATTTGAAAATGTTTTTTCTCTCGAAAAGATTACGTGATCAGGTTGCCACTTGTCCGAATTGTCGGGTTGAGATTTCCAAGTCGACAGCGTCGCGCAATTTAGCTGTTGAGAAAGCAGTTAGTGAGCTACCCAGCGAGTGTCAGGTGACTATGATCTATATGTAGTATTTTAAAATTCAAATTCCGGCACGTATGCACGATTTAAACCAATGTCACACATTACTTCGTTTAGTTCTGTGGGAAAGAATATCCAAGCAAATCACTGGAGCATCACGAAAAAACCGAATGTGAGGAGCGTCCGACAAATTGCAAGTACCAGCGTATTGGTTGCCAATGGAAAGGGCCTATTCATGAATGTGAGTATTTAACTTGAATTACTCTTTTTCATATGGAATATTTATAAATTTCTTCTAAACTACCAACTCTAGCAACGGAACATGAAGCAAATTGCCTGCACCCCAAAAAAACAGGAGCCGAGGTGATGTTAGCACTGCAAGAAAATGACGTCCAAATGAACGAGGAACGTAAGCTGTTCTTCACCTTGATCGAACTTCTAAGCTACGAGAAAATAATCTTCAATGACTTAGTAAATACATTAAATGATGGGTTGTTGTTGGTATTGTAGTTTTTGTTTTTTTTGTAGTGCTGGAAGCCATACAGGACCGATGAGTACGTGCACAAACTGTTCTATGAAACTTCGCGATTCACAGCATTCAATCATCAATGGGTGGTGAAAGCGCGGATTAATAATTCGCAACGTGACCCACATACAGTCAACGACCGAAAACTCACTTATCAGGTATGCGAAATTATACTAATGGCGTTTGTAAACAAAACTATTGCACCAGAATTAATGATATCTCTTGTTTCCAGTTGATATTGAAGACAAAAACATCAACTCCACTATCAATTCACTTCTTTGCTTTGAAAGGGCCATTTTATGATATGAAAGTAAACACACAAATCTACAAACACGATTTCACAGATCAAGAAAATGAAAGTCCATATTTCTTGTTGCCGTTGCTCGACAGTTCAGAATGCAATCGCCTGCTGGCCAGCAAAGCAATTAATTTCCGTTTAATTATGTTTTTGCTTTCAAAGTAAATCGCCGTGAAGAATTCTGAGAAGAAATACTTCTTAGTTCAAAAACATAACTATGTTTATTTAAATAACTTTGATATATGACGATTGTTCTACATTTAATGATATTGTTTGAGAAATTATTTGAAGTAAACGTAGGAAAACAGATATAATAACGATAATGAAAAGCCTGCATAACAAGTCTGGGTTTAAAAAGAATAATTGAAAAGATTATAAGAAGATTCAGTTCAAAGACAACATTCTTTAATCACAATTACCGTTCATATTGATATAGTTTGAATTCGCACATTAAAAAATCATTTAATTATTCGATGACAGTTACGTAGATTCATAACATCAAAGCTGTGTTCACAATAGCTTGATAACCAAATTTTTGTTTCATTATTTCCATATATTTCGTTTATGTGTTGCAATACGTTAATGTGCATAAAATCAAAACATTTTCGATTATTTTATTCATCTAACGAATAAGCAAAAGCAGTGCTCCATTGGAATATTTTTCAAATGAATAATATATTCAAGACAAGTTCTATTCGTTTTAGATTTTAAGGCGTATAAATGTGTGGAAAATTTATCAAGCATCATACAACCAAAATTCATAGTAGAAAAATCATTTTTCGCTGTTGTAAATATTTGCGCGATACATTTTTCTCATTCGTTTGCAATCATTGATTTTTTTATATTCATTACGATATAAGTCAATAAGTAATATAAAATATAACACTTTATTCTTTTCAATAGATTATATAGTTACAATAGCGTAAAATTCAATTGAAACCCCTTACCTTTCAACCTTTTCTTTGAAAAGATACAGCTTCTTTTGGTTTTTGGTTAAATTTGAATTGTGTTGGAGAGAAAGTGCAAATATCTGATTAACCCCTGATATCAGCCGTGAAAAGTGGTTTTCACTAAAATTTCTCATTAATAAAGTTGTATAATTCAATCATAAAAGGTCAAATCTTTGAAGATAGAGTTTAAATTGATCTAATTGCATATTTTCTTCTTGTTATTTTTAACGTTTCAAAACTTCAAGAACTCAAACAGCATCACAGAAAAATATTACGCAAATGAACTCTTATCATGCATTGACAAATAATTACAATTTTAATTCTCGGAATTAACTATTTATTTTCCTTGTGAAAAACTTCATTTCTCCACAATACTTCATTGTTATGCCATATTAGGTTTGTTTTCGCTTTAATTTTAATATAAGGAATGCGAATGAATTAAAAAAAAAACCATAGAGCTTAAAGAATATTTTATAAAGATAATACTATTAGACTATTGAATAAAATTTAATTTTGCATTAATGCAAAAATTATTCTGTTTCTTTCAATGTCATTTTCGGCCAAATTTAAAACGTTCGAGCCCATTTTTGCCAAAAATATTTATTAAATAAGTAACATGGATTGTTGGTGAATTTTATTGGATGAATTCATCGTCCAGAATTTAACGGTAAGTGTTTTCGCGTTTTCACCATGTTGTTGAAAAAATCAAACAACATATTCACCACATAGCAAACTTGTCACTGAGAATTTTCAGCCTAAGTTGACAGTTGTGGAAAGAGCGAATTCATATCAATTTCCAATTCGCTGTTTAACAAATACCCCTAATTTATTTTTTTCATACCTTCTATGTCTCACTACAATCTAATATGTTCTGTGTTTGATACTCAAACGGTGTTGATTGTGTAAGTAAATGCGTCGTAGTGTAGAGGCGATGAGCTGTCATTACATACTGTGGTTCTGTTCAGTCTACTTTGACCATGTTGGAGAGACACGTCTCATAAATTTCATACAATTTTAGTGAATTGTTCCACGTTTTGATTTTTTTACTAGTGAAATTCAATAAGAAAGCATATTTTACAAAATAAAATAAACTTGAAAAAATATCGAAGAATAAAAGTGAGTTGTTAAACAAAATACGCAAATAATTTCTTTTTAAAAATTTGAAGACGGCATAAGTGTCGAAAAACGCAGTTTCTCTTGAGCTTGGATTATCGACATTCAAAAAATTTCCCAAAAAAATGTTTATTTGGTGTTCATATGAAGACATATCGAAGAGATCATTTCACAAGCTCGATACATTGAGCTCTTAAAATAAATTTAGATGAATTGTAAGATAGATTGCTAGCTAACAAAAATAAATATTCAACCGATTACGGATAGGCTCTAATGATATTTTAAATAACATCAGCATCGTCGCATTTACAACTTTCTCTGTCTCTGTCTCTGTCTATGTCTATGTAACTTTGGTTGCAGTTTACGCACTTTCTTTTGATGTACCTTTCGAAAGAAAGTATTTACGTTTAGTGGATGTGGTAGTAACAAGTTATGAAAAAGAAATTGTGTGCCAGAATTTACATTAGTGAGTTCAGAAGAACTTTACAAAACTTTTGATAATGTGAAGCAAACACTATATCTATATCTATATTAATAACATATATTTATTCAAATCAACTGAACTCATAAAGTAATGGTCGTTAAGATTTTTCCTTCAAATGATAACTTCATGGGATTTGTCTTTGAATTTTTAAGCATTCTCAGAAAGTGCTATTTCGCTGCTTAGCAGGCCTGAGCGAAGCTGAATTTACTGACTCAGGTGCCTGAAAAATAACGCTTCAGGCGCCCGAGTCAGCAAATTCAGCTCAGCTTATGCTTAGAAGCAAAATAACACTCTCGACCATTCTTAAAATCTTACATACAGTTGAAACTGAAAAAATCTAAATGCTTGTCAAAAGAATACATATATATATGAATGGTTTGGAGCGAAAATGTAATACAGTTCACTATAGTTTACTATATAGCTATCCCTTTTCCGCTCATTCATCATCGACATTTTTCCGCTCAACTTTTCTGTATTACATTTTCGCTCCAAACCATTCATATTAGATTCATTTGGAATTTTTACAACGTGTATAATTTTACAATAGTTTCCCTACTCATTGCCGTAATTTGTTAATGACTTTGAGTCTTATGCTAAGACTCAATGACCGCACAATTCTTTTTCATAGCTAAAGAGTTTCAAGTACAAATTTATGTATGCCGAACTGGTTACATGCCTGCAGGCTATACAAACCGGTATGTTTAGATTAGAAATGCGTTTCATTTACTTCAGACAGTTATTTACACGTTAATGTCCATTTATTTACATTACATTATTATTAAGCTGTCCATTTATTTACATTTCTGCTTGAGCCAGTTAATATTTAGTTATTTTTGAAATAAAATCTTTCCAAAGTCATTTGATGATAGGATTTTTATCAAAATTTCATCATTATCATTTTACACATCGTTCGATTTGAAAATAGTTTAATTAAGAATGTTCAAAATTCAATAACATGAGAAACAGATTACATACTGATTCAATTTTTAAACACAATTGGCACGTGCATTCGATTCTTTTTAAATGGCAATTACTTTCCATGAGTTAATATTGAAAATTAACCGATGAGAAACGAACGTTGCTAGAATCAGAAGGAAAGTGAATGTCAAATAAAATACGTCACTATCATGTGATTTTGTTCATCGTCAATAAATGCTAATTCAATCATCAACAGTTGATTTGTGATTCAAACTCTGAACTTTCATAGTTTGGAGTGACTTTTCCATTTCAGTTTTAACACAGTGTTCCTTAATTGTCATCTCATTGTTTTTATTAAAATAATATTTGTTCTGCTCATGAAACTAGTTTGCCATTAAAATACAAGGGCGTGTACATTTTTTTCTTTGGTTAGCGTCAAACTGCAATTAATAATGAAGATTGCTTAGAATTTATGAATCTTGAAAAGGAAAGTCGCCACTGTAGGAATCGAACTACGCATTTATATTGTAAGGGAGAATCCACCCATTTGCTTCCTTCTTTATGATGAAAGACAAGTGCTATAGCATCAATCAAATTATTTTAGGCACTGCGCAAAATGAAACAGTAATATTACATTAATAGGCAATATACAGCATTGATTGAACGAAATGATTCAGTGGAGAATTTTTTTTGTTATCAACCCAATAGAAAATTGATTTTGTTTTTATTATTTAGATGACGAATTGTGAACTTCGATTCTGAACATACGATTTGGATTTCGCTGACGTACGAACGTTAGAAATTCGAATTTCAGAGATATTTACAATATGTTGATAATAATGTCTGAATAATAATAATTATTGGAGAGTGAGAGTGTGTTTGTGATTTACTACGAATACCACAACTGTAAAAACGCAAGATAAGAACAAGTCATTGGATGGTGTATATATACATTTATTATATAACCTTTTCACGTTATGCTCTCTACAATATTTTGGAACAGAAAATCTTAAAAAATCAAAAAATTCTTTTAATTCAATCAAGTTTATTGTGTCCTTGTACTGAACCATTTTTAAAATTAAAATGTTTGTTTTTATTCCACAGAATACGCTGGAACTAAATCTACTTCCTTGGAGTCGAACAACAACAAATGATCTGTTTGACACTTCGAGATACTGAGTGTTTTTTATAAATCCGTAATCAGCAGCACAACGTAAGTGGCCAATGCCGGTTATGAAAGTCATACTGTGAAAACGAAAAAAATAGTGTGTATGTGTATGATCTGGAGAAAATTAATTTATGCTCAAGTTGTGTTCATTCATCAATTTTACGGAATTGAATTTCTAAATGGCAATTAAACGTTTTCGTCGTTAATTGTTTTTAATTAGTGCATCAAATCAACTCGTATTGCTGCTTCTATCTGCTATAGCTTTCTGAATCAATCCATAAGCAATAAATATATCAATCAATTGATAAATAATGGCTGACTACATAACACCGACAACTTCGTCTTTGCATTCGTCACCGAACCGAAAACGTACACGCGAATCGCTTACGACACGACCATCTACTTATTCATCGTCGTGCAAAACTGCAGTCACTGCTGCATCAAATGTTGAAGTGATGGAATCATCAGAAACAGAAACACCTATTTTTTCGCCAAGCATTACTCAACCACGTAGTTCAATTCATAGTATCCACAATGGCCTTTCATCGATAAAATCACAAGCCGATACTTCAAATGGATCCATCAATCCATCGAACGATACACCAGCACCACCTCCAATCGTCGTAAGTATATTTTTGATGAAAACTTGGAAATCACTTATTTTTTGAACCGTTGCGACAAAAAAATTCCCTCAGAATATTTAGTTTTAAAGTGCAACATGAATTTTTTTTCATATGGAGTTGTTGTTGTAAACTAAAAAATTCTGCAGGAATTTTTTTGTCACAACGGTTCATTTGCGAAAGCAAAACTTCCATTATTGTGAATTGATTAGTAACTTGTTTCAAGGTTGTCCATAGTAATTGAAGCTTTTTAATTTGCCGACTGAAAAAGAAAACTACTGTTGCTGTTTCCGTTGACCACGTCATTTGCCCGCAATGAGAATTTCAACCTCGTTTTACTGTGATATCCCCGCACACCGTTGAGTGTAGAAGTGTTTCAAGATAAACATAAACAATGTTTCAGAGCGATAGAGAATGTTTCTTTACGTTGTAATGATAAAGAGACGACACGACATAGTTTGCTTTTGTTTCAACAAAGTTTCAAAATGGGTCATGTGTCAATGCTTATGATCGTCTGATCAGTATCAACATAAAACTACATTCCTTGCCAGACTGTTTGTTATTCTTTCACGTCTGGTTGATAATTTAATTGTCTAAATAAGTGCGCTAAATTCCAAAGAAATATTCAAGAAACTATCAACTATCGGACACAAGTGACGATGCTATTTCAAAGTATTCAAACTGTTAATAACGTCACGATCTAACACTTTGAACATTGTATATAAAACTTATTACAAAATGACGTCTGATGCGGAAAGCATCTTGTTCTATTTTTATATTTCAATTTTCTGATTTCCCCTGTTATCGTAATCCACCATACACTGATATACATTAGGGTGTTCAGCTAATCTGAAAAAGAAGAATGAAAAGCATAAATTTAAAGAGAAGCCAATTTTATGTCAACTGGTAGCATTAATAGAGCGTTATACAACACTTCCAGAAGAAAAAAAAACTCTTTGCAAAATCGAATAATGCTTACCTAAACGACCCACTAGAGTACTCCTGCGCAGTTAACATCAACCAGATGGGGAGTCAACTTGCTTCAACGCAACTATCCCACATGATCGGGATAGCCTTTAATAACTAATGTTACATTTGTTTTTTTTTTGTTTGCAATGTGCTGATTAGACAGCATGATCAGCTGGCTGCTGGTCGTACTCGAACATTTCTACATCATTATCCACGATGGCGACAGCTGCAGCGGCTGCTTCAGCGGTTGCTCTAGCGGCAGCAGCAGCGGCAACAGCAGCGGCTGCTTCAGCAGCTTCGCGCCAATACCTATTGATCGCCTCTGGTATCGGAAGTCCCAGTAATGTCCATAGTCCTGAACAATTAAACAAATGAACCTTCTTAAAAAATCATTCAATCAAAATTGTGCGTCAATTAGCCTTACCTTTCAGTAGAATGTTCTTAGCAGCCACGACGTCACGATGCCAAATCACAGAGCATTCGAGGTTTAATCGCCAGTTTTTGTAGTAACATTTTACTTTTGGGAATAAACGCTCGTCTCCTACCAATGCTTCTTCGTTCATGGCGCGTTGCAACTGTCGGTAGATCGATAGATCCGTTTTGCCCAACTTTGACACAATTTTCGTTGGCAGCAATGTTCTGGCGTCGGGTACGCATCGGCATTTCTTGAATCTGGCCGCTTTGTTCTGGTTTTGGAATCGATTCATACATCTTGCGTCTGTTTGAGATGTTCCCCATTCGTCCACCAATTGTATGAAACAATCTCGGCGCTTCTTTATTGACCTCAAAGTCAAACGAACCCCTGGGCAGCGCACGTGCTTCTTGATACTTATTGGGCTATCAGGTGGTATTTCGCCATCAGCACCAAAAAAGAACAGAGTCGGTTTCTTATCGGTCACCTTATTCACCCATTCGTCGACAACACTACTGCTCTTGATGTGTTTGTCCAAGGCGAGTCGAGTGTATTTGGCAGTCGAGTAAGCGCAGATTCCATGCTTCATCATCTTGACTCGGTGTTTGATGTAGTTCAGCCACATTGACCCTTTTGGCGACGGCATCACTGGATACAGATCACGGTTTTCTCTGTCTGCGCGCTCCATTTCGACGAAATTTTTGGTCCATCGCGCTGCTTTGGCATTTCGCACCTTTTGACCTGTTTGCCAGTGGAATTGCTTGCTCGACATTACAAAGTTGGTCTGAAAAAATAAATAGAAAAAAAGGTATAGTTATTGAGTTTTGGCACTTAAGTATTTTCTATTAAAATACACACAACTTATTCAAATGTATACAAAACTTACTTCTTTGCCAGTTTCAATGTCGTGTGTTGTTGTGGTATTCCAACTTCGCACACCTGTATCAACGCCCGAAAAATTTTTGATTGTGCCATCCTCAATCTTCTGAATGATGCGAGATTTTTGGTCGATTTCTTTGTTGGCTGTCTTCTTTTTGGCCGAGTACTGGAGAGACACAGAGATTCCATCGGTGTTTATGGAATAGTCAAACTGCTTTTTGGCACGCACGAATCGTCGAATTTTTCGCATGTAAAAATACTGATTCCACCAATAATCTCTCGAATGATTGAAATCCTTTTGTTGAATCGTTTTCGTGCTTGTTGTTCCTTTTTTATTCTCGATTTCCACTTTCGGTAGCAATTTTTGCGAAGACAACACCTGGTGCATGGATGAACAATCGATTTTGAAGTGCGTACGCCGGAAATCACACATCGGCACCACTACTAAATTTCGAATCAATGGCCGAAAATCTGGGTTGTCGAGCATTTGGCTGCGCTTGCGTTTCCATTTTCCTTTTGTCTTTTTTCGCTTTCTTTTCTTGCGTTTGGGTCGGCGCTGATGTGGCCACTCCGAATTGTACTCTTCTATCTCGCGCTGCATGGATAGGTACATTGGCATGGCCTTATACCAATGTTTTGGGTCAGTTGTAAGGTCATGCAGATCGATTTCTGGGAACACATTGCAATCTCTCACGATATCATACAACACCTCACACCGTACGAGTTTGTTTGGATCGCGACTTGGCACTTTGATATCTTTTTGCTTGATGATCAACTTGACAACATTTTCGATGTCACTTGGCAAAAATTTCTCTCCATCCTCTTCCAAGTTTGAGTTCAATTCGAACACTTTCAGTTTCAAGTACTGGGTGATGTGTTTGTTAGCATGCGTTTCAAGATTGGTGACGACGTTATCTGTGTACTGATTGGTCAAATGCTTAAGCCCATTGCTGAAATCTTTGTTGTTGGGCCAATCGATACGATGATAGTCGTCAAGACCTTCGACAATTGCCTTGAATTCAGGATCGATACGTGGCAGCTCTGCTCGTGGTCCCCGTGGATTTGTTCCGCTTGGTTTATACCTTGACTTCGGTTTTGGTGGCTGATTGTTGTGCCATAGCACTTGTTCAAAGCAGAGTTTGATCTTATCTTCTCCACTTCCACCAAACAATGCGAAATTATTGTTCTCGACGCCTATATTCGAACGCCTTTTGCACCTCAAACAAGAACAGCAATGAGCCCAAAACACAAATGGAAGTGGCTTGCAAACTCAGATCCGTTATTTTGCTCATCAATGCTTGCTGGTATTGTGGGCGAATGATTGTCTTTAGCGCACATTTGATCGTCGTAATTTCATCTTTCGTCTCTCCCTCCGCTGGTATTGATGGCTTGAAACGATTCGCCATTGTCCTACTGAAAGAAAAAAAACACACATTCGATTTAGTTTGAAAACGAATAATATTGAAACTTAAATTCGATTTAGTTTGAAAATGACAACAGAATGAGACACACAAAAATGACTTCGGTTTGATAACAATGGCATTGATTCAATTTGAGTTCGAACAGTAATCGATTAACTGTTTCTCTTCTCCGAACAATGGACTCAATTCATTGCATAAAATGAATTTCACCATCACACGTATTTCACCATCACACGTAACAGAACTATGTACTGCAGAATTATTGTGAAATTCATTACTTTTTTCATGGAATCTAATATTACTGTTGATATGTTCAATATATTTCACGTCATAAATGCTTATATTACGTTTTTAAAATGAATTCCACAAAAAGAAGAAGATATTGAAATGATCAAGTTTACTCACACTTTGGCGAATTGAATTCAATGTGAACTCCGGATCAAATCGATACAAAACGCACGTAAATCGAAAATAATACGAAATGAAATACCAGCAAAATCGTAGATAAATTAAATTGCAGCGTAAATTTCCAGTTTAAATTGTAAGATAAAATGTAAGAGTTTCAATTTGTTGACTTGGTGTTCACAACGCTGTATGTTTTCTCGGAATGAATGATGCGGCGTCTGTGACATTTCGAAAACTGCTGAAGTGAATGTCAAATGTCATAAGGATCGGTTCATATTGCCAATTTTTAGAACATTAGACAATTTGAGCTACAAAGAGTCAATTAGTACTAACACATAAAAACGGTTATATTTCGGTGAAATTCCAAATTTATTAGCAATGAAGGACGATTTATTGTTTGATTCCGATTTTTTGGGCCGAAATCTACGTAGAAATCATATATTCTTATTTGACTCCCCAAACCTGAACACCCTAATATACATACATGACCTTTGGCAAACGTAAGTCGATTCGAATGACTTATTACTGACAATTTCTATATGCGATAGTATATCTTTTGCTATAGTTGCTCAAAGCTGCGATTTTGATAGATTAGATAATTATCTAATTATAATTGGAATTATCATTCTCACGTACTTCACTTCAAGATTATATCATACTGTCAAAAATGTGTTTTATATAACAATATTCACGACACACCATCAATTCATTTATTGTCCCAGTATGAAATGTATTTCTGTAAACAACGAATTGTACTTTGATATTATCAAACGGAGTAGCAGACTATTTGGAGGAAAACTGTGTCGATAAATTTCGGCAATGTCGAATCGGCATGAGTCATTGAAATTGGAAGCAATGTTTTTTTGAAATATGCTGTCATTACGGAAACCATATGAATGTTCATAAAATCGGCCCGTTATTTTTACAATTAAGGAATTTCAAAAAGAAACAGAATATTTAAAAAAAATGGTTTCATCTTTTGAAAAGGCAAGGACCGTTCTATATTCACTTGTAATGTAAGTGAAATATATATGAGCCAGTGTGCCAACAAAGCAATCGTACGATGTTATGCACACAATGTCCACATTCGGGATTGGTTCAATGAGTATAACAAAAATATCGCGTGATTGGAACACAAGCGCATTGAAGAACCAAATAAACGATGATGAAATCATTCTACCGGGTTGCTTGTAGCCGGATTGTTGTTTTCATATCGCAGTATTGTCTGTCATACATTTATAGGTCATAGTAACTAATACAAATGATCACGTTAGTGTGTAGAACTGTCACTTCGTTTCAATGCATTGGTAATGGTACCACGAAATGACATAATTTTTGAAATGTTAGTTCAATTTATGAAAAAGCGGTAAACATCTGCGCAAGTCATCCAATAATTTTTTTTTTGCATTCTTATACTATGTAAGTGAAAACTTATGTTAAGTATTTCAAAACAATATTCCCCTTTCTAAGAATTTCTCCTTACTTTCCACTGACGATTGAATAGACAGACAATTTATACACACATTGTGTTCGGTTTTCTGACCAAATTTGTTCACTTTGAAAATTAATTTAAAATACATCCTATATCTAGAATATAATTTCAAGACTTCATTTGTTTGTGTGATATAAGGTTTCAACGAACACTTATATTGAAACGTTGGAAATGGTGAATATGAAATACACATGAGGCGAATTGGGTCATATGTTAATGCGTAAATACAATCAACTTGATTTCCAAAAATTAGTATACATTGCAATTGGCATTTACGTACTTCTCATTTGTGAAAGCAATACCAGTAAAATTGGAACAAATTATTCTTATGAAAACACACCGAAAATTTGTGCTGATACCGGTTCCATCGAAAATTTAATATTTCAGTGTTGAAAATAAAATATGTTGAACACATTTCGTGCACATATAAATTAAATTGAAGAATTGCACATAGTTGAAAATACAAAAGATAACTAACAGAGTGGAAGATGTTCCGTAATAGTATAAAAGAAGTGGGAGAACCGTCCTTATGCAGTTTAGGAGCAGATTTTCTGCCAAGACGAGACTCATTATCAAGATTACATGACGCACTGAAAATTGCAGCTGTAGATGGACGTGTAAGATGTCAAGTTTTTGATGACAAATAAAAGCTATTGCAATTTGGGTGGTTTCAGGTTTATGGAGAACTTCAACGAAAAACATATAAAATGTATTGATACGAAATTGACCACCTTAATTTCGTCAATTTGATTCTATGGAATTAATTGTTATTATTATTCACGTATTAATTTGATTGTATTTGCATCAAAAAAATGATACTCCGATGCGATTATGTACGATATTCACTTTGAATTTCCTTTCTTGCAGACAATATGTAAACCAGCACCATTTAATACTGATGAAGATGCTATCTTGGAGCGAGAACGATGTGATTACAGTATAAAAATTACATACGACATGGCCAAATCTGGTAATACACCTCGACCTGGTAATCGTGTTCGTGTATATGCTGATGGAATCTATGATCTCTTCCACCAAGGACATGCGAGACAATTGATGCAGGTTCGATAAAAAACAGCCATACAATCAAGTGAAAAAATAACTTAATTAATTATTTGGCAGGCCAAAAATATTTTCCCGAATGTTTATTTGATCGTCGGAATCTGCAGCGATAGTTTGACACGAAGTCGAAAAGGACGTACGGTAATGAACGAAAAAGAACGGTACGAAGCCGTTCGTCATTGTCGATATGTTGACGAGGTTAGTTGTCTAAAATAGATTGTTAATTTACTTCGCCTATAATTCAATACAATTGATCACACCATCTTCTGCAGATTGTAACCGATGCTCCCTGGGAGTTGACCGATGATTTTTTGAGTGAGAATAAAATCGATTTCGTTGCGCATGATGAAATTCCATATACTAGTAATAATACACAAGACATTTATGCTAAAGTTAAAGAACGTGGCATGTTTGTTGCAACTGAACGTACCGAAGGTAAGATGAAGTATATTGTTTAAAAATTACATGATTCACATTTATATATTTATTTATTTTTTATTTATTTACATCGCCAAAAACTGGCAGAATATTTTGGTTTTGGCAGGATATTGACTCCAAGAAAAACCTAATCTTTTCATATTTGTTCAATACAGATTACAAAGTATTTTCATACAATACTTAGTTATAGTAGTCTTTCTCGATTGGAATTAGGGTTTGGTCTTTAAAATCTAACACAAAGAAACCTAACCAATACATGGAAATGAATAGGAAGCCGAATTGTCAAGATATTTTAACAACGCGTTTAAGAAAAGATAGACTAACTGGGGTGTTACACATATTAGTGTCGGCCTTAATGGCTGCAAAAGTCACCATTCAATTTACCAAAGAAGTGATATATTGAAGAAAAGTTTTACGTCTAGTCTAACAAGTCCCTGTTGGTAGATATGAATTTACAATTTAGTAGAGACCGAAAGACATTAAAAAAAATGTACTGAGATTGAATGGAAATTGTAGATTCATAATTTGTTGAAATTATAAACGAAGGATTGGGTGAGATTGATAGGGTAGTAGGATAGAAATGTCGAGCTTTTTCGCATTTTTCATGGAGCCGATAAGAGACAATGGTTTGTTGTCTTCAAAGTGATACAATCCGACATTCTCTTTAACCTTGCTGTAAACAATTTTCTCTGACTGATCGCATGCAAATTGCGTACAAAAAAAGCAAATTTCATTAGGGATTTTTTGTTAATATTTTTTCGCATTATTCACGAAGGTGGTAAAATATCAGAGATTAGAGATAACTGTCCTTAGTAAATTTGTAGATAACAGAAACTTAATCTGATCTTTCATAAACAAAGTACATACTTATTTTTGTCAATTAATATTTACAGGCGTGTCTACCTCTGACATTGTTGCACGAATTGTGAAGGACTATGACTTATACGTGCGTCGAAATTTAGCGCGGGGGTACTCTGCAAAAGAATTGAATGTCAGTTTTTTGAAAGAGAAAAAATTCCGTTTCCAAAATAAAATGGATGAGCTAAAAGATAAAGGAAAACGTGTAATGAATGAGGTTAAAGGGGATTTTATAACAAAATGGGAAGAAAAATCGCGAGATTTCATCGAAACGTTTTTGCTTTTATTTGGACGCGACAGCATAACAAACATTTGGGATAAATCAAAAGGACGGCTTATGCAAGCACTTAGTCCACCTGGTTCCCCTAGCCTATCGCCACGTGGTTCTCCACATAGTTCCCACAATGGTGAGGATTGTGACAAAGAATCTTCGTCTTCTGAAGGAGATTCTCCAAAACCGAAACGTCCAGCTTGTACGAACAGCGAATTTGGTGCAATCAGTCGAACAACGCGCTCTACAAATCATAATAAGGTGATTTTGGAATCAGAAGAAGAAGAAGAGGAGGAAGAGTTTGACGGTGGCGTTGCCACACAACATATTCGACGACATGTCTGATTAAATTGTAGAACGGAGATTTTGGACATTAGTACCACTCAATAGCTTCGTATATAGAATAAAATTTCAATTCTTAATACTGTCAACAGTTTAGTTAATGAAAAAAACGTAATTTAATAGAGCAACTGAACAATATATAAACAAGTGTATACACAAATTTTGCTTTCAATATTGATTTTTTTTAATTACACTAAATACGGGCTTGTTTTTCACATATTTTACAGAATTCAAAGTACTTTCTTGTATACCATAAGAATCTCTATTATTTCGCTCTACGTTTCTCACATCTCTTGATTATTTTCGATTTCGAGAAAACACTTCTAAATAAGCTCACTTTTTGTAAATGATATCGAACGTAGCAGATATTTATTTTGAGTTTCAAACAATTCTGAAAAAAAAATCGTTTTCGAAAATTCGGTATTTCGGGTTGAATTCCTAAGAACCGCGATGGTATTCATACGGAAATCTTAAATTGATTATAAATATGTTGATTTACTTCAATGGAAAAAAACAATGCACAGACTTAATTGCAATGCTGCTAATTACCAATGCAAGGCATGAGAGTTCAACACTTTCACTTTCACTTTATTAGCATACGATGAATATCAATTTACATTTAGATTCTGCCAGAATATTACCAGGCCTCAAATTCATCTATCTCACTAAACTCTATTGGAATTTTATTCCAAATACAAATCATTTTGTTCATATAAATACGAATTTACACAAAGAATTATTTTCGATTCAGAAAAATTATAAATTACGTTTTTGTTATCATGTTAATAATCATAATCATTATTAATTCCAAAGAAACATATTATAAATTAACAATAAAATATTCAGTAATATAAATAATTTAAATAGATTGTTATTAATATATTGAAATTTCGCTTCAATAAAACAATATATTATCAACATATTCTTTTGAATGTGTTGAAATGATTTTATTTTTTGGATTAATCTTTCAGGACCTGAACCTGAACACAAACTAGTAAGTAACAAAGGAAACAAAAAAAATAAGATAAGATACAAAATGTGTCGAAAACGCAACATTACACAAGATTTTAAAATATCGAAATTTTTATTGTCTGAATAAAGTGATAATTTTGGGATTTATTTCTATGGTCTATCCTGTGGAAAAAAATATGGCAAATTTTGAACCCAAATTCCGTGAATACATTCAGCTAACCTTGTATCTGTTACTAAGCGTAATATAATTAGCTGCAGCTATTTTGACTTTTGTTGGTGTTGAAGAATACATATAGGCATACAAAATCTGATTGGAATGGATTTTCCAAAATCTATGCTTTTATCTTCTTTATAAGCCTAGAAACCACTTGAAGTATTATGATGAGGCAAGTCTAGGCCACAAAACGAACATCATGTACCAACAAACCTTTTCTTTATCTTTCACACCCATTGAGATATAGCCGTTTGCTTGTTGGACTGGAAGGTTACAATTTTGGCGATGTGTTTGGAGGTTGCCTTACATTTTGCCAAAAATCAATTTCTCTATCGAGGTATTTGTGGGCTTAAATATAATTTAATCTATTACCTGCATGAAGGTCCAAGAATCGATTGGAATAATATTTGTGCCAAAAAAATAATGATCAAAAATATGCAGACTGGAAGGTTACAGAAAAAAATACTGGAAGGTTACAAATTTTTCCTTTGATTTTGCGCTTTGTTTTTGCGCCAATTTCGAAAAAGTTACTATTTTCATTATTATTCGGTCATGAAAATATACACTTTCTGCTCCCACAATACGTTTTTTCAGAGATTCGTACATTTCAAAATAAAATGAAAATGGAAAACTTAGAAGATAAAAACATCGAAATTTCGGATACGAAAAAGTTTCCCTATTTTGACACGAAAATGTTATCCAAATTCAATGAAAATTTCAGGAAATATTCACCATGGGAAATGATTAGGCTGCGCAAAATTTCATTTCGATTTGATCATTTTGGCAATTTTTAATTTTTTTTGTAATTCCCGATTTAAGATTTTTTTGTATACAGGCTCTGTTCCAGGAGAAAAACTGATGTTGGTGAATAAACTATAAAGGGTGACGGTTGTTTGGATAACTAGAATTTAGACTATTTTTCAAATAAAACACTTTATTTTCACTTCTTCAATACTATTTATTTGACTTCACTATTTTAAACAAGAAAACTTTCTGAAAAACCTAACGGTTTACTCTGCTTATATACGTTTTCCCCAATCAACCGGACTGTTCCTTTCGGAGCAAACCAAACCATACACGCAGTATTACGCAACATTCTGTAATGTTCTAGAATGGGCGCAGCTCCAAGCCAAACCATACGGTATAGAAGACACGCGAAGCAGAACCCAAGCCGGTTCATGTTTATTCGATATGCTTGAGCAATTTCACGTGCTACTCCGACTCATATGCCGTACATGCATAACTCCCCCATGCTCGCAGTAGTCGAACCAGAAGTTGCGAGCTCCCGTCTCGCCTGGTTGCCCCCACATGTAGTACAGCAGAACCAAAACAAACCAATGGGCGTAGGAATTCGTATGAAAGGGAACATACATGACCAAAGCGAATGTGGTTGACTCCAAAGTGTATGAGGTTTAACCGAAAGTGAATGCGGTTCGCACCAAAGGTGAATGTGGTTTGATCACATGTGAATGCGGTTTGATCAAATGTGAATGCGGTTTGATCAAATGTGAATGCGGTTCGAATCAAATGTGAATGCGGTTTGATCCGTAACTGGTTGAACGTATCTTATAGACTCTAGATCAAGAATCTTGAATATAATTAAGCATAATTATCGTTAAACGGTGAACGTATAACTGAACCGTTTACAAAACAATGAAAAGTCCAACCACTTGTCACTCGATTTGTTCACAAAAGGGATAAAAAGTTCTTCTGCTGCTATGCTTCTTATTGTGATATAATAACTGGAGTGTAACATATGGAGTGTGGAAGAGGTTTATTCAATGTTGTTTTGTTTACATTTTATTCTATCATTTATTGCAAAGCTACTTGCACCGTTCCTTATATGTTTTTAGTACTAGCATAAAAAAGCTACACACATCGACCAATCACTACTCCAACCACAAATATGCTGTCTGTGGAATTTTTTTAATATCGATATTACTCTTATCATATGAATGACGCTTTTAGTCAATCCACCAGCGTATCACTATAGCAGGGATAAAAGAGAGTTTGCCGTTGGACGCTGCCAACAAAATGTCAGTTATGTTTCAACAGTCGAAAAGAACGGTACGTTTTTTCTGCAGTGCTATTCATTGACGATTTCATTTCTAACTATACGACGAAAGAGATTCGTTGCTATAACTGAGTTTCTTACGTCAACACAGTAATTTAATTAAATTTCAATTAAACCAAGAATTTGCGGTGTTTGTTTAAATTATTAATTTAAATATTTAGTTGAAAAATTTGGACTGAGCATTTCGAAAAAAACGATAAATTAAAAAAACGAATATGAAATAAAATATTGTTATAATAAATTGGAGTGATATGCTGTGATTCAAAAGTACTCGTGAAGCTTTTCGTTAATGTGCATGTGAATGATTCAATTTTAAAATAATTCAAAAGAAAATATAACAAAATAAAACAAAAGTGAGTTCAATTCCCTAAGAACTGGGATGTTGATTATTAACAGTAGCGTATTAATATGAAACAATGATTTTCGAAGGGATTTTCCCAGTGATAGAACACACATATCAACACATTTTATAATTCAAATTCAAACATTGTCGTTCATTAGCATTTTTGATGAGAATCACTCAATAGTCTCGTAGTTTTTATTCACAATAGTCTGTATTCATAAAATGTGGTGTATTTCAGCTATTGCTATTCATAGGATATAGTTTCAAAAATCACATCGCACTCATATCTTCGTTCCTGTCCATTGTGCATTATATTTATGCAAGTACGTGAGAGATTTATACTTTTATACCATGAGCTTGACTGAGAACTGCATTCATGAAACTGAAGTTTATAAGATGCAGAGCCGATGATGACATAACAACATATTAAAGTATTGCTTTTTAAGGATCTCGTTTTGCAACTAAATTTATATACTTCCAAGAACAAGACTTCCATATCTATCTTTAAATTATTCTTTCGCTAGCAAAATCAACCGGTTTTTGCGCAATAGTTATTTATATCATTGTTCATTGAACTTTTGCGAAATTTAAATCCTAAATAAAAGATGTACTATTGTTGGATTGTATGGAAATATCATTCCTATTCTTGTTCATCTAAAGCTATACATTGTTTAACACACATTACAAGCGAAAATAGTGACGCGAATATGAAACTCTCTGTGGAATAATTGGAACTAATTAATTTGTTCAACAGTTCAATGAACAATGAAATAAGAATATATACATTATACACGTCCATAATTTATTCAATTATCAATATGAATCGTGATAGAGGATTTTATCAATATCAAATGTAATTCATTTAATGAAAGAAACATCCAAAGTTGAAGAAATAATGCGTCCACACTCTAGACACAATAGCATTTTCCATAACTTGAATTGTTGTCATAAAATGAGATATTTTTTTTAATTGGTTCCATTTACAATAATTAATTATTAATTATTTGTAAATGAATACTTATATAGGTGTAAAATTGTATTTTAAAAAATTACAATTTCGTACACGAAAACAGATTGAAAGTGCATAACTTCAAATTTTATATATCTTTCATCAATGTATCTGGTAAACTGTGCAAAGATTAAACTTCAACTGCGCCATTTTTTTCAGAGTTGCGAATACTATAGATATGTTAAGTTTTAGCTGAGAAAAACGAAAAAAATTAAAAAAAATTCCAAAAACCTTTTCTTTAGCCGGAAAATTTCAATGATTTAAACGGCTATGTATGCTTCTCGGAAATACCTCGGAAATACCTCGCAATTTTCCGACTTTGAGGGCGTATAACTCGACACCAGCATGCCTTATTCTGGTAAAGTTATATATCAATTTAAAGTTGAGAACCTGCCCAATGCAATGCCACTATATATTCATCAATTTATATTGTGGTACTCGAGTTATGACCCAATTTAAGCATCCCGCTTTTTGGCGGTCTTGCGAACTAGGAGGTTAATAAACTTACATTTTAACATCGTCAAGCTCTGTCGAAAAAAGAATGAATGGGAAAGCCAATAATGCTAAAAAGAAATGAAAGAGTTTCTCAAGACAAAAAACAGACAGACCCATACGACAGTTTACATATAAGATTTGAATCAGTTGCCCATAAGTTTTTCATTTCTTTTCATAACAATTTCTTCGTCTACAGCCACTGTATAGGGAAATACCACGCTGGGATTATTTCAAATATTTCAAAAAAATCCAATTCATCTCTAAGAATCTGTCGTATGAAATATAGTGGATATTTGTGAATATGGTGGATATTTGTGATTTTGAATGATATTTAAATGTATTTATTCGGATTTAATGCGAAAAATCTCAAATATCTCCAAAATTCACAAAAATCTGATTTATTTATTCGAAATATTCGAAAATATGTCATACAATTGATGTTTATTTCAAATATCTCAAATAACATTCCCATGTTCCTTTTATTCCCTCAATGTTATCTCACAAGATTCAGGAGCGTGATATTCCCCTAGACCACCGTCGCAATTTGAAGAATTCACAACTATATAAAACTGTATTCGACATTTTCCATATCATCAAATATGGTCATAATTGTCTAATGGGAATACTAGGTGGATTGAGAAGTCGGGTACTTTTTGAATGAAAACACATTTTTTTCGCAAAATTTCATTTTATTTCTCAATATAGGCTCCTTTTAGCTCGATACAGCGAGCCCAACAATCTTCCAACTTTTGGATGCCTGCTAAATAGTACGATTTGTCCAATGTCCCAAAATAGCTGTTTCGAACTCGACTTCTCCATTGTTGTAAAAACGCCTTCCACAAAGCCATCTTTTGGGGTTTGGGAACAGGTAGTAATCACTAGGGGCCAGGTCAGGAGAATACGGCAGGTGCGGAAGCAATTCGAGGCCTAACTCGTGCTTTTTAGCCATTGCAACCATCGTTGTGTGCGACGATGCATTATCGTCCAAAAAGAGGATTTTTTCTTCTTCATATGGGGCCGTTTCGATGCGATTCCGACCACCAATCGATCCAACAATGCAGCATAATATACGCCAGTAATCGTCCTTCCTTTTTGGAGGTAGTCGATGAAGATTATTCCGTGCGCATCCCAAAACACACTGGCCATTACCTTTCCCGCCCATTGTTACGTTTTTGGCCTCATTGGCGGCGGTGAACCGTGTTCCGTCCACTCTCTAGCCTGTTGACTGGACTCCGGAGTGTAGTGATGGATCCAAGTTCCATCCATCGTCACTGATCGACGCAAAAACTCACTCCGGTTGCGGTTAAAATAGGCCAAATTGGCTTGAGAAGTGGTTACACGAATGCGTTTTTGTTGAATTGTCAGCAAACGCGGCACCCATCATGCACATAGCTTATTCATATGCAAATGTTCATGCAATATCTTAAGCACCCGTTCATATGAGACGTTTACAGTCTCAACTATCTCACGCACTTTCAATTTCGGATGTTTTAACACCAGATCATGTATTTTGTCTATCATTTCTGGGGTAGTAACCTCATTTGGACGACCCTGGGCGAGCTGCGTCTTCGGTGCTCGTGCGACCACACTTAAATACAGTAAACCACTTGTGGACCATTTTATGAGATGGTGCGGAGGCCGGATAATACTTTTTTAGCGCCACTTCGGTCTGGGCGATGGTTTTTCCACGCAAAAAATAGTGTTTAATCAACACACGAAATTCACTTTTTTCCATGTTTACAAAAATGTTTGGAGGTTGGTTACTTCAAAGTGCTATAACTCATGAATTAATGGTCGGATTTGGCTCCAATTTTGACAGCTGTCTTCTGAAGGATGGTACTTGTCAAAAACCATAAGAATTTTGTATCAGTGTCTCCCTCTCATAGAAAAGTACCTAATAAGACATAAAGGTGTATGTTTCAATAACTTTGTATTAGGTAAGGTAGAGTCCGTTCTTAAGCGGACAGAAAATCTTTAAAAAATTTAATCATTTCAACAGATATGGGTTTATTTTTCTCTGCAAAGTTGTACAGTTTGACAAGACCAACAATTTTTACGAAGACACAAATTCGGTATTTCTTGTCATTGTTATGAAAATCACAAAAAAAAACAATTCAAACACACTCTACTTTGTAGAAATGTCGTAAATGATTTTTTTGACGGTAAACATATCCCAGAAGTTTTTTGGTCAAAGATTGATTATTTGATTATTTGTTTATATATACAAAGGCTGAGTCCAAATGCTGGGCTGGAAAAATTCAAATCGGTCTTTCGCCGTATGTAGGTGGGTTTGACATGTCAGGTTATTTGATTCTGGGCTATTGCAAGCCACTGGACCCATTTTCACATATAGTTTGTAGCATTTGTCACTGTAATGACAATTTTCATTTTCTAGCCGGCTATAAAATGTATAGCCGACTAGGAATTTTTTTCGTATTTTTTGGAGATTTATTGGGTGGATGAAATGAATTAGGACAAATAATGAAGACTTGGACCAAAAACTGTAGTGAATTTATCGATTTTTTTGGATTTTTTCCAAAAAAATAGATTTGTTCGAGAAAAAAAAATTTAAATTTTTTCTGGCATTTTCCGATAAATTTTTATCGAATGGAACATATTCATAGATTCTGACACCAAAATTTTCAGATAGGGTCAGACCAAAAATTCATGATGGGGTCAAAAAAATCAATTCTATCTTGTGTAAATAAATATTCGGTATCGAAAAAAATGAAGACCTAAAAAAAAGGTCCCCACTTTTGAAAATAGATTCTATCCAGTGTTAAATGTTCCCTTCGGAGCAATGTGAGGAGCGAAAAAAAGGTCCTCACTTTTGAAAACAAAGTCGGAAAATGACTATGGGTCCAAAAAAATTCGTTGGGGGTCAAATTTCGCCAGCAGGGGTCAGAATCAACGAGATCAGACTATGTCAGATTCTATGATTAATATCGTACGGGTATTCTAAACCTTGAAATAACCCAATTGTATTTGATATGCATATTTATGCGATTTTCAATAGGAATAAAGACAATTCTAATCATTATTTCAAGGATAAAATCGAAGAAAAATCGAAAAAATCCGAAAATACCCAAAAAATTGAAAAAAGTCGAAAAAATGAAAAAATTGTCAAAGAACGACGAACTTGGTTGAATTCTTGACAACTTTGACATTTCGATGTACACACACATATAAATACGTATGGTGGATTGGAAAACGTCAGCAATGAACTATACTAACACTTGGTGTGGCAAGTTCATCGAATGTGTGAACGGGTGAAATTATTCGATGACTTCAAAATCATATGAAAAACCACACAAGTGTTGACAGTGCAAACTCACGATTTTTTCAAAATATTTCTTTGAATAACAAGTCGTGGATGAAGCCTAGGCTTTGCAGAGCCCGAATATCAACAATAAAAGAAAATAAATGAATATAATTCCCAAACAAATAATGTATATAAAATGTATGGCGTTTCCAATCTCACCATCACCACAATCAGTCAAAGCATTAATGTGAATGACGCATGACAAAGTGACTTTGACAGCACACGCATATGAATTGATGTCATGTTTACAGTCGGAAACGTCAATGCAAAATCTCCAGTATCCAGTTTCAGTCTACTTTCGATATAGAACCTCTTTTTAGGCCCTAATATGTTCCATTCGAATAAAATTGATCGGGAAATGCAAGGAAAAATGAAAAAAAAAAAACAAATTAAAAAAAAAATTGATTTTTTTTTTAAAAACTCCAAAAAATCGATAAAATCACTACAGTTTTTGGTCCAAGTCTTCATTATCTGTCCTAACTCATTTCATCCACCCAATATATCTCCAAAAAATACGAAAAAAACGAAAAAAAAAAATTCTGGTCGGCTAGGGGAAGGTGAGGCAATTCGCCGCTTGGGACAAATCGCCGCATCGGCCGTTTCTCGACAACGGCAATATATATACAAAAAATGCAATTAATTCCCGATATTTGGATATATAATTCGATATTTTTCATTTGAGTACAGGCTCTGTACAGGCACAAACATGTTTTGACTATTTAAATTTATTTTTAAAAAACAGCCGCGGGGGTATCATTACACTAACAACAACATCATTTGCAAAATGAAATTCGTCCAAAACCTGCTGACACGGAGTGAACGCGCTCACTTTACAAACGCACTTGGTAGTTTTCTGTTCGAACGCAAGCGTTTTCTCAGTATGGTCCGCAAAATTAAAAAAAAAACAATTCTGCCACGAACCAGTTTCTATTTTGAATCTAACATTTTATGTTTTTTTTAAATTATGGAAACTCCAATATATCATATAAAACCGTAATTTTCTCTCATACAACTCAATTGAAAATGGAAGAAAAACAATTTTTTTTAAATACGGGTTTAATCTACCAAAAGAAAGCAATTTTTTGTCTTGTGTGCCAGCGGCATATTTGCACAATTTTATTTGGCAGAATCGAAACATTTTGATTTTTTTAAAATTCAAATAATAATTATTATTTCACCGTTGACAATGACGTCTATGTTTGACACTGCATTGAATACACTCATCAATGTAGTTCCCGTCAAAATGTGTGGCGTTGTTGGTTTGACGTTTAATGATCGAGACTATCGCGGTGAAAACAGCTAGGTCTATTTTGTAGCTGAACACTTGCGCTTTCAAATGGAACTAAACATGTTTTGGAATTTCTTAATATTTGTGGTTAAATCGAGCTTCAAACAGAAATAGTGACGGTGGGGCAAATCGCCGCACCTCATTTCTGCGTTTTACCGCTAATTGGTCACTCAGAACTCATATCTGTGAATGTGGCGATGTAGGTGGACTTTATACCGGTCAATCAAAAGTTTCAGATCTCGAAAATATTATTTTTTGACGGAGTCATGTCCAAAACTATGATGTGCTTATGGCGTCACCTGAGTCTGCGTTCGCATTTCTTGTGCGCGGCATAACTCAAACAATTGACAAGATAATTAAGATCCGAAAACGGCGGAAGTTTTGGCATGTTGAGGCAAAGCCTCTGATTGATTTTGATTCCATTCTGATATTCCTACGTCGCACCATGAGCCTCAGACTGATGACCCTAAAAATGGTATTTTTGTTTGAACAAACCGATAATTGACCAATAAATGAACCACTTAGAACTGCTTATAACTGATATCTGTGGAACAATGTAAATGGGCACTATTCCTATTGACAGAAGGTTTCAGATCTCAAATATACCCAATTTTGACTGATATACGTTCAAAATTGTTCTATCACTTTTAGGTACTGGTTTTCTTTTATTTTTTGAGAGTCATGAAACGTTCAAATCAGTCAACCAATGGTTGAAATTGTTCATATTCGAATGTATGAAGATAATTAACTCATAAAATAAACAATTTCTCAAAGGTAAACTTATAAAACCCACTGAAAATGCGGCTGCGGCGATTTGCCCCACCATTTTCTGATGTAACAAAATTAAGGCTTCCGCGCTGAGGGCTATATCTGACCGCACCGACGGTCATATCTAAAAGTGTTCTTCTTTAAAAGTTGGGTAAAAAGGCTAGCTTTAAAATTATACTAAACTTTTCGGAATTATTTGCATTTTTTGTAGTTTTGATTGTTGGAAAAAAGTGCGGCGAATTGCCCCACCTTACCCTATATGAGGGCCTGAAAGTGAAAGTGACCAACAAAAAGTTGAGCGTAAAAGTGACCTAACTCCATACAAAACACCGTGACGGCAGCATGTGTTTTATATGGAGTTAGGTCACTTTTACGCTCAACTTTTTGTTGGTCACTTTCACTCTCAGGCCCTCATATATTTTATAGCCGAGTAGAAAATGAAAATTTTCATTACAGTGACAAATGCTACAAACTATATGTGAAAATGGGTCCAATGGCTTGCAATAGCCCAAAATCAAATAACCTGGCATGTCAAACCCACCTACATACGGCGAAAGACGAATTTGAATTTTTCTAGCCGGCTATAAATTTTATAGCCGAGCATTTGGACTCAGCCTAAGTTAACACATTACGTTTCTACAGACCAAATTCTTATACCAATCGAGAAAAGACTACTATTCCCGTGTGCAAATAAAATGACTAACAGTCACTTAGTTGTAAGTAGCTGTATGTAAAGGTGTCAAACGGACGGACTGTCCGCCTTTTTTGCCCGTCCGTCCGTCCGTTCAGCTTAGTCGGACGGACGGACGGACAAGAAAATTTCTGAGGGTCCTGAACGGACGGACGGACGGACAACAAAATTTCTGAGGGTCCTGAACGGGCGGACGGACGGACAAGGTGCTTTTCCGTTAACACCTTTAGCTGTATGTAGTGATACACAACTAAAACTGGCTAAGTTGATTGAAATCATGCGTTTTGTATGGAGACAATCACGTTTAGTTATTCTTTCAGTCATTCGACTAATTTAGGACATTTTGACTAAGCGTGATTTGTGATTAAAGTTAACTGCAGTTGCTTATTTTGTTCGGGACAATCACTTCTAGTCAGTCAAATAGTCACTGAATGTCCCAAATTAATCTACTGACTTAGACAGTCAAAAAAATTTCCACACGGGTAACTAACTATTGTATGAAAATACCTTGTTAACTGCGATAAAACTATCGAAAATATCTTCATCTGTCTTTCCGTCCGTATGTTGCACTATAACTTAGATTTTTTCAATTCATAGCTTTGTTGTTTGCTGACACGAGTTTTTTATAAAAAACTTCTGATAGAAAATTTAAAAAAGCAAGTAACGTCAAACTAATGATTTTTAATTTGAAATTAAGTATTTCCCTACTATTTGAATAAAATAAAACACAGATATTCGCTTCATAATGGATTTGTTTCAAACTATGATTTATTAAGGACCATCAAAGAGAACATTACAAGAATACAGCTCTAACACAAGTTTTCTCTAGCACAGAATTTATTACCGTCATAATGAACTTATCTCATTGTACAATGTACAGTGTGCAATGTACACAAAGCGGTTGCTTTTTATCTTTCACAACCATTCTTCATTGCTTTTTAGACACGTACCGAAAAAACTCTCCCTTTCGTTGTCTCTATCGCGAAAATGAAAGGAAAGACTTCGAAAAGCAGATGGATAGCCAAATCTTGGAAGATGTGCCGAAATGACTTCGGGTTGGGCGTTTTACATAGAAACAATTTTTTTGAGTAATCGGTAAACGAAAATTGGAAATTGGCCAAAATTGATAACTCTCAAATCTTAGCCACAAACTGAACTTCCCATGAACTGAAACGTTTCTCTATTGTTAGTAGGTTCCAATTTTTTTTTAAATCAGTCATCCGATTCTTGCTGTTTTCAACAATTTATTTGGCAGGAGAGTTTATAATTTAATATGGGATTAAAACTACTATGCATTCAAAATTAATTGTAGTGGCCCGAAAATAATTGTAGAAGCGTCTACGGTTATTTTCGGTCCACTACAATTAATTGTACACCATTGGAAATGGCTTCTACAATTGATTTCCGACCACTACAATAATCGTAGACGCCCAACCCAAAATAATTTCGGCACATCTTCCAAGATTTGACTATCCATCTCGAAAAGCAGAATATCTCTTCCAGAAAAATTATGCAAACGCATTCATATGTAGATTTCTTAAGTCATTGAAAGCATTTATGATGTAATCAAAGCATTAAAAACCACAGTACAGCCATTTAACATTTATCCCTTCACACGTTTAACCGTTTGTCTTTAACAAGTTGAAAAGTACAAACTCCAACAAAAAATTATGTATATACATTTGGGGAAAAAAGTTATGTTGTGTCACTAATTTTGTAAATTCCGCATTTCTAGACAATATTGGTTTGAGCTACTAGAATAATCAGCCTCTGAAGTTAAATTGACGGATAAATAATATTTCAAAATGAATAATCTATCGGATGGAACAGGTTATACTTTTGAAGAAGAGGTGATTTGCCTTTGAATACAGGATGAAGTAAAATATATTATAAAGGGTGTTTTTGGAGGTATAGAACTATTTTTTGAATAAAACATAGACAAACAATGAAAAAATCAATATTTCGGCTGTACTCATTTAGGGGATATGATCCAACCCCCTTTTTTGGTTACCCTTGGGAGTTATTTTGAAAGATTGTGAAGCCGCATTCCCACAATTTTCAATTGATTGAATCCGGCGAATTTGCAGATCATTATTTTCAAAAATCGGGAAAGACTTATCTGGAGAATTGCTTGAATGGTTGTGAATAAAAGTTAGTCGAAAAATCCAGACCTTTAACCAGAAGAAATGACTGATAATAAGTGTTGGGTTACTTCATATTTGTTTCATTTATACAAATTTAGGTCACAATCCGACCATATTTTGAACACATAATTACTTTAGTGCTTAATAATAGGTAGGTGAAAGCAGGAAAAAATAAAGGGTCTTACGATGTAAGACGAACTTTTCCGCAGTGGAGTCAGAAAGAGACATGATTCTAATCGTTCAAGCATTAAAAAAAGAATAGCACAAGACGGCTAAACAAATTGCACAGCAACATTGCCGTCGGGTGTAATTTTCAAACTTGAAATTATGAGCACTGTGAAATTTTGTCGCGTGAATTGTGACCGCTGAAATGAGATTATGGCGCGCGATTTAAATTTCTTTGTCAGTAAGAAAAATTGTGGATTCGAATCAAAGTAGCTAGATTGATTTGAAGTCAGGTCAGTGACATATTAATAGCTATCAAACTTAAAACCCAAAGAAAGATTAATTGCGGGAAAAAATGAACGTACGAGAGATGAAGCAAGAATCCGATGACACAAGAATTGAAGTAATGACAAATATAGCGACAATAACCCGAAGTTTCGTTTTAAGAATAGTGCAACTCGGCGAATTTAATTCATGGAGATAATCCGATTGAGAATGATGAAAACCTTCTGAGGAGCTCATTTCAAGTACCTCTCATACAAAAATTCGATTTTTCGAAATGTGAAGCAGAATAGCCGATTTGATACCAAAAAGGTGGGAAAGTTGGTGTTCGATTGTTCCTAGGCTCCCAATATTTTGATGAAATTTATCGGTTAGGAATGATAAAAGCCCACCAAGTAGCCTATTTTAGGTACCTCCCATGCAAAAGTTTGATTTTTTGAGGTTCATACATAAGGTACTCCAAGTACCACAGGGGTACATCTGGGGGGCCGAAAATCTAATGGTTTCCAAGTCTAGTGGAGCTTAAACTTATGGCACTTCCAGATTTTATTTATCTCTGACTGGGTTCGAGCAATCGTGTTACAAAACTTCATTAATATGGGAAAATATCACTTTTTTTCAAACGGCTATAATTTTTTTATTGGAACGTCAAACACACATGGTGAACAGTTATAAACCATGCTCCTAAGGTCCCGAGCACATCACAAAAAAAGGGAATGAATATCTTTGGCCAATAGCTCAAACACTCCGAACAAATAAAGTGGGACGTATGACGGACGACGTACGACGTGGGACAGACGCGAAAAACATCGCTCCAAAAACCGGTTTTTCGTGTTCTACGGCCTTGAAAACGGCTAGAAATCATGTTTTTGGGGGGTGTTAAAATTTGGTCCAATCGCAATACTTTTACCTTTGAGACCACGGGTCCTGCGGAAAAGTAAAATTAAATACCATAAAATGTGTGAGCTAGAAAAGCCAAAATATTGGTCATTTCATTGTTTTTCTGTGTTTTATTCAAAAAAATGTCTCTGCCTCTAACAAAATAATCTTAATATAGATTCCATCGATGGCCGATATTTCCACTATTCCTCGTTTACCCGGAGACGGTGCTCCACAGATAGATGATCCTGAAAATATAGAACAGGAAATATCTGCTCTTCCAAGCATTATAACCATCAATGATGACGCTTTCGACTCGAAACAAAATCCTTATCGAGGTGAGTAACTTTTATTTGAGTTTTAACCTATACCATATTTGGTTAATATACCAAAATTTAAAACTCCCTGGAAATCTTATAAACATTATTTAAAAATATGATATACGTTGGGAATCAGAGGTAAATTGCAGCGAAGTGTGTCGAATGAAAAAACCTTGAAGACCATGCTAAAGTTTGCCTCTAATTCGCAGTTCGCATGATTCGCAGTTCGTATGAATGTACAATGTACATGTACATATGATTCACAAACTTGATGATTCATAAGCTTAACTTGTTTGAACATTGTTTCAGACCATTTTGAATGACGTATTTCTATCAATTCAAATTAGTTCAATTGAAAAATAGTTAATGTGGTTAAACAAGACCAATTGATACAGACCCACCCATTTCATTTTCAATAAAAGTTATCTCCCTATCCGTTGTGCATGTATCGCACGCAAATTCAATTAGTTAAATTGATTGAAGTTTACTACACTAATAAATAAATGTTTATACAGTATATTCGTGGTTAAACATCCGCGCACCTTATTCGCAATAATTACACATTTCGCGTTTGCACATGGCAAACCCCATATCCAAAGGGAGACTCACAGGTCTAATTACGAATATTGGGAGAGAATGATTGTTTTAGTTGCGTCATATCACATGAAGTCCAATATTAAAAAATGTTGACTATACCATCCCAATAAATTTGCTTTCAATTTTATCGCTTATCGCATATCGTATGTCGTCTGATATGAGAATAATGTATATCGTTTTTATAATGTAAAATATAATAACACACACTTGAATCTGAGTGTTACGTAGAAATCAATAATCGATGCCATTTTTTTCGTCTTTTTATTGCTGCCATTGTTGGTCATATGCAGGAAAAGTTAAATCGGGTGAAAATCAGCCACCATTGAATAATGAGGTCTATTCAGCGTTCAAGCGTGGTAATGTGGTCAAAGGCATTTTATGTCCATCGTTAACAAATTCGTTTCGAGCAAGATCTTTAGAACGGTCGTATTTAACTTATTCACATAGGCAACGCCAAAAGAGTTTGCTTATAGTCAATATTGTCGATTTAATATTGAAATTAGTTCTCGCCGCAGTTTGGACGTGTAGAAAATCTGCTGAACTTGTATGTATTGTCATTTTGATTCCCGCTTTCATATTTCGTTCAAATGCTATGGGCTTTTATGTACATTCTCGCAAAATATACAAGGTGCGTTACGCTGCCCCCACATTTTGTGCTAGGATGTGATCGATTTCATATTACAGTGTAACCTCGATTATCCGTTCACCCATTATCTGTCACCTCTGTTAATCGTTGAGCCTTGCCGAAGTGAAAAACTTTTTTCCAGTTCATTTCACTTGAACATACTAATAATGTCGTCGACTGACATAATCAAAATCAATTGTATTTCGCTTGTACATTCGTTCAATAAGATTTGAAATCAAAGACATTGCTGCCGAAAACATTTCTCGTATTGGACAATGCAGCAAATCTATTTTCGTATCTATCATATCTATGGGTGAGATTGAGAGCATACACTACTTTCATTGACTTTGTTACGATAGAGAAGATTAAGTTTCTTTCAACTTGAAAATAGTTAAAGTAGAGTAAGTATTTTGACTGCTTGTAGCTATGATAGAGGCGAGTATGTTTCATGAACCTTAATTTGCGTTAAACAAGAGTATGTATTTTGCAGAGGTTGGTTGCAGATAAATTTATTTATATAAATTTCAAATATCAAATAAATTTATCCGATATTTTTCATGCGCTATGTTTTTCTGACGCATTTGTAGTACATAAACGAAACATCGGCTGTTGTATTGGCGGCCAGCTATTCATCGCAGGAATGAGATTTTTGTTTTGTTCATTTACCGATATTTGTGAACAAGTCTGCCACTGTGTCACTACATAGTATATATAGCCCATAAGAAATGTGCAGAGACGAGAATGTTCGCCATTTAGTTTTACATTGCCAATACATTGGTTATGGAGATTTTTGTTTTGTTTATTTTTTGTCGTTTGTAAACAAATCTGCATATCTTTTTGCATTGTCTCTACGCATTTCTTAGGGACATATACTATGTACAGTGGCAATTCAAAAAGATAGGCAGATTTGTTTACAAACAACAAAAAATAAACAAAACAAAATCTCCATAACCAATGTATTGGCAATGTAAAACTAAATGGCGAACATTCTCGTCTGTGCACATTTCTTATGGACTATATATACTTTGTGGTGACACAGTGGCAGGATTGTTGACAAATAACAGTAAATGAACAAAATGAAAATCTCATTCCATCAATAAATAGCTGGCAAATGCGTTAGAACAACACGACACATGAAAAATATCGGATAAATTTATTTGATATTTGAAATTTATATAAATAAATTTATGTGCAACCAACCTCTGGTATTTTGTTAGTTTGGAATACCAATAAACAGGAGTATGTTTTTCCGACTTTGGTTGTTGGAAGAGGCGAGTATGTTTGTTCAAATGGGTGAATATTATTAATTTTATTTGAATTTTAAGTATTAGGCAGACATAATCAATAGAACTAATCGTTTGTACGTTTGGCGGCTTCCAATACTCCAATTTAACACATTGGATTTTGAAAAAGAGTAGAGTATGTTTGCATAAATGGTTAAAAATATTAATTCCTTTCGACGAAGAGTATCAGGAGTTCATAAATGTCAGCATGAGTGAGAGAACGTGGTTGAGCTCCGCTCGTTGTATCAGCATAAACGAACAACATACGAATTAATGTATAAGAGTGAAATGACAACATCACTGAAACCGTAGCGCATGGAAAATAACACAAAAGAAATACGACAATAGACAAACATTGCAAAATCGCAACGCATCGGAGAGAGTGAGAGAATCTCTTTCACACTACAGCAAATATTCATAACGCACTGACACCGACTCAGTGATGTCAGCAACACAAGACACTTTTCCGTTCGTGTACCGTCGTCGTTGTCGTCGTTGTCGTCGTAGCTGTTTGTAAATACGATAACTCAAAAAATAATTAAGATAATCAAAATCTGGAAAAGCCAAAAGTTTTGTATTCGAAAAACTTAGTTTAAGTTCGAAGATGAGCCATTTTTCTGAGGTTTCATTTTTTGGAGAAAAAGTAAGATTCTGAAAGTTTCATATTGATCGCATTTGCAGAAGTTTGATTTTTGGCCCTCAATTTTTGTGGAAATTTTCTTGGAAAAAATTGCGGGCCAAAAACCAAACTTCTGCAAATGCGATCAACATGAAACTTTCAGAATCTTATTTTTTCTCCAAAAAATGAAACCTCCATGAACCATGAAGCGAAATCGAAAGGTGTTAGTGCGAGCACACCGAATGTGACCATGAGTGGACCAACACGAATGGACCTTTCGGTAGCAGCACACACCAAACAAAATATTATTAAACCATCCATTTTAACCGGCACAAAGGAGCACACGGGCAGCCAAACACAAGGCGAGCGCGATGGAGCCACCGTTTCTCATATTAAAGATATTTCAGATGAGACGCAAGAGACCGTAACATCGGTAACTGTGACGAGTGAAAACTCATCACACACAGAGCCGATGTAAACACTTTTGGAGTACCTGCGGGTAGCTGTGTTCTGTCAGAGAACCACACCTTATAGTACACATAAGTTAATTAAAATCTCAAGCGGTCTCATTTTACAAATATCACTTTACAAATATTTTCTTATCCTAATATAAATTATTTACACATCGAAATTATCGTCCTCGACAACCACAATGGCATTGCAAAACAATGAACCAACGGTTGGCGCCAATGCTATTGCCAACGATCAGAATCAATTGATCGATATGGCAAGGATAGGCGTAAAACAAATAAACCTGCACCATTGCAAAGGAGCTACAAACCTTATTTGTAACTCACTAAATATGGTGCAAACAAATAAAATAAAACAACATCATCTCATATGTTTGATACAGGAACCATGGGTGGTGAAAAACCATATCAAGGGTTTCGACACAAGCAAGGTGAATGTGTTTTATCACAGGACAAGAGTAAATCCAAGAGCTTGTATAGTGACATCGAAAGAGCTAAGTGTGACATACATGCCACAATATAGTGATTCCGATACCACTACCATTCTACTTCAACTTAATGGTGAAACCAATCATAATATTATTTTATCATCAATCTACCTGGGACCACCGCGATAGTCTCGATCATTAAACGTCAAACCAACAACGCCACATATTTTGACGGGAACTACATTGATGAGTGTATTCAATGCAGTATCAAACATAGTCGTCATTGTGTTGTGTAGTGAAATAATAATAATTATTTGAATTTTAAATAAATAAAAATGTTTCGATTCTGTCAAATAAAATTGTGCAAATATGCCGCTGGCACACAAGACGAAAAAATTGCTTTCTTTCGGTAGATTAAACCCGTATTTAAAAAAAATTGTTTTTCTTTCATTTTCAATTGAGTTGTATGAGAGAAAATTACGGTTTTATATGATATATTGGAGTTTCCATAATTAAAAAAACACAAAATGTTAGATTCAAAATGGAAACTGGTTCGTGGCAGAATTGTTTTTTTTAATTATGCGGACCATACTGAGAAAACGCTTGCGTTCGAATAGAAAACTACACTGAAACAGAAGTCGATTTGACATTAGCTGTCAAACCGGCAAGATGAACAAGTGCATTTGTTAAGTGAGCGCGTTCACTCCGTGTCAGCAGGTTTTGGACGAATTTCATTTTGCAAATGATGTTGTTGTTAGTGTAATGATACCCCCGCGCCTGGGACATGACTCTACAGAGGAAATTCCGGGAAGATTGGTAAAATCAATAATTAAATATGCTACCGACAGTGGACTACCACTAATTATGGGTGGCGACGTAAATGCACACCACACTGTTTGGGGTAGCACGGACACAAACAGTAGAGGTGAAAAATTACTTGAATTCATTGCTTCTACAAGCATGGAAATTATGAACAGAGGCAACTCACCTACTTTTGTAACAAACAATAGGTCGGAGGTGCTTGATATCACTTTTGCATCGCAAAATATTTCAAACAGAATTACACAATGGCATGTATCTAATGAAGGTTCTCTTTCTGACCACAGAGAGATTAATTTTTATTTTGAGTGCAATCTTCCAATTAAAGAGAAATTTCGTAACCCGAGAAACACAAACTGGGGTGTATTTGTGTTTGTACACAAATTTGATAATTGCATCGTCCAGAGTCTTGTGCAGCAAGTTCACTTTCTCATTGATTGTCTTTCCGTGGAATAATTCGGTGAAGTTGACATTTGCCAGGTGTGCATTCATGTCCCTATAGTTGGCTCGCTTGAAATTGAATGCTTTTGTTGTGATATTGGCTCCTGTCGTATTGTTTCCGTGCCATTCAAATGTAGCCATTATCGGTGGATGATGACCTTCTACTTTTTTCTTCAGTGCATTGGCCTTATCAACACGCTCAATTGTAATGTTGGTGAAATCATTAGTAAAGAATAAATCCAAGAGACGCCCTTTGGAATCATTACGTACATGATTTACCTGATGAACACCCATGCCCATGAGTCCCTGGATAAAAGTGGCCGTTGACTCAGGTGCAAATTTAGTTGGAATTAATATGTTGTCCCTGTCGCTATCGATTGACCATTCCACATGCGGCAAATTAAAATCACCAACAAAAATAAGTACATCCTCCGGGTCAGATGCTATTTGATGCATGGCCGCTAAGTGTGAGTCGTAGATTGATTGCGGTGAATTTGGTGGAATGTATGCACAGTAAATGTAGATAACGTGTGATTTAGTAGTGGCTTTCACACAAACATATTCCAAATCTACAGCACCGGCAATTTTGATTTCTTCACTGGCAAATCTTTCATTTTTGGTTGCAATAAGTACACCACCGCCACGTTGAAACAGTCTGTCCCTACGAAAAACAGAATATGAATCGTCAAAAAATTCAGCGTCATAAATATCATTTCTGAGCCATGTCTCAGTTAAAATTATCATATCGTAATCATTTTAAGTTGCGGAACAGTAGAATCGAAATTCTTCGGGACAAATGCTGTGACAGTTTTGGTAGTAGATTTTAGTGAGAAATGCACAGTCATCCGATATGGCATGGTTTAGTGCCATTTGTTGCGATAGCCGTGATGATTTTCTGCGCAGCGTTCGTTGAAGCAGTAGCGATGGTAATTCGGCTTCACTTGCGAGCAACAGCTCTTCTGGCAATGATTTGTACGTGATTGCCGGCGTTTCCTTTGTGGATGCTGGTTCTTGGTGTGTCTCCAATTTGTTTGCTGAGCGTACGCTTTGCCAACCCCGTTTTTTGGCTTGGAGTTTTCGATTGTTTTGATTTGTTTCGTAGTTGGATTCGATTTTTCGGGTTGCTTTTTGGTGCCAATCAAGTTATCTGGCTTCGTCCGGACATAAGAAGCGGATTTTTGGCTAGTTTTAGGGGCAACCTTTGACACGAATTCTTTTGCGGTAACACCATTTGGCCAAACACTGCTGAACAAATCAAAATACTCAGTTGGCACATCCAGTTTGAACGAGACGAAAGTCGGGTTTGGCAACTTTTTTTTGTTTGGTCTCAGACTGGTGCAAGTCACGTTGTCAGTGAAGGGACGGGTGCTTTCGATCGCCTTCAAGTGACCAGCAATAACTGAAATATCAGTCGTCGGGTTGAATGGACTGATGTGCAGTGACCGCATAGTTTGTTTTTCCACACCGGCTTTCTCGGAGACACTATCAGCCGATTTGGGAAGGACAACAAAACTGCACAAATCAACTGGATTTTTATTTGCGGTGATCACTTCGTCAATTCTTCGTCGTTTCGATCCCCCACGT